GTATAGTTATATCTTCCAAAAATCTAAAGTCTGCGTTTTAAATACAACCAAAAGCACATCAAAAACAACACGAAAAAGAATTCCTTAACTGACCGGAAACAACATACACGAAGCGAAAGGAAACGGAAAACGAACTTCTGAGTACCACACCTTTACGATCCCTTGTTTTATGTAATTTCTCCATGAGGATCTACAACATTTGAAGGACTTCCTTAGACTATGAGAGCAGGATCCTACCCATACTTCAAACGGTGAGTAGCAAAAATCTAATACTCCCTGTGCTTTTTGTGGTTACCTGTTGTATTCACCGTAGCAGCGGCCATTCTAATTCTCCTCGTTAAGCAGGACTTACATCAATAAACAGTACAATAAAAGAACCAAAGGCATATAAGATCCCGTGATACGAAGCATCGAGGAGTAAATGGCCACATTCACTTGTAAGATCTTAGTAATGTCTTGCTACTTCCTTTGCCAATGCTGAAGCCTGGTACCGCTCCTAGCAAACATTCATTCTTCCCAAAATATTTGAACGCTATTAGCTATAAATATCCATCGCAACCTGAAGAAGGAGAATTTCTACAGACATTGACCCTAGGCATCATATGATAACATATCTTATCCGTTGTCGCCGGAAAGAGATTGTTCGGCCACAGATGAGTATTGATTAGATTGCGAATGTCCCCTTGATGGTTGGCGGGAAGTATATGATGACGATGAGATTTTTGAACCAAACTTTGTCCTATAATTCCCATTGCCACACACATTGGTTTGGAGCTAGGTGAACCTAGGGAACCGCTCCGGGTCAAACGTCTGAATAATGATGACCGATTATAACCATTTGAGGCAGTAAAGCATGTTTGAATAGTCCCTAAAGGGTTATTTCCTAATAACATTCTTTCTGGAGGAGATGATGCTTCTTCGTTTTTATCAGCACTCTGCATGACTGAAAATCTCCACACCATTAGTTTACTTTCAATGGTAATATGTCCCATGCTGTAGTTCCAAATCCTTGTTGTACCTTCAGTAATAGCCTGCATAACCAAAGGGCCGTAATGTACACCCAATAAAGGTGACTGCGCACAGAAGGAAGGGACAAGTGAGAAATTAATTGCGTACAAACAACTGCTTATTGTTTCAGATGTGCAACAAAAGCATCCGCTATTGCCTAGTTTTATCAGAGGAAACTTCCCGACATCCCTGAGGAATCCCCGAATCATATGTTCAACAAAACTATTCATTTTGTTAGAGATTCTCAAATCAGACGCAGAAAGAAGACATGTCCCTGTCGTCGTTATCCGAAGGAAAACCCCTCTGTCTACCAAATTAAGTGCGCGACAGGTCTATTTATTGCGGAGAAGAATTCTTAACTCACACACGCGATAAATTTGATGCTGTTGTTACACAGAGAAATATTCCTCCTACAATCAGGCATGGAAAGAAAATAACCTTTTACCATTTCCTTGATGGATCAAGGGAATTACCTCTAGATGCTCAACAAAATATGTGATACATCAATCATCGACAAAATACGCGATCAAGTTCTCTCAGCAATAAGTTCCAAGACCTCAAACCCAGAGCTTATGGTGATGGAATTGGTACGGCGGGTAGAACATTCGGCGTGATGGTCAGTTTATATCTCCATATATCTCGTAATCACTATTCGCCCTAATATGTTGTTTTGATAGAAGGAGAAGTGGATTGAGATCGATGGACGAAACAAAATTGACTAGGTGGTGAGGATTTACGAAAGGTATGGCAAAAGTTAGTACAAAGATCCACACTAGGCTGAATTTGGTTAACCACGAAAATGCTGTACTTGCACTTGGTTAACCAGTAGGCCTTAAAACCTCATGCTCAGTGTGCCCAGTGATGTCTTCTGGGGAGCTTATCTACTGTAGACTTCATATTCAATTCCCGGTGAGCTTGCGGTGAGCTTGCGGTAAGCTTCTACTTTCGGACATAAAGTACAGTGAGTTACAGTGAGACACACCCAGCTAACGATCTTCATTGATGCCAAAAAGCCAAGAGCCAAGATGCGGAGGGAACTACAAATAGCATCCTTCTGCACAGCAATCCATCTACAAGAATATTTCCTTCCCATGGAATTTTATATCTTTTCTTGAACTGCAAAATTTAAATAGTAGTATCATGGTTTTTGCTTATCGTTTTTCATTTCTTTATCCTTTATCCAATAACCAAGTTCTTGGTTTCCTAAGCAGGGATCTATTCTTTCAGACCTTGTACTCCGCAAACCATGGCTTTTAGCGACGTCATAAGATCTGGCCATCTGCAGGGCAACGGGAGATTGACACCAAACCTTCTCTTTCAAGAAAAATAACATATTCTCATATGCGCGATAGACTTTTCTAAAATTAAAATTAAAATATACTTTCTAATCAACTATTATTTCTTCAATATGCTTATATAGAACTTTCATCCGCCATCTTATTTATGGCTTCCTATTAATCCTCTCGTACTCTTCGCACAATGAACGATCCAGGTCTTGATGAACCTATCTCCAACGATGCCGATGATGTAGAGAATCAGCATTGTGATGAACGAGATGAAACTAAGGAAGATGAAGATGCCTTCCTCAACCCAGGGTACGTAAAGAGAAAGTCCTGCAGATATTGCTATTAATTTAGAATGGCGCACTTTACTAAATCATTCCTCTAGCCGGTGGTGGTTTGCTAGCACCGCATTTCCTCTCATAGCCGGCACATTTGGACCCATGGCTTCAGCATTCAGTATTTGTGCATTAGTTGTACGTTGGAGGGTATCGATACCACCAGGGGGAGTAGAAGAGCATGGAATTTACATCAACGACCCAAAATGGTATGCGCATCGTACACTTTTGTGGAAATTATGTTAACTCTGGATCAGGTTGATTGGTATAAATGCAGCTCAACTAGCAATAGCACTCATTTCGAATCTATTCCTACTTTTAAATATGGCAGAAAGAGTTCGGTTCTCGATTGCACAACCTATTACGATTATAGGCTGGTACCTATCATCTTTTACACTAGTTGCATTGACAGCTTGTGCTTCTGGGCCGTTGATACTCCAACCACTTCCTGCTCACGCCTATACACAGGCATTCTATTATGCGATATTTTCTGCAGGTCTTTATTTCTTGGTGGCTAGTTTAATGACGATTACAGTATATGGAGCACATAAAGGACATTATCCAAAGGAGTTTAAATTGACTATGAGTCAAAGAACTTTGATGTTACAAACGATCAGTTTTATAGTATATTTACTTGCAGGCGCGGCGGTATTTGCTCATATCGAATCGTGGCAATATCTTGATGCTGTTTATTGGTGTGATTTCACACTTTTAACAGTTGGTATTGGAGATTATGCACCAATGACACATTTAGGAAGAAGTCTCTTATTTCCTTTCGCAATCGGTGGTATTATCATTTTGGGTTTGGTTATTGGCTCGATTCGATCATTGGTATTGGACCGTGGGAAGGTTAAACTAGGAGCAAGAATGGTTGAAAAAGAACGAAGACGTATTTTAAAGCGAACCCAGAAGAAAAATATCGCACTGTTGAAGCCTGTCGAAACAGTGGAGTCCGAATCAAACAACACCCTTGTCAATAATGATGGTCATACGGAAAGAGAAAGACGTCAACAAGAATTCGAATTAATGAGACAAATTCAAGAAGAGGCAGCTACCAAACGTCGTTGGACTTCTTTAATCATTTCTGGAACTACATGGTTTATACTTTGGTTTGTTGGTGCAGCAATATTTCGAGCTACGGAGTATACACAAAATTGGAGTTATTTCGAATCCCTTTACTTTTCTTACACCTCTCTTTTAACCATCGGATATGGTGATTATTATCCACAATCCAATTCCGGCAAACCTTTTTTTGTTTTCTGGTCTCTTCTTGCCGTTCCATCTCTCACAATACTCATCAGCAATATGGGCGACACAATCATCAAGGGGATTCGTGATTTTACTCTTTGGATAGGAAATTCTACTATTTTACCTGGTGAAAAAGGAGTGCGGCATTCTCTTAAAGAGACGATAAATAAGTTGACATTTGGAAAGCTTTTTGAAGTTTCCGAATTACCTCCCGGTATTGAAGGAGCAGCAATCGATCCCAATGCCGATAAAGCTACTGGACATGAGTCCGCAAAAAATGATCCGGAATCAGCAGCTCAGCGTGTTCAAAATGAAAGCGCAGACATCGAAACCAAAAGCGCAAGAAAACAAGCAGAGGAAAATGATAGGCTACCTGACAATCGTCATGATTATCATTGTCTACTCATCAAGGAAATTGGGAAAGTGATGAAACATCTCAATAGTTCCCCACCGAGAAAATACACTTTCGATGAATGGGCATGGTATCTCAAACTAATAGGAGATGATGAGAGCGAAGCTGGTAATCATAGGAAAGCGGTGAGAAAACCGGAGAATAGGACAGAGTTAGGGGGTGCGAAGGGGGGAGGTGAGGATTTGGGGGAGAAGTGGAGCTGGGTGGGGAATAGGAGTCCGTTGATGGGGAATAAGGAGGAGAGTGAGTGGGTTTTGGAGAGGTTGTGTAGGACGTTGGAGAGGGAGTTGGAGGGGGTGAGGAGGGAGGATATGGAGGGGTGTGGGGAAAGAGAGAGAAATGCTGTGATGGGGAGGGGAAAGGATAGTGAGAATGGAGAGAGATAAATCTGGAGATTGATTGGTAAACTACGGATTGTAATTTTGGTTTGCATGATATGGCGTTGGTGGAGCACGATACCACGTTTGATTCTGTTGCGTCTTACTTGGGACTTTTAAGAATACTAGCGTAGTAGCGCTTGAATTTGGGATACCCATTGTGCATTTCATATTTTGAGGCGGTTGGTGTCTATTTTTATATATAAGAAAAAGAACAAAAGGAAAAGATAACGAAATCTAAATACCCTCTTTCAACCTTGGCGAGTGAGTGTACAATTTCAAATCTACTTTCATAGCCTTCCAGATACTTAATCTTCTTAGACAATCAATCTTCTAAATTTAAGTCTTGAGTTTTGTAATTATTTCTCTAATCTTATACTCTATTCGAGTATTATTCCTTTATTATTACTTTTATTATTTCGATCTTGATTGAGAAACAAAGAATATAATTGAAAGAGATAAAAAAGTGGAATTTGATATTTATATTAAAAACAACAAAAGAAAAAAATATATAAATATAAAAAAAAATATGAAAGAAAGAAAATAAAAAAAATTATAGGATATGTTAAAAGGAATGACCTTACACAGGGAATAGTGGGAAGCTGATAGGGCAGAACTGAGGCTATATTGGTCTTGTATATGAATCACTTATTATCTAAGTTCTACAGAAGTGCGAAGCTCTCCTACAGAGAGCTTCTCAATCTAGTCCTAATAGGACTAGTGCCCTGCGCACGTGCTGCGCAGGAACCATTCACTTTAACATTAATAAATCTATATTCTGAATTTTAGAAAATTATATTTATAAATAAAAATATTATAAAAGTCGATTTTTGTCATTTTTGATGAGGAAAAGTGGCCGGAATTAGAGGTGGCTGGAAAGTAGGGTACTAGACTTATACCTTAGTGTTGTGAATTCTGAGTTCTTTGCTTTGAGGTTGGGGGGTTTGAAGAGGAGGGGTTTTATATGCAGTGAGGTGTATATACTTGGGTAGATGGATGCGCTAGGAGTTGTGGTGAATACGTATTTGTGTAATGATATAATATGAAAAGGTATCGTGTATCGAGTATCGAGGAGAGAGGGGTGAATTAGATAAGTGGATAGTGAATAGTGCTATGTTCTTAAAACAAATTATCAAATAGTTCTTGTCGGAGTCTTTTGGGAGAAGAGAAGGGAAGAGGAATTGAAAAGTTTGTTATATAAGTCTTTATTTTAATTATAATTCAGTTCTTCTTGGTTAATTCCTTTAGTGGATTAAAAGGCGACAATTCCAGGAATACTCGGGTTAGAGATGTTCTTTTGGATAATAACATTTAGATGGCTAGTTGATTCTTTGCTAAACATGATGATTAAAATATAGGAACTAATGTTGCGGGTGATTGTGTAGTGCTATCATTTGTAGTGATATTTTGATATTATCATTACTCATATCATCATTGTCACTTTCTAATCCATCTCTCTCGGCGTATTGCACACCACATTAATTATAGTTATAGATTAATAATCTTATTCAACAAAATCGAAATTCAAAATAATAAATAACTTGTCTTTTAGAAATACTAGTTAGTTATTTCCCTTTGGTAGGTATGATCGACTATGCTGTGCACTTTACAGTTTTAGAGATGAATTCGAGGGGTAATTTTATATATAAGAGATCTGGATGGATGAGGTAATTAGAGGGGTATTGAATGGATTTTTGGGTTATGAATTCACTTATATCCCTACACTAGGGGTGTAGATAAGAAGAAGACCTTACACGCTCAGTTAGTTATTCATTTCCGAAACTGAAATCTTGTTCAATTCATGGTTTAACAGCATATAGAACTCTATCTTCAGTACTTTATCATGTGTAACAACTCAAAAGCTGATAAATGTAAATATCAATCGAATGGTTTCTCCATTCTCTGTTTTTAGAATATCATACAATCGAATGTCGATGTTGGATAGTTGCACAGAGATTTTTGGAAAAGTGATTAGCGTGCTTGTTATCATCTGATTGCTATTGTCTTTTGTCATCTATGTAATTCATGTCGTCTTTTTATCCTTAGTATTATCATTCTCATATCTAGACTGTTATGTTAATTGTATTTTTGCATCTTTCCACTGCTTGTATCGAGCTGATCGCGTAGCTTACTAGACTGTGAATCTATATAGGAACTCAACACACTGATCCTTAGGAATCATTGTTATAGAAGTCTCATAGTTTTTCGATTAGCTTTGGAAATAAGAAAGACAGGTTTAAGTAATCTTAAGTTTGGATTTGTTTCTGTTGACCTCCTGGGATCTTGGCAGCATATGCATATATATTGCATGATGCATATAAGGAGCAAACAAAACTCAACTTTTAATTCATTCTTTCCTTTTTGGTATACTGTTTGTTTGCTTTCAATATTTTGATTTCAAAGCACTTTAATTCCGAAGGCTGAATACCCAACCTGATTCCTTCATTTTTTGAATATATACTCGCAGCTTAACTGCTTAGCTAGAGAATCAATCAATTCAATCTGATGCTCTTTCTGGTCTCAAGAAACCCAATAACAATTGATAGTAAATCATCTCGAAATTCGACAATAAAAAAATTCAAAAAGTGGGTGAACGACAACAATAATGCATATCTAGGACGAAACACCGAAGACTACCGGCTCATGCATCTACAACATACCTGCCCTAGGACATGATACTCTCGGTCACTCAAGAGCAGACACTTCCTGGTCTTCTTATTCGATTCTGGGGTTTCATGCGCTATTTCTACGGAGACTCTTTGGTCCCAGCATCCTTTAAATAGCACAATATTAATAATCCACAATTTATTCATCACTCTACCTATTCCCCGAATCACAAGATTCATATGCATAATCCGCTCATAACCCGCTTACACCCCCTCCCTTTGAATCCCTCCCCTAAAACCCACCCCGCCAAAAATCACCCAAACTTCCTACTACAACCACCTAATCCCTAAGTACCTCAGAAATCACTCATCCTTTAATAAATCCAAAATTAGAGATACTAAGAGCGTTTTTGATAACACAATATCTTACTAACTTTACAGCTTATCTTCTTTCAAAAGAGATTTCTCTCCCAGAATTTATATCTAGCTGGCTATAACTCTTTTCCCTCCATGGAGGAGAGGAAGCCGGGCTAGAACTATTATAGCTAAGCATTAGAGATGATTCGTGGGATAATTGATAGTAGATATTGCTCTATGATGGTGAAAATGATATAGTGGTAGCGATAGTAGTGAGGAATGTAAACAGTGGATATTGAACGACATATACGAGAATAATTAAAGAAGGATTTCGAGAATATGCATCCAGGACTACTTGGTATCTCTTCCTCAAAGAAAAAATATGAAATATTAGCCGAATCTTTTCCCTCTTGACGCATAGATTTGAAATCCATCACGACATTTCCGGAATAAGATATTACTCATAATATCATATATTTGTATTTATATTTACTGCACTTCAAATGGAGCTATAATCTAATAATTCCATGATTCTAGTACCCTAGTACTCTAGTACTCCGACAAAATATATATCCATACCCATCCTTACATCCAACCTATAAACAATTCATGACCATATCCCATATACACACTGTTAATCCTCGCAGTCTTCCTCTTTTTTTAACGCACTACCTCTGTTTATGTCTATACATACCCCTCAACCCCACAAACGCAACAACTCTATAGATCGCCCCCAATGCTAAAAGCATCAACATATCCTGTTGAAAATGACCTAATCGATATCCTACCGCATCCTTTGCCGTTTCGATATCATATAGATACTCCATGGGACTAATATTCTGCGTAAAATATCCTTCGGCCAACCATGTACCTGGACTTGCTCTCCAGAGCCATGCCATATGCCAACCCCTGACTTTCTTTAGACTGGGCGACATACCATTGAGGACACCAACGATGAGAGATGACATGACTGCTAGAAGGGGCCCATCTTCTCGACGAGTAATCATGCTGACGCAGGATGCGAGACCGTATATACACCAGAAATAAAGGAGGTTAGCCGCGAAAATGTCAATCCAGCTGATTATTGGAGTTGTCATTAAAGCGAAGAAAACTGTGAAGTGGAAGTTTGCAAGAACCATACGAGGAATGGTCGAGATGACTTTTCCGACATAGTAAGCGAAGCGATTATGTCCAGCGGCAGCTTCTCTCCAGTAAACCAATTTTTCCTCACCAAAGACTTTTACTCCTGGTGCGGATGCTGTGAGACCAATAGCGAGACCAACGAGAAGTGCCATTTGGGGAACTGAGCTGTAATCAATTGAAGAAGAGAGCATCTCATATGGTTCGATGAATATACCACGGAAATTATCACCCTTCTGGTTGAGTTCTGCGAGACCGATCAAGAAACCTGAAATGGCGCCGACACCAAGCTCGAAGAAAAAGGATGATTTCATACGATATTGTTGAAGCACAGAACGTTGAAAACAGAACCAAATTTGTCGATACCAGTATGTACCACGAGATTTGATTGTTGAAGCAAGAGCGTTTGATTCGGCCACTGAAACACCAGGACCTTTGACATCCTTGAATGGGTCTTCGGGATGATTTTGCCAATGTTCGATAAGAGGTTGGATACTAGCATCTCCAACAGGTTTGTAAAGACGTCCTTCACCGGCAATGATATCACCCATGACATCAGAAGGATTTCCATGTTCGGGGAATTTGAAACCAAGACTTTCGAAGTGGGGCTTTACACCTACTTGAGGTCCTAGGTAAATCATTCGTCCGGCACCGAGAAGTACGAGACTGTCAAGAGACTCAAAAATTTCTTGGCGTGGTTGATGAATAATAGTTACAATTGTCATACCAAGTCGCGAGAGAGCTTTGAGTGTTTTCATGATAGAATTGGCAGCTGTGGCGTCTAGACCGGAAGTAGGTTCGTCAAGGAAAAGAGCCCTAGCAATAATGTAAGTCAAGAGATGGCAGATCTCTTGGAGTGAAAACTTACATAGGTGCAGCTGCTAACTCCATACCAATACTAACTCTTTTTCTTTGACCACCTGAAATGACAGGAGCAGCAGTACTACCTACCAAAGAATCTTTTACGTGGGAAAGCTGAAGACAAGCAAGTAAAACATCAACATGGTGCTGAATTTCGCCCTCCTTCCATGTGCATGGTAATCTGATTCGAGCAGAATGAAGGATATTTTCCCGAACAGTAAGCTCAGGTAGAACGATATCGTCTTGGGGAACATATCCAATGATTTTCTTGTACCTGTAACTGTTAGCTCGTTTCGAGATTTCTGGCAGATAAACCATTAACTTACTTTGAGATGTCACCAGCAACTCCATTGACTTTGGTAACTCCTCCAGTATTTTTCGTTTTACCCATAAGCACATTTACAAAGGTAGCTATTACTCGTTAGCTTGGAGGTGAAGAGGAGGGGAAAGTTTATTAGTGTTACATTTTCCAGCTCCTGAAGCACCCATTACTCCCCACAAACTCCCAGCATCAATCAAACCTGAAACTTGTGAGAGAATTGGTTTCTTTGCCTTTGGTGGATGAAATTTCAAATCCTCGAATTCGAATGATAATCCAAATTTAGATCCTCCAAAGCATTTCGACAAAGATTGCACAAATAATTGCAAATCAGTGTTCATGACTTGCTCTTCTCCCGCATCTTCACCGTCATATGCAAATTCGTCATCCATGTTACCCAACTCCTCGAATCCTGTAGGTCTCCTTTGAAGATTCATGATCCTCTCTTCCATAGCAATATCACTTTGCTCTCGCGCTAATTGTAGTTGCTCGTCATGGATTTGAGAATATTCTTTTCCTCGAAACATGCCAGGTTTTGTGTATGTGGTCCTATTCGATCTCTTCTCCTTCGAGCTATTCTTAACCCTACTACTGAATTTCCTCTTCAAAGTTATGCCAAGTGCCACAAGCACCATAAACACATCCACAATTATCAAGACAGCCAAAGGAGTAACGTTCATATCTCTGATACTTTTCTCCGGGCATCTCGAGCCAATTGCACATTTGGTTGCTTCATATGATCCTTGGCGACAATAAGATCCCTTGGGACATGGTATTTGTTCTTTTCCTCCCGGAGGACAAAAATATCCGGCTTCACAGATTGAGGGCTCGAAAGTTCCCATGGTTGGTATACATGATCCTCCTGCTAACCTCAATGCTTGACAAACAGGGTTTGGAGGACAGTATTGTGGAAGAAATGTAGCATTATTATTGGGACCTACGAAGGGAAATGGCATTAGTTCTTTCATGTACCAATCAGGCATGCTAAATTTGTTCTTTTACTCACAGTAAAAACCCTTTGGACATCCAATATCTTTCCACGAAGTTGCATTCTGAATAGTTACTGGTTGCCCACCAGATAAACAGGTTGAATTTGTCGTTGGCCCCACCATCGTTACTATGCCATACAAACTTTGATCTCTTGCTAAAGGTGCAACTAAAAAGATATCAAAAACAAAATAAGGAAAATTTCATCTTGTCTGGATGTAGATGAGGATTATACTTATTGTCTACCCATCTCCCCTGCTCACTTCCAAGGACCTTTACGTGAACAGTGAGATCGAAGGCTGTGGTTAAGACTCTATATTGGTTTCCAGAACCCAAGCCCCGTTTACATATCTTCTACGCCGCGTATCCACAGGCGGATCCATTTATATCTCCTATTCTGGCTGGCTGAATACAGGAGGTAATAACGGTTATCGAATTGTAGATCCGTGCACAATGTTGTAGGTAAGGTCTTACATAGGCTGTGAAAGAAATGTAACCTTACGAATGGCCGTATCGGAATAAGCCAGCCATTGGAGACTGTTTGTTACCTTGGGCAAACAAACCAACAAAACAAACATCAAAAAACGTTGGTGTTGTGTATGATCTCCACCCATGAACACCCTGAAGCTTGTTTAGCTCGACCGTAGCTTAAATGACGGAACACGTGACCAACTTCATCCACATGGGTCCCCACCACAATGCCATCTTTTTTTCCAAATTTTGATGATAAAGTTCAACAAACTCCTATCTACTATTTTGTATTTAGTACATTCACGCTATAAAGGGTTCAACGGGCAGACTCTTTACTTTTACTTTCCTCCTATATTTTGAGACCTGTTTCACGCACTTCGTACAGGAAGGTTACTTTCCAAAGGTGTCCAATGCAATCATATTACCCCTGGTTAGCGAAGCTTACTTATCCTGTAAGGCAATCCACGTTGTCCTACAAGCCCCGTAAGGCTTAACTTTTTAGGGGTATTTTTGGAATCCTGCGACCAGGTTCAAAATAACAACACCGCCTCCCCAGAATTCGAGGTGATTTCGATTTCACGATAGGTGGGGAGGAGAATGAATACAGTCAACACGACAGCACAGGTTTATGATGGGAATACCGTCAAATGCCTAGAGAACGTCCCACTAAAGACGATGATCCTCCAATCCTTCGAGAATCGTAGCCCAAAATAACTTATATCAAACCCCATTTCTCAAAGTTTAGTGATCCCACTCCTTAGCTTTAGCCCAGCGGCCCCAGCCTTTAAAATTCTGCCTTCGTTGCTACTCCACTAACTGCATGTCAGAAATACAGTTGTTCCCGCAGCACCGTTTAAAACTAGGATATTGCCAGTAGATAAAGTCTAAATGAATCTCTCGCTTCTTTTTGTGTATACATGGCGTATAAATTTATCGTAAGAACGTACACTTAACCCCTTAAAGAAGAGATACGACTAAGGTTTAGAGCTCGGAGCCTTCAATTTCCCGAAGAACTTTACGACTAATCTGAGATATCGGAGTTTTACATATTCCAATACGAAACCGAAAAAACATTCGGATTTGAAAATTGCGAACCATTAACCTTATCGATGCTCTTCTTAAAGGGGTTTGGTGTTAGTTTTACTGGTGAATTTAGACGGTACACCGCTAATAACAATAATTACTTGGCGGCGCAAGAACAAGCGGCTTGCTTACCTTAACCTTACATAAAGAATACTTATTTTGGGATCTTCAACTACAAGATTCCACAGTACCCATTCTTTTATCCAACCATCCCACCCCTCTCCCATTATCATAATTGTCTAATTCTTCCATTCCAGGCAACAGCGAGATGTACAACGAAGAAATATTTTCTTCGGATCTGTCAGGGAATAAGGAACCAAAAATTATGAGATGTTCGACGCAGATCATTTGTTTCTCTTGAGCAGGACGGATCAAATCACGCCGTCTAATTCTTGTGAGGGACAGATGGCGGCTGAACGAAGGAGGGGAGAAGGAGAGAGTGAAAAGTAGATGTTGAGGGGAGGTGCTATTCATATGAAATTGGGATTCGTGAATACGCAAGGAAGCAGTGTGAGATATGGAGCGAGGAGGTAAAATTGATGTCGAAAAGATAGAAAATGGAAAGCAAAAGTTGTGCTTAGGAGGATTCCAATCTTCCATCAACCGACTGTCCCTCATTCTTTTGAGATTTGGCATTTCAAACATTTTCATAATTTTTTGTCAACATAATTCATGAAGATGCTGTGACGAGGTGTGTCGAAAGACATTGAAGTCAATGCCGGCCTTGCACGTATTCCAGAGTAACGAATCTCCATAATCGACGCAAGCATTATAGTCTTTTTTTTACCTACAAGAATAAATTCTGGCCAACAACCTTCCAGCATTTCCACTTCGAAATCACACAAGCATGTCTCCCGAGCTAATCACTCTAACAGATTAGGATATGATTGAAGTTTGATTCCAGCAATCGAGTAGCGATCACAAAAGCAAGGAGAGATCTGGTTGACCTTCCAAAACTATAATTTTTATACAAGTTCTTCAACCGTTCAAAGAAACCATCCCTACCCCCAGTTGCACCGGTATGCAACGAAAACCTGCTCTCAGCAACTCTTAAATTCAATATACCAACCCCAATAATACATCTACCCAGATCTTCCCTTTTTCCTCCTTTAGCTATATCTCGTTTCTCTACCTCTCGTTCTTCATATATCTCATGCTGTCCTCATTCAATCTAAAAGTCTCGTGTCTCGACATCTCCTTAACCCCATTCATTAACCTCCCAATCCGCGGTATCCCTTTACTCACCCAACACTAAAATACCAATTACATTAGCACCTTTTCCTCAACCCCTCAAAATCAAAACCCCCAAACAAAAAATCATTCCACTCACATGTCTATCCGCACCACCCTCTCTCCATTCAAATCCTCTCTTTGTATCGTCAACAAAAAACATCCAATAAATCCGACCACTCCTCAGATGGCTTCGGATTATTCAAATAAGTTAAGGTTTGTTCTACAGCATCCACTGAAAGAACGAATAGATCGATCAGAAGATAAAAGGAATTTAAGATGAGAGAAATCAGATTCCGGTTAGGATAGAAAAGTTTGGTTACGAAGTGTCAGATTACTTAGGTGGTGGGAGAGGTGGAGGAAGGAGAGGAGGAAACGGGTTCGAGAATACACTCCATCATTTCAACCCAGACACAAATCCATGTTTGGAGAATGGAACCAGTGGCACTGCGACACTCGTTGCAGTGATCCGTGGGAAGGTGAGTCTGAGGGTTTTATGAATCATCATTGAGTGGGTAGGGAGGCCGTTGATGAAGTTTGAGGTCCTAGAAAATTGTGGGTTAGTCATTGACCATCTTTTAATGATCACCAGCAATTCAAAACTAGTCAGAAGAAAAGACAGTGACCGAACTCATCCAGAGAAATGGAATCAAAAGAAGGTATATACGAAATCCCATATTTCACCGCCTACAAACACATCCCCCATGAAGCACAAATTCATGATCCGGTCAATGGCATTTCTCGTTCTAATTACTATTTTCGTATTATTAGCCCTTTTAAACCTTGATTTAATAACTACTCAATTTATACGCTCTCAGAACGATAGACCACTGCGCCACATACCTGGAATTTACACACCAGTAATAAGTGTCGTGTTATCATCATTTCATCACATCTCCCATCTTACATCCCATAACTCCCATCTTTCTAAATTCTTCCCATCTTTCTAAATTCTTCCTCTCTTACTCTCTTCTCTCTTACTTTCTTCCACAGCCCAATTCTCAATTCCAGTAATTAGCTAGACTCTTAATATATCAAGTATGATTACAAAATATTTAAAAGAATAGATGCGGTGCTCGCTAGTTGGTTTTTGATGGTCAGCTGCTATGTGTCCCTTGTGATAGACGTCTTTTGAGAGGTAAAAAGAATTTCATATGCTTACCAATATCTCGAGCTCGATGTGTTGGTGCTAATCAAATCCCTGCAGCATACATATCTACCATAAGTAAAAAGTATCAGTACAGCATGTCTACTGGAACATCTTCTTCCTTGTGTATACAAGTCGTCTGTTACTCAAGTTAGTCGAGGGAACTGGGAACTGGCAGAAAAAACGGAAATAGATGATGGCTTAAGCTTGTTGTTATAACCATATGTTAATTATCCACCCGCTAATAGTAAGTCTTACAAAATACAGATATATACTGTATTAATATATGAATATTTATAATATAAAGATATCCTATAAGACTACTTCATCAAAAACCCATAACCCTCTCTCATCTCTCACCAATACATCTATCTTCCAACCCCTCTCCCCTCCTTTACCAGGAATAAATAACTTTGCTCCAAACACAATTTACCATCTACTTCATTCACGATTCATATGTACTAAATTCATAACACTGTACAGGACTCAAAAGACCCGCGAGATTTCAAAGAGTAGATAACAAGATTGCAGTCTCCTTATACTAATTTATCGAGTTCATCAGATCTTTTCTCCTATGAAATATCTTATCCCCATATATATATTTAGTTAGCCATGTACGAGTATCAATTCATCAGCACCTTCTCAGAGTCTCAAAGATATTCCTGTTCCTTTAACTTGGATCTTGATGTTTATAATTGTAAGAATTGTCACATAAATAATAAAATTTCTGCTCAAACTCGATCATGTACGTCAAAATTCGTAGCTTCCTGTTTTCATCTCGTTCTTCTTGAGAACCCCATAGTTCCCCTCTTTTGCCCTTCGATCTCTAATCTCTACTTTCTACCCATCATATTTCAAGCCAAAATGACAACCCTAATTTTTTAAAATTCCCCTACCATCCTCTCCCCCTCTCTCTCTATACATAAATTATGCACCCCAAATCAACACCCCATCAAGCAATTCACAAATCACTAAGTCAATAAAACAAAAAAAACATCCTACCCTCCAACCACCCACCAACTCAAAAAAGAACCAATCTACCCAGCTAAAGAAGGACATTTACATCTATATCCACAACCATACACACCAACAAAAAAATCTAGCAAAACCAACCCTCTCAAGAATCAACTATAGATCAGATCAGATTTCGAATTAACTTTCTGTGCTGTGCTATGCTATACGATGCTATGCTATGCTGTGCTAAAAGTAAGATGTATATAACCATATATCTTCCGTTTGACTTGTATAAAGGAAGAACGTAGGGAGGCCCGGGAGGAGGGGATGGTTAAACTTTCAAGAGAATAGATTGTAGGTGGTAGGTAGGTATGTCGTAGGTAGGTATATGGGTAAATTGTAGACTAGGGGAATCAATGTTTGGTGAGAGTATGAAATTAGACAAGTTCGCAACCATTCACGTAATAAGAAACCATCCATGGCCACATCAGGATGTATTTACGGTATTGTAATCTTATATTGAAATCGGTTTGTCTTATGGGGTACATACTAGCCAAGCAAGTAAATACTATGACCTTCAAGGTTTGGTCATCCCACCCGAAACTCATCTCAACCCGCCCGTACCTGCCAATAAATAGTTGGTCGTCTTCTCTTCTTCCTCCCCTCTAATCCCCTCCTCCCTGCACCCCGAATTCAACCAAAAACGCCCACACTACCCATCTTTCTACCACCTTCCTAATATTACAGGAAATCCAAAAACTCCCGTTATTAATAGAACCTCACATTCAATTATTAGTACGCCATCCATCCAGATATCTTTCGCACCAAATTAAAAAAATCAAAACCCTACCCTCCCAATCCCTTTATGAACTGCAATAAGCTGTCATTTGATCATCAATCATTTCTCATCCTTACTCCATATGCATTAATCCACATGTACTCCCTCATAAAGTTAAAGCTTCGTACCACCCTCTCGATTATTATCGCTAAGACGTCTTCCGATTCCACTACCTCCAGAACTTGATCCAACACCTCCATTATCATCAAGGCTACCGCCACCTCCGCCACCACTAGTACCACCGTTGCCAAAGCTGCGTCGTTGACCTTCTCGTGTACGAACATTCAACAACCAACGAACATACATATTGATTGTACTCATAGTATTGCGAAGCTCAACAATTTGATCCTTCAATGGAATAGTTTCATTGAGAAGCATGACGCTTTGACGAGCTTCCATCTCGGCAATACTGGCAGTAAGAGCATTAATTCTGCTTTGTTGAGATTCGACGACGGAAAGGAGATAAGTGTTGGGTGTTTCGTAGGAATCATCAGAGATCGACAGCCCTGCGAGAGAAGGGGTGGTTGCATCGGTTCGGTCGAAATTTCCATTATCATTGAGGCAATGCTCAAGATGCTTGATCTTACGTTCAAGACGGTCAATCTTCTCATTCTTGACTTCATTCTCAGCCTTCATAATTGCTGCCCACGGACCCAATCTCCTGAGTTCGCATTTGTCCTTATGATCCTCAATATCCTTTCTCTTGCACTCGTGATCACATCCAAACTGTCTCCATTGGCATTGGACAATACCTTCTGGACATTGATCAATATGTTCAGCCTCCTTGATGCGTAAGAAATCCCCTCCACATTGACCACAATTGTCCTGACGGAAAGTGCACTTGAACTCGCAGTGATCTTCCATATCCCTCTCTTGTAAAATCTCCTCGCAGTATGGACAAGCAGAATCATAATGAAGACAGCCTTTTGGTTGATGGAGTCTCTTGACAAGTTGCTTACAATCCGGGTCCAAACATTCAATTTCAACTTCCTTGCAATGGATGGCGAGATGGTTACGAAGCTTAGATCGTTGAAGGTGGGTTTTGCAGCTTGGGCAAGCGATTAACAAATCATTGACTTGTTGAACAATAATTCTATTCGATTGACGTAGTGGATCATTACGAGAAATTGGATAACGGTCCATGGGACATTTCTCTGTAACAGCCAAGGCTTGAGTGATACAATCTCTGCAAAAGGTATGATCACAATAAATGGTGACAGGGTCGACGAGAGGGACGCGACAAATTGGACAAATGAGGTTTTGATCGGGCGGATTTACGTAGTCAACACTACGATAATCGATAGTATCCTTATCGCGACGATCTCGTTCTTCTTCTCCAATGACTTCCATAATCCCTCGGTCCAATAAAGTTGGACGACGGGAACGTGGATGATAGGAATTTTCGGGTGAGGAGTGTATGCTGGAGGCTGGAGTATTATTTGGTACGTGAAGAGCTGGTGGTGCAACTTCGCTTTGAGGTGGATAATAAGCAAAGCCAATGTGAGTTGTAGCAGGATCGTAACCTTCAAATATGAAGATATTATTTGGTGGAGTATTGGGACGAGAAATGTGTGAGACAGGTGTACCAGCTCCATTTGTTGGAGTGTTTGGTGGAGGCATGTTGACTCAGCTACCTATGGGGACCAGCAAGGAAATGGATCAATGGGGAACTGGAGATGCAGTTGTGTTAAACCTTAAAGTATTTTGAAGCCAGGAAGGAAGATCTCTTTAAATAAAAACAAAATGCTAATAGGTCGGTATTTTGATTTAAGATGACTACAATTCGAACCACGTGGATTTGGTATTGTGGGAAATATGGAAAGCAAAATAAAGTAAAGTATCAATTAATTGTTTTATTCTTTTGACCAGATTCGGGAAAAGAGATATATGTATCAAGGGAGGGGAAGAATATAAACTTGCAAGTGCAACGAGATTTTGTGAAAGAACCTAATACCATTCTCAAGCGACGTAGAGGGGGGTAACTTTGTCACAATAAGAGAAGTAGATAGTAGTTGTTGTGGTGGTGGTGATGGTGGTGATTATAGTTGTTGTTTGAAAGGATGGAATATCTTCAACTTTGCCTCCATTTCCCAAAAGGATCAAGCCCAAGATTGTGAGATTTGCATCTTTGGTCATAAGATTACGGTTATACGGCTGGTTTGGAAACTCACGTGACATTCACTTGCCTCGGTGGTGCGGAACCACGGTGACCTATCGGATCGGAAATACTATTCTATCGTCCTATCATGAGGAAGCTTTGGCTACCGTTTGATGTTTGAGACCAAAAGACAAGTAAATGTTGGCTTACCATTAAGCTGAGCATTACCTAGTTAAGTTATTGCGGTGGTTAATATTTTCGAGAATAATAATAACAATCGAATAATTCAATCAAAACCATCTTTTAATTTAATATTTGATATTTCAATACAGTTTCTTTTCCTTGATCTCAATTCACCTCCAACCAATCTGCGAGGCTTCAAGCTCTGGCATCATCATACTATTTAGTCCGCAATCATGGCGACTAATCCAAGTCAATACTTCCTACTTGCGGATCACATAAAATTATCATTGCTGGAAAGACAACGTGCTATCTCCTTGGATTTGGAACCTACATCTCAAGATGGTCATATTTCACGATCGTTGGAATCTTTACGTGAAGGCTTGGAGAATATAAGGAATGAAACGATACGATTGGAAGAAGCTGGGGAGACATCGTATGTTGGATTTATTTATTCCTATCAGAATAGCATATATGTTTGATTCTATTCTTTCAATTCGACCTTGAACTACATCTGCGCATCGCATAAGTTTTGCGCAGCACATATCTTCTTGCGCATAAACTAACAACTCTCCAGCCAATCCCTCACTCTCAAAGAAACCGAAAATACCCTTCGGTCTCAATATGACGATTTAGCATCCCAATTCCTAGGCCATCCAAACTCCAGTACCCCCTCAACACTCTCTCATCCCAATGACCCCTCCCTTTCGGACGACTTCGTCCGAGCGACCGAACGCCCACGAGTAGGATCCTCATCATCCTTCCTCAAGAAATCATTGCGCGACTCAACCGTCACACAATCATCCAAATCAGTCCGCTTCAGCGACTCACCCTCAATTCAAGAAGCCGACGATCCCTCTCGCGCAGCACTCTTCCCTTACCGCGATGACCCCACTTCCGGTCCACCCGATCAAAGCCATCTTGATAACCAACAAATTCACGCATATCATACTCGGGTTCTCGCCGAACAAGATGAAGCACTTGATAGGCTCGGAGAAAGTATTGGACGACAGAGAGAGCTCAGTATACAAATAGGCGACGAATTAGATGAACATGTACAGATGTTGGATGAGGTAGATAGAAATGTGGATCGACATCAGACTAGACTGAACAAAGCGCGAAAGCATCTAGGGACAGTAGCGAGGAAAGCAAAAGACAATATGCAAATGACTATCATTTTGATCTTGATCATTATACTAGTCTTGTTAATCATCATATTAAAGTAGATGTCGAGTATAAAGTGGATGTCGAGTAGAAAGAAGCGGGTATAGGGCAACTTAGCAAACACGATGATGGGCATAAAGCGCAGGGAATCGGAGTATGGAGTGCAAAGGAAAACAGAGGAAGATGGAAAGAGGCTTCTGTAGAATACTACTCATTTGGCTCCTTGAAATATTCATATTAATGGCTGGCTACATAGGTTCACTACAAGAGCAATTAGCATTTTGGAATGTCTTCAAATTTCTGGAGCTGGGGCGTTGATGGCTTTGTAAGATTTTGTTCTATTAGTACCTATATATACAAATATGTATACATACACATCTCACAATTCAAATCTCTTCATATCTTATATATGATGTTCATCTTACTTTTGATGTGTATCTGTACAGTACCAAGTTTCAAATGTAATTTATATATTCTCTTTATTATATATATTTCCTCCGTACATCAGATCCGCATATTTTTTATTTCCCCATCCCTCCTCCCCCTTTTCTCTCTCCATCTCCCCTCTCTTCATTATTTCCCCTTCTCAACATCTCCCTTCCCATAAGCTTTCAAGAAGTAAGGTTGTAATGCACTGAGAAATAAGCTAATTATTACACTATATTATCCCTTTCTGGTATGGTTTATTTATAAAAGAGAACATATGGTGCTGTTTAGATATTATGGTAAGATTACATTAGTATATTTAATGATATTTCTCTAGAAATAAAAGAAAGGTTGTGAGTATATCACATTATAACACAACACGTTACATCCAAACCGTCAGACATACACTCACAAAAACTCTCTCATATGTATAACATTTTTTCTTCTCTATGAATGGTTACATATGTAACAAAGTGCATATCATCACTCTCCTCAATATGCACATATTTCAGCACACTAGCAGTTTCTCGCCTCTCCCTCCTTCCCTCTATCTTCCCGTCCCCCATTTCCCCAACCCCTCCAGCGTTTCCCTCTGGCATATAAAAACCAGTAGACAATATCTAAGTTTGCATTGTATATGCAAATATATCATAATCCCTACCATCCATAGGTATGTATCCATATCTCCATTCCTAAAAACGCCCAATTGACAAATGAGAAAATTTAAAATCGAAACGCCGGTTTGATGCAGATCTCTCTTAATTTTAATAAAGGAAAGAAATGTGGTATGGTTGAAGAATCGTGGTATAAAAATGCTGTCCGATAACATTGGTGCCAAAAGGTGGAGGTTTGACAGGCAGTCATGGTGTGTTTGTATAGGAAGCAGAAACTAGAATGAAGTACAAACTGCAGAATACACTTCGTCATTGCCTTTGTCCCGAGTATCCAGGTTATTCTTGGACAGGGTTTTTGTAACTGTGTGACCGAGACCCTGCCAGAAGTCCTCAAACTGTTTCCTAGGAAATAATATGTAAAAACAAGAATGCGAGGTAAAACCCAAAAAGTAATATGGTCATATGTTGAACTTTTAATGCAAGTCCATGCTCTTCTTAGCTTGCTCGTAGACGACATATGTGATACTGACGGCAGGTACCACCTTGAATAAATTTGGTGCAAGACCCTTGTACAAGCCGCGGAAGCCCTCATTCTTAATAGTCTTCTGCGCAACATCCATCATACCAGTGTAAGTCGGAGGGTGCAGAACTGTGCCTTGAGCTTGTAACCGAGTGCGGAGGAGATTGATCGGATAGACTATGCTTGCACCGAACGCCCCAGAGAATGCACCAATAGCTCCTGTAACAAATGGCCCTGGTGTCGCATCCTCCGCACTATAGCCAAAGCGCGACATATTTCGGCGTGTCGTGTAAGCCTTCAAAGTTTCGAAAGTGGCGAGATCAATAGCCGAATAAGGAAACATGCCAACCAGACCCATTGTCAAACCTCTATATGCGCATCGTATCCCACCTTGTTTGTACATCTGTTTAGCGGTAGCGACGATTAGAGCGTTTCCGCGAAGGCCACCAGCAACAGTTTCGCATTGCATGCTAGAGATTAATGAGTTCATGATTTAAATTATATTTAAATGATAAGAGCAGGGGTGATATCTTACCGAAATTTCAAAGTATCAATCGGATAAACAACTAATCTGTAATCACGGTTTAGTAGTTGTATCATGTGACTCTATTGAAGTACTTACTGCGACATTATTCCAGCGAAACCACCCGCGACAAATTTTGAATAAGGGTTAATCTTCCTAGAGTTTCCATGCCCTTCTAATTGGGCCAGATGTTTCTTCGCAGCTTCAAATGAGCCGAATTTGATAGCACTTTCAGGCATAACTTTGATGACGTTCAAGCCATTACCTGTGTATTTGTTAGTTTCTAGCAAGAGTAAAAACAATGAGAAACATACCAGCAAATAAGCTGCGAATACCACCGGCATTCCAAAGCTCCTTGATAGCAAGTATTATGGGCTGTCCAGCCATTTTAGCGACTGCGGCCACATTTCCCTGCTTCGCGGCTTCGAGAGGCGCTCTCTTTGCAGAGACATTGGCGATAAGGTAAACTTTCAAGCGATCTATAGGGGCTGTTGCTGTACGGGAAAAGATCCCAGCAATAGCACCCGCCGCGAAGTAGCCTGGATCAGGTAATATCTCCGTCAGCCTTGATCTCTCTGATGGCTTCAACTTTTTAGAAACTTCCTGGGTCAGCTCTTGTCGATGACGTCCCCTCAGAACATTGGCCATCATTTCAGTTCTTGGATGAATTGGGTCTATGTCACGGCCATATTCATCATCAACAGGGTCAATAGCATTAAGTGCTTGTATTTCTGCCATGTCCATTTTTGCGGTTTTCTTGTTGGAGGATATGGGTGAAGGTGCTTCTCCTATATGAATTGTGGAAGCGCGCCCACGATGCGATTCTGCGATACTAAAAACTGCCCCGAAAAGAAGCTTAAGAAAATTTGTTTTGGTACCTAGGCCTTCCAGTGTGTCTTCTCGAATTGATGTATCGCCCTCGGCGTTCACAGATACTGCAGATTGATAATAAGATAGTACGGCCTTGAGAGGCTGGGTAGAAGCTGTAGCGGGTAGAAATAATAAGAAGTTTCTATAAATTATTGGTTAGGAATGATGCATCTCAGATGACTCGATTGATCTTGAAATTTTTAAACGCTACGGTACTGGGTGTTGTGTGTGGGTTTTGCTAGCTGTGCTAATGTTCACCCCGTCGCTCTTAGCGGGAGCCTAGCAACCATACAAAATTGAAGTAAACCTTAGGAAAAATCATCTGGCTGGATTCATTTACTCAATGCTGAATCATTCGCTCGATGTAGAAGAAATAACAGTACTAACCTCCATTCATCGAAGGTTATATATCCCTTGAAGTTAAGTTAGATATGATATTCATGGTAAGTCTCCAGAATGGTGATTCGGTACGAACATCGTTATTCATGTCAACCTCAGTAAAGAACAGGTCTAATTTGGGTTTTGAAATAGTAAGTCCTGCTTTCTTGAATGCAACTTGCAATTCATCTTTATCCAATCTGTTGTCATGGTCCTTATCAATGCCTTGGAAGAGGACGAACAACTCCTTTTCCGTTTTCTCGACAAATAATCGAAATTCTAGGCGGAAAACAGTAAGTAAGAGTTTCCGAAGCTGCGGATCAAGGGGCTGCTATGGGAAGAGAGATTGTATGGTCCATACCCTCATATTGGATAACTTCATCTCCATTTTTATCCATAGCCTTTACTACATCTCTGAGCAAATCACTGGCATCCTTTAAAGGGTGATCGATCCTCCGCAGCCCCTTTTGAAGCTCTTGCAGATTGATTTCGCCTCTCTGCTTTGTATCCAACTTTCTCCATAGTTGCTCAACCCTATCGTCGCGAGCGTTCTGGGTTTCTGATGCTTCTGGTAGCTTCATGATATCTTTTTTTATGTTGCGGTCGTGGGGTTATGATTTCGCAGTCATGTCGTAGTACTTGATCAATGAGTTGATCAAAAGTTGAGGATATATGGTTATCATCGATGCGAACGAGCGAACATATCCTTCTTCAACTTTCATAACATTATCACTCAAAGTTTCGGTGCGAAGTGAAAGCAGTACAGAGGTGAGGTTCAAATTTCAAGGCGCAAACTTCCAAGATTCAGCCAAAAGATTCGAGCTTGACCAATGGGGAATGCTTTATTGGTTGCATTGTACCACCGTAGTGGGGGCCAGGATTTCCAATGTCGATCTTTCAATTAGCGTCAGCCTTGTCACTTTCAGCCTCGGTACTTTTCATCATTGTCATCTTACCTCTTGGTGAACTGCACCATTACCCACAGGAAAGAAGTGTAGTGAACGGTTTTCATCCTACAATCACCTTGATATATTGAAGGCGAGGATTCCGAAATTTCTGCAGATGCAACCGAGCTTTGGGAGAATCCCATTCTCCTCACTCTTTGAACAACATTAAATTTGAAGTATTGGCGGTTCTGCTCTTAAGACTATTCGCGATGGCTGCCAATTACTGGGAGGTATTCTTCACAACAAGGTCCCATCCTTTGAACTAAAGTTAATCTATTACCTAGTCAACTCAAAGAAAACACTGGCAGTTCACCCGGGAGCAACTGGAGGATTTACGATCGAAGCTTGAAGATGAAGATCCAACCCTCGTACAGGGATACCCTCTGCCACCGCTGAGGCATCTGAGCATATATTTCAATCAACGTATGAAGCACGGCATATAAAGTCTTAAAGAATTAGACGGTTGATACTTGATACAGAAATGACTCGACTTGTAAAACGTCTCGGGGTGCGACAGCAAGTAATGGCCACAGCACAATTATACATCCGCCGATTTTACTCGAAGGTCGAAATTCGGAAAACGAATCCATATTTGGTTCTAGCAACAGCAGTATATTTGGCCTCCAAGATGGAAGAATCCCCGCATCATATCAGGCTTGTGGTTAGTGAAGGTAGAGGATTATGGCCTGGTATGTTCTCCTTTACCTTCAGTTGACATTGCCATCGCCAGAAATTCGCTGATGATAATAGAATATTTCAGCAATGATACTTCGAGGCTCGGAGAATGCGAGTTCTTTCTCATCTCCGAGATGAGTTCACAGATGATTGTTCATCATCCTTATAGGAGTTTAACTTCTCTACAAGGGATTTTCTCTCTAACAGCAGAAGAATCCAATCTTGCTTGGTCGATTGTAAATGACCATTACATGACCGATTTACCGCTCTTTTATGCACCCCATACTATTGCCATCATGGCCATTCTTCTAGCTCTTGTACTTCGACCAAATGCAACTGGAATTCAATCAGCTAGTAGTTCTTCAGCTACGAACATTGCGAGTGCCGCGCAAGCTGCATTAGCGGCCGCTGGTCAAGCGAAGAACGGGACCCCTGATAAACAAGGGGGGAGAACGAAAGTACAAAGATTCGCAACTTGGCTTGCAGAAAGTACTATTGACATTGAAGCAATCGTCGATTGCACGCAAGAAATGATTTCATTTTATGAGGCGCAAGAGCAATATAATGAAAAGCTTACTAGGGAACAGATCAATCGATTTATCAAAGCTCGAAACTTGGATAAATGAAGCTAGCGCCTTGAAAGACAATAGGAAAGAGCCCAAGTGGTAAAGCAAACTAGTGGCATGTTTCACAAATATCCGAGTTGAAGGAACTTGGAAAGGAAACGGGACTGGACAAAAGTTCACACCTGCCATATCATGAAGCTTCTCGGATATTGGAAGAGGAAAAGATGAACTCCCATCTTAGTGGCAAATTGGAAACAGAGGGATGTTGACCTTCCCCCACGAGAACTACACAAACCTCATTGAAAGGGTCATGTGTGACAAACATGGAGACAAGTAGCTTGGCCAAATTCAGCTACTACAAATGGCTAGGCAGACCCATTGACTCTATCAACAAAGTTGATCTAAAATTTTGCATCGCATCATACTCGCAGCTCCTCAAGTAAAATTCGAAACTTCACTCTACATCCCACTAGGCCAGTACATTCGCTAGATATATCTCAATTAGTTAACCTCAAGGATAGATCTACATGTCGTGAGGTTCTGACATAGCATATACTGGTCTCATGTTCGACACGTGTCTCTGCTTTTCGAGAGCAAATAATATGTTCTACGTGGATTGGATTTTGGAATTTTTGAAGTCATTCAAAATGGGTTTTGTGTGACGTGGCGGGAATGCTAGGTGATTGGCCTAGAGGTATTGGAGGCAGCGGAGACAATGAAATACAAGATCTTGGTGGACAATTTTGCAAGGCATTCGAAAAGGACTCTCGTCTTGTTTGTTGGAGAATGAGACTGCTTTTTGAGGACGTATGATTAAGTAAGGATTTGACTCGACGACATCATACCACGAACCTTCTCACTACGTCAAGACTCGTTTCACATACAGCTCCACTTCGAGACTCGGTTTTCTGGCTCACTTGATCGCAAAATTGATTCTAGTTTCATATGTCTGTAGCAGAGAGATATCGAACATCTTACCACTGCAAGGTCAACTACATCTTCTAAATCTATCTCGTGGGTCATCGAACTTATAGCTTCGTGTTTGGAACATCATACCACTAATTTCACAGTAGAGTTATAACTACAACCACTTGTAACACAGCATCTGATGTCTATTCATATCAGATGAATATTGTTTGCACCATATGGATACTCCTGCTGTAATCACAATCACCAAGGTACTTTAAGAAGCGAGAAATTCGCCACAGCCAAACCAATCTATCTTCAAGTGTTCACCGCCCCCGTCACTTAATCATGTTGTATTTTGTACATGATCTTCAGAATTTGTGATGGGTGCCCGGTGGTGGGGTAAACTCCTCAAACCGGGTTAATCCTCAAAGTGATTAAAATACGTTTATGCAACACAACTACCGTACTCTGAACAGTGAGTGTAATGTACAGTGAAAGTTGTGCAAAAAAGCGGTGAACATCTCAAACATTTCATTCATACAAAAGTACATACAGTACATCATTTAAACACACTCATCAGAGTCCTACACCAGAGTAAAGTAAACCAGTAGCCACTAACCCATCAACCCATTTCACACCCCCCTGAGTGTCACATCGAAACGCATGCTTCACATTATGATAGGTTTCTGATTTCAAAGGACCTTTCCTACGGAGTTGAACCCAAATGCACCCATCCAACCCTAGCTTGCCATTAAAGTACAGTACCGTACTCCGTACACATACACTTTCCCACATTCCGATAATTATTTTCCAAACTTCTAAGCGAGCCCATTCATTCATTCATGCTTGCTTGCTTGCTTGCTTGCTTGCTTCACCATCATTATTTTCCAGCTTGGCGCCAGATCTACTAGGACTAGGACTAGGATGATCTGGAACAAAAAATATTGTGAGACTTGGCAGCTTTACAGGGTCTCAGGGAGGGATGGTGAGCCCCGTGCGCTGTTTGCACAACTCACTCAGCCTTCTCCGGGATTATTGAATGGGTATTGAATCCTTTTGGGGACGGGCGTGCCCGGTGGATGGATGGATGGATGGGTAGATGAATCATGGAGGGGAGGGTTTTCCTGTCTGGATTTCTTATTTCGTGTGTAGCAAGCAGGTGCAAAGTGAGAGTATTATTATTAGTGTACGGTAGCTCCGTCGAGCATCTAGAATAATTCCGTGGTATTTGTTGCATTGTTCAAAGGAACATTCGTGCAGATCCGATATCATGCCATTGCTTTATAGGCTGTGTTGTATCATATTTGATAACCAAGAGCCTTTCTAAGTAGTGGGTGAGTACATCATCACGACTCACGAGTGTGTTGTGTATCGAGCAAATCGAGCATTTCGTTTGTAATGACCCTCCATAGTGGTGGGTTGATCGTTGTAAATGGACGGTGGTGGTTCAACTTGTGGTGTTATGGGTGTTGTGATGATTAATTTAGAACACTAGCATCTTTTATGCACGAATTGTCCTTTCCGCAATCATCAATCTTTCGACTCTCCCACAATCTCCCACTCGTGCCATTATTTCCGTTTCAATGTGGAGTTACCCGTCGAGGCTTGAGGGGAAATCGAATTTCGGAAATCTTACTGCATTCTGGGCATTTCACGCAGCTCTATCGCTTCCTTTTAAATGAAAGCTGCCGTTGGTGCTGGTTATCGCTGGATAAAACGGAAATGAGAGTCCTCGCGCATGCGATAGTGAACAGAGCGTTAGGTTATTTCAACCCATAACAATTAGAGGGTACTGCGGTTGTATGATCTTCAGGACTAAGTTCAATGGCTTTCAGACTTTCAGACTTTCAGTCCTTCAGTCCCTACCAATAAACCCCATCTGTTCAATAAGTGCTTCTAAAACATCATGCAAAACTAAATTTGCCAGGATGCAGAGGTCAGCGAGGGAAACTTTAGTCGTGTATAGTATAGTATCGCATAGTATTTGCTGGCACTGGCGCTGGTGCGCTGACGGCGGTTGTATTTCTTACTTATCTGATTTTGGGGGGGTTTGATGGTGGCCAATGATTAATTAGGAGAACCATTTGTGCAGCACTTGTGTACAGGACGAGGGCGGGAGGGACGGTTGCTGATCCTTGGGTGTTCCAGATTTTAAACATCCTTCCTTTCATCTGGTTTTAATCTGTAGGGTATGATTTTATAGTGTGGTGGTGTTCAATCCGCAAGTACGGAATAAGCAAGCACCATTAAGAGCACAAGACATGCCCGATGTAAACAAAAGGAATAATTCTTTTTCTGCACCATCTATTTGGAAACATTGTTGTGCTCCGTTGTGTAGTTTCTTTTTTTGTACTGAAGATGTTCTAGCTACTTTCGAATGGTAAATACATTATTCAATTAACTTTGAAGAATTCAATATTCGTACTTGACAGTGGACATTTCATTAAGATTAAATAAATATGGAAATCAATTTCTTGCCATGACCATATGGAGATAATGATAAAGATTGGGAATGGCAGCGTAATTTCGGTGGGAACTATCTAATGAGATCATCAAATGAGTAATTGGATCATGGCATGTTGGGCCTAGAGACTCAGAGCTGAGTGCTAAAGAAATGAATGAATGACCTCTAGAGAGGGAGGGAGGTTCCAAAGCTCCCACCCAGGTCCCCACGGACGATTTAGAACGTAAAAGTCCCTCAACTCTACTATAGTACTACGGTACGGATACCTCTGGAATCCCTTGTAGACTCCGTTTCGATCCGCCCGACTCTAGTAATAGGAAGGAAAGACGGAAAGTTTTATCTACGGTTAGGGCTTGTTGCGTTGTTTGTTCTTAAAAAAAACTTGCTATGCAGGTGCTTGAAATGTATTGATTTGAATGGTTGAAGCAGAAGCTTTAAAGCCCTGGTGGCCCTGGAAGTGTGGCAGAGTTAATCGGAACTCAGAGGGAGGTTGTACCTAGAAGGGACGGAATAGCAAGGGGGTTAGGGATTAGTGATTAGTACGGAGACCATACGACATTCTTTTCCATGCCTAAAACGCCTTTAATGCTTCCTTTCACAAATCTCTACGACAAAAGGAGTTAAGTGATCTTCTATTTCGCTTACTCGACCGGTAAGAAGTGTGAGATATTTCGTTTGAATGCAATCTAAGTAATTTTGGGCTTAGTCGCCAGCTAGCTCCATCAATTAGTGCGACTTCCCATTTCAATTTGCCACTACTCACTACTCACTATTGCCTCTCTTTCCCCTCCCAGCCATCATCTAAACCTACTTGTTCTCCCACATTACTTTCCATCGGCAATTCTTCAAAACATTCAAAATCCTTTCTTACTTCTTCCCACAACTCAATCTTCACTTCGGAACCAAATAAATAAATAAATAAATAAATCAATACACAACGTCATTCGATAAACATTAATACCAACCTTTGATCCATCTTCGAACATAGCATTCAATTCAATTTATCTTTATTCATCCTATTATAGAAATCAACCCGTCAACAACTCTACTGTCATCCCCGCCCAACAAAATCCTGTCAAATTCCTTTGTTGCTCATCACAAAGCCTTACCGTTCGGCTCACTTTTCCACTCAGCACAACACAGCACAGCAAAACACACAACATCTTACCACTCACTCTTATATTATCCGCCTCCAACATACATGAGCCGATAATGTCTTCTTACTATCAACACTTCAACGCTCATCAACAGCATACTACTCCTTCAAATGTCCAAAATGGGTCGGTACACAATCGAAACAGTCGCCGAAATACCCGGTTACCACAAAATGCCGCCCAAGCCAATAAGCAGTACCAGAAGATCGTGAAACGTGAAGAGGAGGCTGCTGCGGTGATAAGTTATCGTCGACTTTTTGAATACGCAAGATCGTTCGATTTAGAAGACGATGCAGAGTTCTGTCCAAACCTTCTAACTGAAGAAGATATGGTCTCCATCAATGGTTCGGCTTCTGATCGTTCTTCCTTGTCAAGTGGATCACCTACGAATTCACCACAATCGACACAGGTATCGGTAAATCTGTCTCCTGATACGAACTTCTCCCTCAACTCCAACTCTCATCCGTTCATTTCATCCGGTTTCAATGTATCAGCACTAAAGATTCATCAACCTTCCGCTACACGTATTGGCAGAAACGCTATTCCCATTGTGAATCCCAATGATGGAGGATTAATGTCGAGCCCACCTTCCTCGGTGTCACCCGCCAGAATGCAGCAGCACCAACAACAAACAAGAGTTCCTATCCGATTTTATTAAACCTTCTCTGCTTCTGTCTTCACCCATTGGCATTTGGTTTTCTTAACTTCGCTTTAATTTGTTTACGCATTCTCATCAATCTTCATTCTGGTGGGCTGACCCCTCTCTTCGACATCGATCTTCCCGGTAACGGCACACAACAACAACCTCAACGAATCCTCTTGTATATTTCTCCGACACTTCCCCCTCTTCATATATTCTTTGAGATGGTTTAATGGGCGCGCGACATCAAGATATCGATACCTTTGTTCAAATACTGAGATGGTTTTCCCAATTTTAATGGGGTTTGATTTGAGCGCGCATGCATATTTTTGCGACGGGGTTCTGGGATTAGCATTTATTTAATGGGTGGGAACTTGAAGCGGCGACTTCATATGGGTCAACGAAAAAAAGATATATCTTTCAAAGTTACATAGAACGATTTCCTTTTTCTGTCAATGGAGAAAGGGATACTGGTGTTTTATTTCTTGGTGGTACATGGTCGGACACAAAGATTTTCCATCTCAAACTCTTTGGTATTATGGATCCATGGTGTTGGTTGGGTGTGTTGAACAAAGTCGAGCGCTACTTCCTTGTATGTTGAGCGCGTCTTGTAGCTGGTGTTGGGTATCTTGGGCTTGTTTTTGGAGCGGTTTAAGTACATCATGTATGCGGCTGCATATTTTACATTGCGTTCTTGATGTAATTCGATCCAATGTCATTATCATATACTTTGGCTGGGGCGAGGCGATTTTGTGTGTACTTGGGATGATATCAAGAAACTTGGGTATTTCTAGGTCTTTGGGTGGTCAGGTACAAGCGTCACATAGTTGCGTTTGAAATTTATTTAAATATCATATTATTTTTTCTGAATATTATAAGATGCGTTATTTTACTATTATTTATTTGTTACTATTGTTGATTACTACCGTTCCTTGATGTGTTATGTTTATGTTAGTGCTATTTAGATATAGATATAGATATAGATATAGATATAGGTATAGGTATAGGTATAGGTATAGGTATAGGTATAGGTATAGGTATATATATAGATTGAAACAAAGATAGCATTGTCACTAAATACCTAGGTAGGTGGGTAAATAACTATATTATATTAATGAAAATAATCACCCAAAGATAGGTACTGACTGTACTTATTCAGACACATGAATGTATGTTGGAACAGCTTCATGTACAGATGCACAGGTTATTTTTCCTGATAGCAGAGAAGAAGATGTACTGGTTGCTTGTCTAAGGTGTAAGCAGTGTGAGCTTGTCTTGTCTATGGTGTAAGTAAGCTTATGGTGGGTGGGAGGAGTGGTGGAAGGGGATTAAGGTTATGGGAAAATCGGACTTGATGGTGTTGGTGGTGAGATGATAGGGTTATAGCGTGTGGTGGTGGGAAGTGATATACATCTTGAAGGTTTGATGACTAGATGTATATTGTATTAAATACATACCCTACCTCTTCCTCTTTTATATTTTCATTTATATTTCCATATCTATTTCATATTTATATTTCCACATATACTCTGTATATGTATTCCAATTCAACTTTGTATTTGTATACTTACCTACTTACCTACCTATTACTTAACTTTCCTTACTTACCCCTTTACGGAAAAAATCGGGAAAAAAAAATGGAAAGATACTCGAGTACGGAGTAGCAGAAATCGAATCGGGAAATCGGAAAATCGGAGATCGTGAATCGTGAATCGTGAATCGGAGAAATTAATGAAATGGGATATGAGAAATGGAAAATGGAAAATGGAAAATGGAAGATGGAGATATGGAAAATGGAGATACTATTTACCGGGTGAGTTTGTGTTTGAGTTTGGTGGGAGATGTGGGATCGTGAAGAAGATGTAGTAATTGTTTTTGTTTATTAGTAGGGAGATGGGAAAGAGGGAGGAGGAAGGAGAATGTATTGAATGTATGGATTGGTGGGTGGGTAGATAGGTTTATGGATTTATGGGGTGATTTTTGAATGGGAATTGGAATTGGAGTTGTGCATATGTATATATATGTATATATGACAGATAAATAGGCGACAGATGAGAAAAGTCCGAAAATCGCATCTATGTAACACCTAGTCGACATTAGCCCCTGAATTAGATATCTAGGTATTTACGTACTTAGTGGTTGGTAGGTACTACTCCGGCACTTCATGACTCGGGAAATAGAGAGATAGAAAGTTGAAGCCTAGTGATTGATATATGAGCCTGAATATCAAGGTATTAACTGATCAAATGGTATTTTGTACTACGTAGATGGTAAAGTGAAGTTTTGCGGTGGCGTCGGTAAAACCTCGGATAAAATAACTTTTCAGTGTAGATTTTACAGTTACTTAAATAGGTATAGTGCACCGGCTAACTGACTGTTAATGATGGATGGGAATGTTGATCAGTAAAAAATGGCATACGTCATTTCGTCATTGTATCATTTTGGTGCACATACATTTATTTCCCCGCCTAAATTAGAGCTTTGAAGGTTTGAGGTAGGAGGGAGTGGGAGAGGTAGCAAGGCAGTGTATATTGTAGAGCAAGCAGGTTTCCAAGATTGTGTTGTTTTTTGCTCATTTTTTTTATTGGGTTGTTGTTAGGTATGTGATGAGGTATGAGGTTGGGATTAGTCAGGTTGGAAGGTGGTTCTAGAGGATCAGGTTCATTTCTTGTTGTTGAAGATTTGTATCTTAGAATTTGGGAAGTTACTTTACATATCTATCTATCTAGTTTACTACTTTACAATCATCATCGCATACGCAATTGATAATAAGAAGAATAATTATACAGTCAATCAGTGAGTTATTTGTTCAATTTAATTCAATTCTGATTCTATTAATTACATATTCTTTTCCTTGATCTCGCAAATACACAGAAAGTAGAAGATCAATAAACTAACATCTCCAGAAACAGATCCGCCACCTTCGTCTTCACTACAGATATCAAAAAATAATAGCAAAATGTCTTTCTTCCTTCGTCAATCCATTAGAGCTGCTCGTCCAATCTCAATTGCAGGACCTGCTAGACGAACATTTGCAAATTCGAGTGTGAGAGCTTTGAAAGAGAGTAATAAGGGTGAGTTTGTCTTAGTATATTGAACATCTGGTTTCGGCAAGGAATTACATGGTATGGCTGGAGAGTTTGATGCATGCATCAAGAGATTTATACTTGCAAAACATATAGATCTTCTCGGTGTGGTGTATCAATTCTGCATATCTCAAATCCCTCTGAGAACATCATATCCAGCATCCTTATTTTCTTCACACATCATACACACTCAATTCCTGTGCATAAAAGTCAAAATATCAACCACTAATTAATAAATGTAAATAGATACCCCTGATACAGCTGCCGAATATGAAAAACACAAGCAAGACCAATTGGCTAAACAAAAAGAAGGCAAGAATCACTGGCAAGCGGAGCTGGCTAGTAATAGTGAAGAAGCTGTAGGTTATTTCTGACTCTACGTCATTTGCACTTTTTTTTCTTGTGAAATACTGCTTTTTTTCGATTACTTCATGCGGAGTTCAACATTTATGGGGAGAAAGTTTCTCGAGGGAAGTCTGGCATGTCAGATAGTTGGTCTTTGTCTGTGGCTTCATACATATCGACTACTTTGTCGTATCGTAGGATCAGTGGTGTTGTGGGGATTCTTACTATGGAATGACGGTTTTTGAAGGAATGATATGAATGCATATTAATGCATCGGATATACATTCTCTGGAGAATGGCGGGTTGGGTCCTAAAAGGGAGAAAGAAGAGTAGACGCGAAGAATGAGATCATATTGATGTCAGAAGGGAGTGACGAACCCAAGAACCACGAGATGTTTAAGAAGTCTAGCAGTACATAGCGGCCGATAGTTCTACCCGCTTCATCACCCCCAACTCTAGAAATTCCATCTCGAGTTCCTTCATCCGCTTTTCCTTCTGTCTATATTTCCCTCAAGTTAATTCCACAAAATAGTCACAAAGATATATAAACAAACATACTAATACAAAACCACACATCTATAGGTAGCAGCAGATCGCCACGAACACTCCGATCACTCTCCCGAGGGGATCAAGGAATTACAGAAGAAGACTGAGAAACATGCTCAGGAGAAACATAAGTGATGTGTTGGTGTGTTGGGAAGTGTGAAGCTGGGATATGGAAATGGAAATGGAATGGGAAATGCATGAAATGAGATGAATGTATGATAGGAGTTCAACAACAGACAGTACTATGAATGAATGAATACTAGTTGCTAATAAGGCGTTTTTTGAAGTTTCTGAAGGAGTATGTGATAGGTTGTATGTGATGGTGATACGTGATGATGTGATGGTATGAGATTATTTAATCTCGTTTCTACTCCGCTTGGTTTGTGGATGGATAGGGGTACCGGGGTCATGGGTGTATGTATGTATGTATGTATGTATGTATGTATGTATGTATGTATGTATGGCCACATAATCCTTTAATCACCCTCTTACCCATAACCAAACCTCGAATTCAAACCTCATGATCAAAAGGAATCACAAGTTGGGATACTAAGTATTCCGCTTGCAGAGAGAGAGAAGGCGATGAGGGGAACTTCAAAATAGGATTGAGAGGGCATCAAGATTAATAATTTGGATGTCTAGGCCAGAGCTCTCAGAGATATATTTAGTTGGTATTGTGGGATAATTGTTGGAGAGAAAGGGGAAGTGGAAGTGAGACAGAAGTGGAGGGGCAATAACTCTATTGATAGCGAGGACATGTGATGAAAATGAATGGTATTTGTGGTTAGTTTGTGGTTTTTTGATGGTGGATAGGGAAGGTAGGGGACATTGCCTTTTGGTTGGGGTGGGGGGGAGGTGTTTATATAGTGGGTTGATGATATAGTATGATTTGGACTTTGGAGGTGATTGGAAGGGAGAAAAAGAGGGTGGATGGAAGCTGAGGAAGCGGGAAGGGGTAGTGAATGACGCGGAGTTTCGGGGTTTAGAGTGTAAGTAGAGGAGGTGAACATTATAGACAGAAAGTTAACAGGTAGTAATGACCCAAGCCAAACGAGAAATTTCGAGAAATCTCACTATTAAGCTTGACAGGAGCGAAGATATTAGGTTATGGACTTGGGAGCACAAGAAAAATTAGCGAGTCTTCTGCAAAGAAGGTTCGTTTATATAATTTTCAGTTTGCTATAGTAATTGGGAAAGGAGATGCTATAGGAGGATGTGAGCACTAGGTTGTTTTTGCGGTTCTGGGGGTCATGAATGCGTGTGGAAAGATACTAGGTATGTGGACTTCGGTATGTGATAATGATGGGAAGTAGATGATGGTGAAGGGGAATGTGGTGGTTATGGACAAGTGTCTTTTGGTCATTTATTGTGGTTTATTTTTGCCAATATGTGTTTCTCACTATAATATAATATCACATTTCTACTTAATACATACCCTCCTCCTCACTAGTTCCCCCCGTGATACTGTGTTGGTAAGGTTAGCGATGATTCTTATCCTTCTCCTGTTCTCGCTTTCTCAAAGGTCTATTCATTTAATTTACCAATTCACTTTATGGAAATCTGGAACCTGGATGGATGTAGAATATAGCCGCGGAAAGACAGGGAGAAGTCCCTATTCACTCCATACCCCATCCTATATACATATATTTAAGGAAGAGTTAGTAGTATGATTTCAGTAAATCAACAAGTCACCAGCGAGTTGGACAGATACATGACGTTCGAAACTCAAGGTTAAAAAAGGAGTAGCTTAATAGCTATATTACTATTGCAAATAAGCTTTCATGAAATCAATTCCGATTCGGAAATATATTCGCGCTTCTGCTGAGGCCAGGTTGAAGCTCGATTTGTCTATGGTTTTGAGTCCGGGGGCTGAATTGGGAAGGAAAAGCATGGGAAATGGTATCATTTTGAAAATTTAGGGAGATAGATGATATCGTCTGATTGTATATACTAGATTTCCAGTTCTAAATTTTCGTTACCTGTTATTCTTTTCCGTTACTGTCATGTACACTCTGATTACTACTATTCCTCGCCGACGAGGTCCCGTAAGCACATTGTATCTGGGTTGGAATCAGCTCACTTAGCATGTAATTATCTAATCAAATAGTTAGCTGGACATATTGTTTGCTGTGTGGAACTTGTATACGTCCTGTTGGCCTTCTTCAGGGGCACTAATTATGTCTATCTAGAAAGTGGAAGTTTGATTTACAGCAATAGCTTAAGTAGACATCTGCGGCTTTTTATTTGGGGGTGAGGGGTAATTCACTACAATGATAGCACTCTAGACCTCAACGAGTTTGCTTAGTACCAATGACTATGATTTACTCACTGATACCAATGACTATGATTTACTCACTGATACCAATCAATTTGAGAAAGGTAAATTTTACAGAATGAAGGTGTCTTCATTATAAAAGCTCCCCCTTAAGTCATCTTCTGTACTCAATAGCAACAGAGATGAAACCAAGTGGACAGTTGATGTTGTACACATACTTCCATTCCTCATGGATAGTTTCTACTTCGAAAGCTATTTCGCTAAGCCAAATTTGCAAGTCAGAGATGAGAATTGATATGCTATCAAACTTTGATTGTCGAAAAGCTCCATTGCTGTCTCTTAATTACGCGAACTTCTCATTACCGTTCTCTACTATCATCCTACCATGTCTTCGGACATAGTTTTGATAATATATATACTCGTATTCTAGCTTGGTGAAACTCAGTGGCTAATATTAAATAGGAACGTCGTATCATTGTGTTGTAAATAATCCGGCCCTGGTGACTTGAGCTTAAGCGGTCACAAAAACAAATGCTAAGGTTAGAATTCAATGTATTAAGCATTATCCATATTGATTTGACAGCAATTAGAATGGCTATCAGGCTTTTTGGAGCGGCTCTCGAATACGTGAGGCATTTTGTATGTAATTCTTCACAGCAAGCTGTGGTTAAACTAATCGTGTATGGTGATACTCTTAACGAAATTAAGTTCCTAAGCTTAAAATATTTTTGTTGAATTGGCAGGAGTTATGGATAGAAGAACAGCAAACGATTATTCCTTAAATAGAAATCGGAATGTTGTTGGATCTAGAGAATGGGAGACATGTTCAATGCATGTGATACATGTGAATGACTCCTCTTTTGAGAAGGATGACATTCACCTGGATTTGGAGGGGTAAAATTGACCTAGACTGATGGAGGGGAAAAAAAGGTTTGAGACGTATTTAAAAGGGCTTTGGATCTCTTCTTGAAATCTCCATAAGCAACTACATAGACAGAGGTGACTAGAGTTCAATGAGTTGCAGCAAAAAGTTATTTTTAGGTGTGCATTCGGGAAGTCTATCGATTCATCAGAATATAAAAACTCAATATGTATAATTTCTAGTTTTGATTATTAAAAGTGAGATTTCTTTTGTCATGTATTAATATTTCGTCTCATTTTTCATTTTATTTATTGTTATTCTCTAGAATATACTTTTGAGCTATCATTGGATGATATGTATCATCCACTTTTTCTATACTGTTGTCTAAAGCAAACATGCGATATTAGCTTCTTTACTTATATCTAATATCCCACACTCGAGAGAACAAATCTACAAAAACTTATGTCGTCTCGTGGAGATCAACTCAGCTACTATGGATTAAAATAATTTCATACAGAGATCTCTTAAAATAAGGTCTAAATCTTATTAATTGTTTTCGGAAGTAGGGTCCCAAGAACTAGCCAGGTACACATCATTCAGACTCAAGCAAAATGATGTCATTAGGCTGATGTCCTCAGATTGATAGCTAACGTCACTATAGCGAAGAGGGATAGAGCGAGTGAATAGCCGAATAGTGATGGGCTGTTTAAGAAAGAAGCTTGGGTCTTCAAAAGAGCTCTGGTTGTCTTCTCAAGCTGAGTAACTACATAAGCGGAATACAAAAGGCTAGGCATGTGTTGGAATGGCAACGTAAGAGATTTTGATTAAACTTTCTCCAAGCAACATTTCGAAATACTGAGGGAACGGAAGAGTGTTCGTCTAACAAGTTGCTACCAGACATGAGATCACTAGCCTGATTGTCGAAAAAATCAAACTGCTGCCGATGAAACAGCTTTTTGTCGAAGACCACTACTGGTGCTGCTATCAACTAATTTTTTATTTTTCTTTTCTAAATCATCGAGAACAGCTTTCCGTTTCTAACCTAATGATGCTGCTCCTAAATTTTCGAACTAATAAGTTCTTAAATCCTTTGTAAAGACCAGCTCTTTCTGCAGATTCCAAGCTTTTTAAATAAGTCATCCGCCACCGCCAGAAGCGGGGATCCAAAAGCTAATACTGTATGGAGAATTCTTCATTCACTCCATGGGAAACGCTGATTGTGAATACCGGGGAGCTGTACTGCTTCGAATTGATGTTTACGGAAAGGTTTAAGCGAATGAATAGAGAGAAAAGTCATATATGTATACCCTTGCTAAGCAGACCTCACTGGTAAAGCACCAGTATGAACATCCTGATTCTCATATTTATTATAATCCTAATTTGCTACAATACTTGCCTTAATCTTTGTATATTAAAGAATTCGAAAAGAGACTTGTTGAGAAATATATATTAGCTTCTTTTTCAAGACTTATCTCGAAACCCATCATTGTGACACTGTCATCCGAGTTTGATTCGGAGGTGGAGAAGGGGCATGTTCAGAGATGTGCTCAAAATTTGGAAGGCTGAATGAGAATTTAGACTTGAGGTGGCAAAAATCTGCGTCTCATTAATAGATATTGGTTTTATCATTCTCTCATTTTGCCATTCTACCTCAATCTCTCATCTAATTTCAACCTCACATTTCATCTCATCTCAACTTATCTTTCCGCAATCGTCTAATGATTAATCACTGTCGCCATTCCTCAACCCCATCATAAACTATCGACGTCCAACTTCGCTCTTGGACTTTGGTGCTAAATTACAATATTTGTGCATTAATGCACACAGGTAAATAGATGTGTTCTCGCCTCGAAGCAGATTCAGTAGGGAGAGAGAGAGAGAGAGCAGGAGATGGGAAAGATGACATAAATTCGGAGCGGTGAGAGGGCGGGGTCCGGTAATAAATATTCACTTGAGAAATTTCACAAACGAATGGTGAATGTTGATATCACGCTCTTATGTGGTGAAATAAGCTACTTCTGTTATCTGCTCCTTGGCTACCCCTACCCACAAGCCATTTCTCTTTCACTCTCGCAAATTAATATTATTTCACCTAATGATCTCTCTTCACAAAATGTCAAACATGCCAATTATTAAGCAAATACTCGATCATGGAATGGGAAATTTTGATAGCTTGAAAGGAATATCATTAAGAAGTCAGACTGACTATTACTACAAACTTTTCTCAATCAGTAATAATACTAAAAAGACAATTCGTGCACGTGGTTAATTTCATTATTGAATGTAAGACTACATTGGAACATCACATTTGAACTTTGCGTGACCTCGAACACGATCTTTCGAGCCAGGTTTGCCTCCTTCTTCCGACTCCATACATATTAAATGTAAGGTGGTATATTTAAGAAAAATTTTAACTCCGTAACCGAGGTAAGGAAAGATGTTAGGGTGCAAAAAAAGGAGTCAGGGGAAGCGAGAAAGAAAGGGTCCAGCACTTTGAACTGGAATCGGAGGATGTCATGATGTTGGAATTGTTTTGATAATGTAATTATAGCATCACATGAGGTTCTAGGATGGGGTTTGTAAAACTAGTTTCTTGGCTTCAGTATTAGGTTGGGACATCGGGGTTAGTGATTTTGTATGTGGCTTTTTACTGGAGATGGTGGATAGAAGAGCATCTTAGGACTTGAAGTTAATTTCACCATGGTTATATTACTTTTTTTTTGGCGAGGAAGCGGTTATAAAAGTTTCTGGGGGCATACAGAATGTTACAGTCTGATGAGGGTCAAGGAGAACTTGGGCCATTCTTCTATATGGTGCAGATGATGAGATATGCAGCTTGAGACATGATGAAAAGTCTGATATGACAAAAGTATTGTTATATAATTGATGGATCTGCTGAATCTCACACCGATCTGCATATTTTCACTCAAAAATCCTTTACTTAAAAGATGCCCGCTGAGTGCCGAGTGAACTTCGAGTACGATAAATCTATCAAACATTAAACCTCAATTCTATGCTCCCAGCCTCTCATGAACACAAGCTTCACACCTTCAAACCACCATTTATATCGGATGTATCCGGAAACTCATTCTCTCCATTCATTTCAAAGCCCCAATGACTAATACCAAAAACACAGCTTTCAAACATTGTAACCAACAGAAACCCTTCGAAAAGCCTATTCATGAAACCAAAATGAAACGCCTTTCGGCGCTTCTCTTACCCTCACCATAAATTTCCTAAATAAGTAAGTAAATCAACCTCAATTATGCTCTCTCTTATTGAATTGAGGAATCTTCTTCTTTGATCTTTGCTCTCCGACTCTTTGGTCTATATCCTATATTCTCACAACTTAACTTACTGCCAAGTAAACAAATGGATCTAGTAAAATCAAGCCATCACTAAATGAACTCAAATAAGACAAAGTAAGTACCTACACGACAAAGCAAGCTATCTGATCCATTATAATATATAACAAAGGAATATGGTCTCAACATCAATAAAGAAGAGGAAAGTACCTAGCTAGCACACTAACTCAGCGGATCAAAATACATTTTACCGCATTTGTAAGATGAAAATTAAACACTTGTAAGTAGGTATTTTTTGACACGGAATCCAGCCTGGAGAAATCCGAGAATCCAGTTCAGTAATCACTCGATCCATTTCAAACAAGGAAAGATAACTGCAAGAATTTCCAGACCTCAAGTAAAATATCTATATACCCAATGAAACAAATCTAGTCTACCTCAAATGACCAACTAACCTTACCACCTTACCAAACACCTTGGAAGTTCCCGAATATAATTTCATCTGCTTCTGCAGAAAGGTTTTCTTCTCTTCCTACACATATTATATGTCTATTTACTATAGCTATCGGGATCATTCATAAAACTCGAGTATCCCCCTATAAATTTTACTCATACGCAAAAGCGGTCTAGAGTTGAAGAAATAACAAAGGACAAGATTGGTTATTCAGGGCCGCTCACCCTTTCAGCAACTTTGCACAAAAAAATAAAGGAATTCAAGACAATAAACTAGGTACTAATTAGTGATGGAGCTGACTCATAAAAATCCCTTGCCGATATACTGAAATGAAAATCATAATCATACATGCATGATACTACTCTAAATACAAGCATGAAATGTATTTGTTCATTTACATTTATAGTAATAATATAGAGAAAAAGATCGTATAATAGCACCTCGCATATATCAGTGTATAAATGTATGTACCAAGCCTCAATCCACCCCATCCCTATTCTCAAGAGATAATGTACCATTCATCAGACGTCATTTTGCATCCAAAAGAGTGACCACCAAACAGTCGCGCTAAAAATATTGTCCAGCATCCCAGTTTCCAACCAACTAACAAAACGCCTAATGTAGATGCATCTCAGCTTAAACCATTCCCACGACACGCCGACAAAATTTTAAACCATCACTCCCTTGTTGAAAACACCCTATTGTTATATGATATCATGCACTACCTTGGCGGCGGTATAGAAGCATAACGGTCTGGTGGCTTTGTGTATCAGCGAACCTTATACCTGGTTCCACTGTATGGTCACTGAACTTGTGCCATGCATCCGTCCACGTATTATTTGCATCTATCCTACGAGCTAATGCCCAATAGTGACCCGACTTAGGAGTCCCACTGTGCTGTACAACAGCATAACAATCATATAAGAATGGACGTTTCTGCTCTGCAGGAAGTTGGTCTGAATAGTCATCTTTCTCTGATAACCATGTGTATTTTCCCATGTCAAGAATCTCTGGAAAATCTACTCCAATGTTTGTGCTGTAATTTATCCGGTCTGTACCCATCAGAACTTTGTTCAAATGCAGTATAAGATAATCCGGTAGGTGAGAAAAGAGGAGCTTCTTGTTTTTTCCCTTCATGTTGCAAACATCACAAACCGCGTCTTCTGCCGTCTCTTTCTGATATGCAAAGCTCTGAAGAAGAGAATCCAATGTTTGCCTTGCCCCTAGGTTGGGGTATACATATAGGGGTATTGACGAACCAAACATTGACGAGCAAACATATTTGTCGCCGCAGTTATCGCAAGTATTCTCCCACAAAGTCTGGCTGCAGATCAGATTTCCAAGGGGTGAATTCGAGCATTCAAGGGCTCGTTGTTGTGCTTGACGACAATTTTGGGTTCTGGGCAATGCATGATCTTCTACCCCGGCATACGCCCCAAAGTCGACATCTTTAACAGATTTGTCACGGTTGATATTCTGTTCATCCATAATTCTATCAGAAAGGAATCCTAAAAATTCGCCGCAATCATGTTGTGTTGCGCTCCCATAAGTTGTAACAGGTGTGTGCACTTCTGCATTGTCACTTGCGTAAAGTTTGGGGTTGGCGCCTAAATTACCTTTATAGGCAACAGCAGTTGCATGGACATATTGCTATTATCAATTAGTCAACGAGCTTTTTAGGTTTGAATGAGCTCACTTGAAACATTCTTGGAACAATTTCATCATATTTTCCACACCACATATGTTGTAACAAACTGCGAAGAGCCCGGGTCATTAATTGCCGTGGAGGGCTGTCTTCGTGTTGCTTTTTCGGAATTGCAGGATTGCAAGGATATTGAAATCTAATAAACAAATTCCTAATTGCCGGCGAGGCACTGAGTATCTGGATGGCAGTATTCATATAGCACAGGCTCCCCGTGACGTTTCTTAGACCACATAGACCGGGTTCAACACGGGGAGGAGCGCTAGAGTTTCCCCCTGTCATAGCATAATTCTTATAGGGGGTCTTTTCGGAAATACCACTAGATCTCTGTCTTGGTAAAGCTGGTGGCGGTCGAGTTGGTGGGGCCGAGATCATTGATCCATCATAAAGAGGCAATGACCTCGGCTTTGACGGCAACGCCATAGACTGTTTGACTGTGGAAATTTCTGGGTATCTTCTCATAAATTCCTCGGTCGTTCTGGCATAACGCGATTCGTCTATAGCTAATTCCTGAGCAGGTGCATCGTCAGTCTCAACACATTCTTTTAATGCCTTATCCCACTTTTCTTCCTCTGTCGCTGATAATGTCCGCGATCTAGAGATTGTTCTCTTCGTTACTATGGTTTTCCGAGGTTCACGTGCTATGGAGACTCGACCCAAAGCGTGATGATCATGCTTCTTAGTTTTAGGCAGAGATTTATTGCCGTGAATTGCGCCTTGCAGCGCGCCAGATCCAACGAGGTCCACCCAGGAGTCTACACCACCAGCAAGTAACATTGGTCGTCGCTTCAATGGACGATCATAAGCATGATCGTAAATAATTGTACCGAAATATTGCAAATTATTCAAGAGTTCGGCTGAAGGATGTCCCGTGTTTATCAGCGTCGATGATTGATCATAATAGACTATTAAATCGAATATGTGCCTCTGGCTATATAACCTTTGTTCGAACTCAGGAGAGAGCACAATTCTATCTCCAAGTTCCTCTGCGGACATGTCTTTTCCTAGAGATATAGGTTCAATGCAAATAATTGATTGGGACATGATATGCCCCTCGTCGAATTCTTCTCTACTTCGAATATCCACGAGTAAAAGGCTCAAGGTATTAGAGCCCATTTTGAGATAATCATAGAGCTGTTCCGCAGTAATAGTTGTGGTATTAGGTATCGAGGGCCTGTCGATCGCAGTCTCAGGTTCAGGATTATCATGATCAAATGTGTAATTATTGACCTCGGAACTTGAAAAATAATCCATTGTATCATCAGCCGCTATTCGATTACGATTCATCTTCGGCGTTGAATTTGAGGACTCCGTTTTCCCATTGAGGTACGAGGACCCTCGAGATAACAATGGCGGCTGATTGTTAGTGGAAGCGACGTCTGCGCTTCTTGCGGGACTATATATTGCATCCGGCATCCTTGGCATCCCAGGAACACTGGTACTCGTACCAAGAATTGGTTTTTCTGTCGTAAGAGGTATTGCTAAACTCGTTGGCATTTCCCTTGGACCGAGAGGCCGCAATATGCTCGCATTTTGCTTGGGCAGCGATACGGCATTTGTTGATTTTCGATCTACTGTGATTCCATCTGGAATAGTGATTTGTTGCGTCCGAATCCTAGGATCTTGAATAGGGGCTGGATTGTTTGAACTTCTTAGACGGGCAAATCGTGTGGCCAGGTCATTCTCGGATGAAATGGATAGAGTGGGCGATATACGATTTGCCATCTGGATCGACTTGCCATGGAGCCCTTGTGGTTTTGGCTGTACAGTTGGCTTTGGACGGCTTTCGCTGCTTTTTGTGATATCTATGGTATCAAGTTGCCTGTCGGCTGCGTTACTATATACATCTCGCATGGTAGGCTCAAATGCACTATTGTCGATATTTCTTGGAACGGGTTGTCCATTATGTGTAAATGAATTGGATGGGCTAATTCCCGTTCTTGCGTTATCCTCTTTAATTAACCTCTTAACTTCCTCGAATCTGCTGTGTTGTATGTTGAGCCTGTTTTGTAGGCCAGCGTATAGTCGAGGATAGTCCGGTCTAGTCCTTAGGTCAGGGTAATGCGGACTCTGGGGAATATACTCCACGGCTATTGTAAAAGCTACGATGTACTGTTGAAGAGCCAAATCCAGACGTTTGAAATCGAGCAATGTCTCCGCTTGTTTCGCAGCTTCCTCGCCTGCCTCCAGTAACTTCCGTAATGAAGACTGTCTATCGACAAGGGGTTTCGCATTTACCAAGTCGCTCAAATGCGGTAGCACTCGACTTTCGCCCTTCGAGTTGTCAACACCATTAATCCAATTTCTTCTTGTAGTGTTGATCGGTCCAGTGCTATTGATCGAAGTAGCTCGCAAGTGGGGCCCACCGATGGCTGCTGGACTCATAGTTATGGATTTTGGGAACGCTGCTGAAGCACTCCGTTCTATGATGGAGAAGCTGGGCGTCGAATTAAATTAAATCGTGTTTCTTTAAGAGCTGGTTGGTTGAAAGGGAGACGCAAAATGGAAAATGGAAAGAAAGGTTCCGGGTTTGGATGGGGGCGTGAACGGGAAATGTTCAAAGAAAGTTGCATGAAAGAGGTTCAAAGAATAATTAGACTTGAGACAAAAGTTGTGCTATAGAGTTAGGGAAAAGTTATTGTCATTAGATGTTGTCTTCGTTGTTGCTTTGCGCCACAAACATTCTTCGAAGAGTTGAATTCCTTATGCATTGGACTGGGTAGGTACGGAGGCTTGGATAAGGTAGTGCGGGTGTAAGATCGGACGTTGTATTTCGCACGGAGTAAGGTAAGTGCTAGTAAGTCAGTCTTAGCTCCCCAGGTATAATCCTTATCGATATCAGTTTCTACGGGGCGATGAGTGATGAAAGGTCGTCATTCTTCCATGGTGTTATTCTACCAAGTTAGCCAGTGTGTACTTAGTATGGATGGATCCCTTGTGTACTCATCCCGTGCCACTCCGTAAAGTACCGGTTTGTCCAAATCTCTAGGTCATGTGATGTTTTGTGATAGAATCACACTTGAACGTACCTAGTGGCAGATGCACTACCATGCTTACATAGGAATTATTAGTCATCAACCTTCAAGTGCGATACCACTAAATCGTCACAGCACTAGCAGCTCCAAACTTGAACAGTCCAACGCTAGTCAACGACCGAAAATAAACTACCTACCTACCTACCTACCTACCTACCTACCTTTCTTTCGCATCTTACTTTGTCTAAGCATTTCATTTTACACTTTACACGAAGAATAGGTTATCTTTCCATCCGGAAAAGGAACAAGAAATAAAACCCGAGACATTTCACAACATCTACGACTTTCCCATCACCGTGGAAGCTACTTTTCTACTTTACGCATTCGCTGCGGTCAAATCCATCATCTTTAGATCGGTCTGAAATCAAATACCCGAGCATTTTCTATCGAAGTCACCAAAATGATGGCAGGATGGTTCGCGTCCAACTCTACTCTGGATGAGCAGATTGAAAAGGCTACCAACTCTTCCTTGTTAGTCCTGAAATTCATCGAGGGGTGTCACAATCGTTAACATTAACCAGAGAGGATATCGCACTTAACCTCGAAATCTCCGATGTGATCCGATCCAAAACTGTACGCGCAAATGAAGCTATGCGATCACTCAAAAGGCGCATAGGCAACAAGAATCCTAACTTTCAACTGAGTGCACTGAATGTATGAATTACTAGACTTCATCTAATAATACTAATTTACTGATTGTGATTCTAGCTTACGGATACTTGCGTCAAGAATGGCGGTTCGCACTTCCTAGTTGAAATCGCATCCCGGGAGTTCATGGATAATTTGGTCTCGCTTTTAAAGGCATATGGCGGGGCTGCAGTTAACGACGACGTCAAGAATAAAATATTGGAGCTTATCCAGAGCTGGGCTACAGCGACCGAAGGCCGTAGCGAATTGTCTTACATTGGAGAGACCTATAGAGCTTTACAAAGGGATGGTTTTCGATTCCCGCCCAAGACTGATGTCGCAAGCAGTATGTTGGATAGTAGTGCTGTGAGTAAATGATCACTTCCTCGTGAACTGTGCTGACCTGCTACAAGCCACCAGAGTGGATAGATTCAGATGTATGTATGCGATGCCGGACAGCATTCAGTTTCACGAACCGAAAGCATCATTGCCGAAATTGCGGCAATGTCTTTGACCAACAATGCTCAAGCAAAAACCTACCCCTCCCTCACCTTGGGATCCTACAGCCTGTTAGAGTAGATGATGGTTGCTACATGAAACTTACCGACAGGTCTTCAAGAGGCCCTACATTTACCAGCGAACGACCGCCTGCGCATACATCCCATAAACATAAGTCACATGCATCTATGCAACCCCGGGACGCGCGAGTGGATGATGGGTTCGATGAAGACCTTAAACGAGCTTTGGCAATGAGTCTGGAGGAGGTCAATGGTCACTCAGGGGCTGGTTATGTTCCACAGACGAAACTTAAACCTACACCAGAAGCTCGGGAACCGCCAAAAAGAGGAGTTGTTGCAAAAGATACAGGCAAGCCTGGAGACGAAGAAGATGACGATCTGAAAGCGGCGATTGCAGCATCACTTGCCGATATGGAAGAACAGAAGAAAAAGCATACAGCTACTATTAAGGAGCAGTCCTCTACTGCTGGCTTGAGTAACTCTTCTGCAGGTTCTCTCGTTCCGCCAAAAAACGATTACGAACTTACCCCTGTCGAGGCAGAAAACATCAATCTGTTCTCCACCCTGGTAGATAGACTACAGACCCAGCCACCAGGAACAATTCTACGAGAGCCGCAGATCCAGGAGCTTTATGATAGCATTGGTACTCTTCGCCCAAAGTTGGCACGTACCTATGGTGAAACAATGAGCAAACATGGTATGTATTTTTTTCAGCATCTAGTCTACACTAACTAACATGCCATAGATGCTTTACTAGATTTACATGCGAAACTTTCCACGGTTGTACGGTATTACGATCGTATGCTTGAGGAACGCTTATCGAATACGTATAATCAACACAGTATTGGAGGCTATAATCTTCCGCAGCAAGGTGCTGCGTCCAACATGTATCCTTCCATTCCTTCTAATGTACCCAATGGAAGTGGGGGCGCGGAAAGTTTTTATACGAGTAGTTCTCAAAGAGAACCTTATGCTCATCCCCAGTCGACATATTCCTATCCTCCTGGTCAACATGGTCAAAAGCAACACCCTGCATACAACAAAAGAGCATCTGTCTCTGATGTTAACTATCCTCCGCTAGACCAGCGAACTGAGAATTTCGCGCAGCAACAAGGCCACCAAATTCAACGTCAACATACTGGCAACTGGCAGGACAGTGATCTTGCCCCTCAATATCCAGCTCACTCTACCCCTTATTCGCCACAGCAGCAACACCAGCCACCTATCCAAGCTCAAGCACCAACAGGTGTTCCTTCTCAACCTCCAAACAATTTTGTTCCACTGGAGCTGATTAACAATACTTCGGCTAACCCCAATACAACGCCGTATTATGGTACTACTGTTTCCCAACAACCTCAATCAGTACCAGAGCAGTCAAGCTCTCAGTATCCGGCCCAATCACCCCCTCATTATCCGCACGCACCGTCACCTCAACAGTTTACCCACCAACCATCAAACCCACAAGAACCATCGTATCCTTCCTCTCAACAGCAACCCTCGTACTGGCAAACGCAACAACAAGCTCCAACACCTCAACAATCATGGCCCACGCCCGTCTCAAATTACACTGGGTACTCTCAAGAATCATTCCCGTCTGCCCCACAACATGTCCCTCAAGCAAAAGTAGTGGAAGAGAGTCTCATAGATCTTTGAACTATATTCTAAAGAGCGAGGTGTTCTGGTGCGAGTTACGTTTGTAGATTTCTTGAAGATCTTAGTGGGCGAAACTATGATTTCTAGGCTGGAGTTAAAAGACATCACGAAAACATGAATTTACGGACACCATTTTCCCCGGAGGGAATTGTATACTCTTATTGATAGTGTAATGAAAATTGACCTTAATTTGCGATGGCAAACATTGTATAATCTCTTGAAAGCTATGCCTTGCAACTGCCTGATTTGTCCACCTTGAAAGAGGTTATGCAAAGGTGCCTCTGCTGAGTCTTAGTAAATGCTCCATCACGAAATAATTAGTTTCTCGTCCAGTATTTTTTTTTTTTTTTATAGGTCGTCATCCAATATAGCAAGCTGGCTTAGCTTTTCGCCTAGTCTTCATAGACGAGCATTCTTATGACCGAGTAATACGATAGTCTATGTGTAAACCTGCCTGTAGTATTGTTTGATGAACACCCTCTTGTTTTATACCCAGCAATGGAAATGATTCGGATAAACTATAGCTTTTGGGTCATGGTATTCAATGTTTTCTAGTTTATTACGCGGGCTGTGTCAACACCTTTAAAAATCGCCTAGAACCTTAAGAGGGAGAGCAGCATGACTAAGCCTAGCCCACCATTAGCTTCATCAATGACGATATGGACCCCACGATACATTGGAACCCTTTTGCTATAATTATTTTCCATCTGACCAGAACCTCAAAACCTGCCACATAATTTTCTTTTAAAGTCTTCTCAATCCTTGCTAGTTTTAGTCAACTAGAAAACTGCGTGCGAGTTCTTCAGGACACAAAGTATCATTGTTAATTTTCAACACAAGATGTCGCGCCACAAGAACGTCAGAAATCTTGATCTTGATGATGAATTGGATGATTTTGACGGTGGAGATGATTACGGTTATGAGGAGGAGGAAGCTGGGGAAGGTACGAAAAGCATTTCCTATACTTGATTGCTTCCTCGCAAACACTGGCTGACTTGCATTGAAAGGACTGACCGCGGAAGATCAAGAACAAATGCGACAAGGAACAATCAAAGTTCGAGAAGCTTTACCTTCCGGTACAAGCAAGATCACAGAGAAACAAATACAAGAGGCCTTGTGGCACTACTATTATGATGTAGAGAAGTCGGTGAAATACTTGGTAAACACATATCTTCCAAAAGTGCCCAAGAAAGTTGCAGGAAACAAAAGTTCTGGTAAGTCAAGTTCATTTTGTCTTTGAATTTTTCTTTTTGTCACGAAAAGATTGCATACACATACTTGGACCGGAGGTGGGTTCCTCGTCTTATCCTTAATTTTTCCTTTTTCCGACATAACTCTAGCTAACACAGACGATAGAGTGTTACATTGGAGTCTCTTCTTCCCAGACATATACCACCACCTCATCCGCCAAGAACTTCTTTGCCAATATCCCGTGGTTTGACCTACCTCCGGAACGTGTTGCGATTTTTACACCTCCGCCACAATATCCAGGCGGACTTTTGGGAGGTTCTGCGGAGGGAGCTCCAAAAACGTCAAAGTTGCAGGCTCTAGCCGCGGCACGCAGGAAAAAGGCACAAGACCAGCAGAGTTTGACCTCGGAAGTTGAAAAGCCCATGGCCAATCTCTCTCTGAACAAGGCCGGGGGTGATAGCACAACAGAACTTCACGACAACAAATCTGTCAGCAGTAGCGGTGACTCTTTATCTAAAGATGCGAAGTATGGAGGATCACCATTCAGGAAGCGCAAAGATTCTAATCCCCACGAAAAAGTTCTGAAGCCGCAACCTACCTCTAGGAACCATCAGACAGAGATTGAGCCCTTAGTTGAATCTTCTCCCGTCTATCAGGCCAGCCCATCTGCATTCGCTAGTACCATGTTCCAAACTGCAAGCGTAACACCGAGGTCTCGGCCAGAGAACAATTTTACCATGCCGTACTCTTCAGAAGTTCTGAACACGCCAGCTAATCCTTTTGCAGGACCTAGTCCAGACGACGTTGTCATAGCAGCGCAGTCGAAAGGTTCGGTACTTTCTGCGACATCAAAGAAGTGAAACTAATCATATAGCAGCCGGCGGTAAAGGACGAAAAGGAACGCCAAAGGAATCACCAAATGAATCACGGGGCTCCAATGGTGTTGATGCGTCCAAAGTTGATGATGTGCCAAGAGCAACGAGCAAAAATTTAGATGTTCTAGCAGAGTTCGAGAAAACAAAAAGTAAAAATGCTGCGAATTTTGTAGTTATAGGTATATCAATACGAGCAAAATTATTGCTTTATTTTCTAACATTGATAGGTCATGTTGACGCCGGAAAAAGCACTTTAATGGGTCGTCTGCTTTATGACTTGAAGGTAGTAGATCAGAGAACGGTAGATCGGTATCGCAAGGAGGCAGAAAAAATGGGGAAGTCATCATTCGCTCTTGCCTGGATTCTGGATCAAGGAACGGAAGAACGAAGTAGAGGAGTGACGATTGATATTGCGATGAACAAGTTCGAAACCGAAAAGACAGTCTTCACCATTCTTGATGCTCCTGGTCATCGCGATTTCATTCCAAACATGATTGCTGGAGCAAGTCAGGCAGATTTTGCTGTGTTGGTAATTGATGCTAGTACCGGATCTTTCGAATCAGGATTAAAGGGTCAGACAAAAGAGCATGCACTATTAGTTCGAAGTATGGGTGTTCAAAGAATCATTATAGCAGTCAACAAACTCGATACTGTCACTTGGTCACGAGAACGTTTTGATGAGATCTCGCAACAAGTTTCTGCCTTCCTCATGGCCGCTGGCTTTCAAGAGAAGAACATCAAATTCATACCGTGCTCTGGACTTAACGGTGACAACATCGTTAGAAAATCGACGGAACAAGATGCGGTATGGTATACTGGACCAACTCTTGTAGAAGAGCTTGATAATTCTGAGCCTGTAGCTAGAGCCTTGAACAAGCCTCTGCGCTTAACAATTGGCGATGTTTTCCGCGGCGGTGTGCAAAATCCATTAAGTATTTCCGGACGTATCGAAGCTGGATCTCTCCAAGTTGGAGATCCACTCCTTGCACAACCTAGCAATCAAAAGTGTTTTGTCAAAGGACTTGAAGTCGGCAACGAAACTGTAGATTGGGCAGTCGCTGGTCAAAATATCACAATGCATCTGAGTGATATTGATCCTATTCATCTCAAGATCGGCGATGTCCTCTGCTTACCCAGTCAACCTATAAGTAACATCAAAACTTTTACAGCAAAGGTGTTGGCGTTTGAGTTCTTGACACCGATGCAAGTGGATGTTCATAGAGGGAGATTACATACTGCGGGTAAAATCAAGGAGATTGTGGCAGTGCTAGATAAAGGGACGGGACAGGCTATTGGTAAGAAAAAGCCGAGGATTGTTAAACCGGCGCAGGTGGCTAGGGTGGTAGTTGAGTTGGAGACTTCGGTGCCGTTGGAGGCGCCTACGAGAGTTATTTTGAGGAGTGATGGAGCTACGGTTGCGGCAGGGTTGTTGGAGTAGAGTGACGGATTTGAGAACGGACGGGAGATAGAGCGAGTGAGTGGTTTGACACCCGAATGAGGTTGAAATATGTTGAGGGTATGGGATATAATGTATATTACTCAAGGCCATAGTAGGGGCAACTTCTCTGCCCTTTGGATCTTTGCATAAACGCGGAATCAAGAATACATATATAATTGATAAGGTTTTTATGGATGAGATGAGATGTTTTACACTTATCTCTTGAATTTGAATTCCTATTACTCAAATATATATTTACATTGATGTTGGAAATTATGATGATTCATCTGCCCTTAAATTCGAGAACCATCCAGATTAAATGAGTACTCTTATTCCCCTCCCTTGCGCTTCGCGCACGGAGTAAAATGGTGGACTGAATGTATCGATATCGATGTCCATCGACTATATTCTCCATCTATAGTCTAATTATTTATTACTTATCCCTCCTTTCCTAGAATTCTTAATCTGGATAGATGCTCAGCTTATTGGGGGGAGAAACTTGTATGATTTTTTCAGTTGGTGGTCGTCCTCTCACAAAACTATTATTATTCTTCTGTTGGTCGATAAAACTCAACGAGAATACGTATAGTTCTCAACAGTAATTAACGATGTTATGTATGAGTAGGGAAAAGATCTGAGTAGAAGTTGGGTTAAGAAGAGATGCTGGAGATGCGTTTGCGAGATGCTCCAGGACCCCGCGTTTCGCGTAAAGTTATGTTCTTGTATTAAGGTTTTTCTATTTTTAAGTATTTTATAGGTTTATAGGTATGTATGGGATTCGACCTTGATTAATTTCATAATGGAAGTGAAGAAAAATATTCATGAATCTGGAGGGTATTTGGAATTTTCATTTTATTTAGTTGTCAGGTATGTATACATTTCCATTGTTAGGTGGTGCGATTCTAATGGGGTATATACTAGGTAGTTTCGCATAAGATGTGATGATAATAAATCAACCCTCTTTACATCAATAATCATAACCCTTTCATCATGAAACTATTTTGTTACATAGTCTGTATTGTTGTTTTTAAAGTCAATGCATAAATAGTCCACTGAATAGTGTCAATTAGTGAGCGAATACTCCGTAGATTAGTCTTGGTAATCAGGTCTACCGGTATGTTCATCTCATCTTAAGCTACTCGTTGTTAGGCTCATTATGGAAAGTACGATGGTTGTGGGTCTATATAATCAGGAATCGTAGCTCCAAAAAGTAGGCAACTTTCATGGTGCTGCCAGAAAGTATGGAACTCAGACGCTAGAAAAATCAGGTTATTGCTCTTAAAGTTTACCATTTTGTGGTGCGTGCATAGAGTTCGGTTTTGGATCTCTTCTGCCCGCATGAGTAGAGGGGTTGTAAAGTGGCCGTGGCTGTTTTTTGATACAAGTGGAAGGTTTTTTGAGTTGGAGTAAGAACGCGGTGCTTTGATAACTATTGAATCTTCTGCTATGGAAAGTCGAGGTTTTGACCCGCTCTTAGATATACTTACATAAAAGGAAATGGCAGTGGAGAGGGTTGAAGATGCTTTGAACTTTCAATGAATCGTGGATGTTGGAAAATTCTGGATGGTGCATCAATGAGGCAATGTTAGGTATTTTAGCTTACTATCCGGTTGTTTGCATTGACTCATTCTTATAGTTTTAAAGCACATTTATAGCAATTCTAATGTTCTGGATTAGGCACCTTGAGGACACCTTTCTAGATAGAAAATCGACCAGGTGTCATTTATGAGATTGATCTTGGCAAAGGAGGGGAAGAGGATCCATGTATGGATGGTTCTTGAGTTAAGGTCAAAGTAAATGTTCCGGTGAAGTGCCGTTTAATGCTTTTAGATAGATTTAAGGAGTGATGATCCATTAAAAAGTGTTTATAGATCATGATTTATTTAGCAGTAGCTTTTTGTTGTATTGAGTAACTCAAGATATTAGTAGAAATTTCTAGAGGCACCCATGTATTTAACAGATATTAGCCGAGCTTTTTGCCATCATAGTTTGATTCATATACGAGGGACTCTCAGGAAACTATCTTTACTGACACATAGCCGTATAAATTTATTTGAGTATCCAAGCACTTGTGATTTAGAATTATGCCAAATATCAAGAGACAATTGCATGAAGTGTCCTTTCATCAATGTTTCCTTTTCTTACTTTCCTTAAATAAGTAGGTAAATTAAAGTCAATATTGCATTGTGGATATAATTTTGATAAAACATATCACAACGTTGATGACTTGCCGTAGCTGATGACTCTAGACCCATGTTCTTCCCCAGTTTATTAATTCGGATGATTACTTATTTTTAAAACTTATTTTAAAACAAAGGTGCAAGAGTGTCCTTTTCCATGAGCTTCTCCCACTATCCTGCGATAATGATCCGGATCAAAGATTTTCCACGCCTATCACCTAACCGAACCAATCATCAAATTTCTAAGTCCATTTGGGACAGATTTCCATTTCATCAAGAAAGCTTTCATAAAGTCGACTTCCTCCCACCTGTTCACTTCTTCTTTTTTACTTCTACATTCAAAGAATAGATTTCTTTTTAAAATACAAAATATTCCCAGAACCATCTTGGTAAACATATCATCATGGCCAGTGGAAACAGATCTTCCCTCTTTGTAGGGTTGTCTGCAGTTTTCTATCTTGTACTTTTATTCTCTCCCCTCGCTTTCCTTCAAACAGCAAACGCACAGTCCGATCAGGACCCTCTACAAGAATCATATGGCACAGGTAAACTTTCAATCTGCTTCCCCTACGAAATATCTCTTACTGACAGCTATGTCATTTAGTTATTGGTATCGATCTTGGAACTACCTACTCTTGCGTCGGTGTGATGCAAAAAGGAAAAGTTGAGATTTTGGTAAACGATCAAGGACACAGAATTACACCCTCATACGTCGCTTTCACCGACGAAGAAAGATTAGTCGGAGATGCAGCCAAGAACCAGGCTGCTGCCAACCCAAAGAACACTGTTTTCGATATTAAGTGAGTCCCCAATTGCTGTTCATTCACTAGTTTTTTATACTGACAAGTGTCCTTTTAGGCGTATGATCGGTCGCAAGTTCAACGACAAGGATGTTCAAGGTGACATGAAGCACTTCCCATTCGATGTTGTCCAAAAGGATGGCAAGCCTTCCGTACAAGTTGATTACCAAGGAACCAAGAAGACTTTCACTCCTGAGGAGATTTCCGCCATGATTCTTGGAAAGATGAAGGAAGTCGCCGAATCTTACCTCGGAAAGACTGTTACCCACGCAGTTGTTACTGTTCCAGCCTACTTCAACGACAACCAAAGACAAGCCACCAAGGATGCCGGTATCATTGCCGGTTTAAACGTTCTCCGTATCGTCAATGAACCTACCGCCGCAGCTATTGCTTACGGTTTGGACAAGACTGAGGGTGAACGTCAAATCATTGTCTACGATCTTGGTGGAGGAACTTTCGATGTTTCCCTTCTCTCCATTGACCGTGGTGTCTTTGAGGTTCTTTCTACTGCCGGTGACACTCACTTGGGAGGAGAAGATTTTGATCAAAGAGTCATCAACTACTTCGCCAAGAAGTACAACAAGGAGAACAGCGTCGATATCACCAAGGATCTTAAGACCATGGGTAAACTTAAGCGCGAGGCTGAGAAGGCTAAGCGTACTTTGTCCTCCCAAAAGACCACTCGTATTGAAATCGAAGCTTTCCACAATGGTAACGACTTCTCTGAGACTCTCACCAGAGCTAAGTTCGAGGAGCTCAACATGGATCTCTTCAAGAAGACCCTCAAGCCCGTTGAACAAGTTCTCAAGGACGCTAAGGTCAAGAAGGCCGAGGTTGATGACATCGTCTTGGTCGGAGGTTCTACCCGTATTCCAAAGGTTCAAGAACTCATTGAGGAGTACTTCGGAGGTAAGAAGGCTAGCAAGGGTATTAACCCTGATGAGGCTGTTGCTTTCGGTGCCGCTGTTCAAGGTGGTGTCTTGTCCGGAGAGGAAGGTACTGAAGAGATCGTTCTCATGGACGTCAACCCATTGACCCTTGGTATCGAGACCACTGGAGGTGTCATGACAAAGTTGATCCCAAGAAACACTGTTATCCCAACTCGCAAATCTCAAATCTTCTCCACCGCCGCCGACAACCAACCAGTCGTCTTGATTCAAGTCTTTGAGGGAGAACGCACTATGACCAAGGAGTAAGTTTTGCGATTTATACTTTCTAGAAATGCATAATTCTAACAAATACCCTAGTAACAACAACCTCGGTAAATTCGAGTTGACTGGTATTCCACCAGCACCACGTGGTGTTCCACAAATTGAGGTTTCTTTCGAGCTTGACGCCAACGGAATCTTGAAGGTTACCGCTGGTGACAAGGGTACTGGAAAGAGCGAGTCCATCACCATCACCAACGATAAGGGACGTCTTACTCAAGAAGAAATTGACCGTATGGTTCAAGAAGCTGAGAAGTACGCCGATGAGGATAAAGCTACCAAGGAGCGCATTGAGGCCCGTAACGGCCTCGAGAACTACGCTTTCAGCTTGAAGAACCAAGTCAACGATGACGAAGGTCTTGGTGGTAAGCTCGATGATGATGACAAGGAGACCGTAAGTTATTGATCTTTTCCATTGTGATTATTTCATACTAATTATTTTTATAGATTTTGGATGCTGTCAAGGAGGCTACTGAGTGGCTCGAGGAGAATGCTGCCACAGCCAATGCCGAAGATTTCGAGGAGCAAAAGGAGAAGCTCTCAAATGTCGCATACCCAATCACCAGCAAATTGTACAGCGGAGGACCAGGAGGCGATGATGAGCCAGAGGGACACGATGAGTTGTAGTTAAGCTTAGATGGTTCACGGTTTATGAACCGAATTGACATACTGCACTTTTTGATTTTTCAGATTTGTTAAAAGGGACGGTGCATGCAAAAATTTACATTTGTAATCCGTTTTTAGGGGTCACATAAAAGAATATAAGATAAAGTTTTGATATATGATGGTTCTTGTTTGATATGATGTTACATGATTAAGTTGTGTGTATATATGTGTCTGTTCAGCTAAGTGTCTATGATATTGTAGAAGTGGTATATATAAGGTTAATACCTAGTATATATGAGATAGGAATGTAATACGGTTGAAATATTTCGAAATCCGAGAGATTATAAAGAGATAATTAGAATTAGTATTAAAATTATATTATATTAATTTATATATATGTATACTCTATTTATTTTTTATACATCTATCTATTTATCTATCTAGACATTCTATGTTACCTATCCACCTATTATCGTAATTTCAATATATGATTTGTATAATAAAATTAATAGCTTATATTCGCCCAGATGAGCTACCTAGCCCCAAGAAAGGTATTCATTCCATGGCCAGTAATATCAACATCAATATTCATACCACCACTCAAACTCAGTGACTAATAATTATGTAAATCATGTACATCATCATGTAAGCCCCTAAAAGTATCATCATCAAAAGGAAGTTCTTCACAAATAACATCACTAACCTTTTTCATTACTTCCTCTCCAAACGCCATATTCCTCTCCAAATCATGAGCAAGTCCTGCCTCCATCTCCCCCTCCGCCTTCGTCTCTGGAAACAACTCAGTTCGAAACTTCACACCCGCCAATTGCGCCCCCTCCCACCCATCACATAAATCCTCACCCATGCCCTCTCTCCTCCTCGCCACCTCCTCCGCAACCTTCAATACCTCTTCCGGCTGCCAAAATCCCTCTTTTTTCTTCACCAATCGGAGGAGCGAGATTGCTTGCTGATATAAATGAGGATTTGGTGCTGACATAGCTATAAAATATAACGAGGCGATAACTCCTCCATCTGCCGTGAGGAAAGCATCATTATATTCCGAGCTCGCGTGTGTGAGTACGGATCGGCAAATATCGATGATGGTTTGGAATCGTCCAAGTTCGGAAACAGGGATTTGTGATGAGTTTGTTGTAAGGTGGGAATGGACGCGCAAGTCGACGATCAGGGAGAGCGTTTGATAGTGTAGGTGTAGGAGGAGACTGCGGTGGATTTCACGGAAATTCCAGGTTGAGAAGGAGCTTCGGATTAGGCCGTCGAATGCGCGTTTCCAGTTTAACATTCCGGTGTTGAAGGCGTGGAGGAGTTTGGTGCGGTGGGGAAATGGAGCTTCGGAATTTGAGGGGCTTTGGCATTGTTGTTGACCATGGGAATGAGATGGTTTGGGGGATACAGCGGTAAGGACGTAGAAAATACGAAGCTCGTAGTATTGTTGCGCGAGACTTGCAGCATGGAGACTTGGGAAACGATCACCGCATTCGGGTTCTTGAGTATCACTATCGTAAATTAAAATAGGTTTGCGCGAGTCCCAAAAGGAGGTTGCTTGAACGTCGAAACGGGTGTAGACCTCGAGAATATTTTCCTGTGCTTGTTTTATTGCTGGGGTTACATCTTGCGCTTTCCATGTATTGTATATCCTTAATCCATTTTCCAAATGTTCGAGTGCTTTTCCGTGATTTCCCTGCGCATTTTCCAAACAGACGAATATAATGCAACATGTTAACGTAACTTGAATCTCATCCTCCGATTTCAGAGCACGAATATATCGAATTGATTTATTATATTGCTGGAGAAAAGTCCGTTGGGTCGTATACGAAGGATTGCATAGATATTCATGCAAAACCGAAATGGCAATTACGGCATGAAGAACCGCGGGATGTGCTTCACTGAGCTGAAGGATCATTCGATGCCAAAATTCGGAATCGGCATTCACTCCCATCAATCCGAATATGGTTCGATGACGAAAATGATCGAAATATCGATGTTCTTTACCACTGCGTGTAGAGGTAAGACCTGGCTGTATGGAGATGCGATTTGGTGAGAGGATCATGGCGGTATGGTGCGGAGAATGGTATTCGCAGATTCGACCCGTGCTACTGCATTTTTGGCATTGGGGTTTGCTTTCGTCACATTTTATATGACGGATCCTTGAGTTTGGGTTGAGGTTTAGCTACTCTGTAATTGTTTCATAGCTTTTGAGTTTGTGCTTGAATATTTGCAATTGCGGGAGAATTGGAAAATAACAAAATTGTACATTTGCTAGTCGTCATGAAAGCTGTTCTTGACGCCTCCTCAGAGATATGGGGATAAATGTGCTCATGGTGATACTTGAAATGACATGTGTTGTAGAGAACAATGGTAAAAGTAAAATACATACTTGCAAGTGAGACACGCCCCTCTTGATTTCTTAAATTTAGACCGAGACCTCTTTTCTCTTTGAAGGGGAGGTTCGGATGAAATTATATCGGCCATTGCATTATATTATTAAAGTAAGAAGATGCACCAAAATGAGCATCATTAAATATTCTACGTAGGATATGAAAAAGGAGGAAGGAGAGCTAATATACTGCGGGAAGGATCCGAATCCATGTCATGTCGGAATTGTTTCATAACGTTATCCTTGTCAAATCTCTATTTTCAGATATGCAACATAATTTTTTCTCCCTCAAATGACGTGCATATTCATTTTTAATGGTTGTAATTGGACGGAAAATCTCATTAGATAGATCGTTACCATTAGAAGCTTAGATAGATTGGATATCTTATCAACCCCTCCTTAGACTTGGAAAGGGTATCACATCAATTTCAGTGACAGCGAATTGGTAATTCCTCAGAAGCGAGATCTTTGGGAGGTATACGATATGTATTAAGGGGAATTGATGCATCTTCTCATTCTGTTCTCGATATCACTTCAATATTAGCATTAAAAGTGCGCAGCCACAATTTGCAGGAGACTATCCAATTGATATCAGCTTCAAATTCCAAACGAGCCGACTAAATCCAGGTTTTCTGGTTTTTCACTTAATTCATATGTATAACAATCATAATATTTCATATACTCCTCTATAATAAAGATAGCTTGCTTCTTTTTTACTCATCTGTGCATTGCTATGATATTCCTACCATTCGAAAACGACGTTTCCCAAGTTGAAACTATAGTTCTAGCCATTGAATCTGAGCTCACAAGCAACCAAATCTCCTAAATCAAAACAACACCAGAAACTCAGCGAAATATTATAAATAATAATTTTAGAACTAACCCAAATATTACATCAAAGAGTTACATTTTATTCATCTACTATCAATCAATTATCAATATCCACCGATCAATGATTAGAAAACTTTCAACTACTTGTCACCCTAGAATTACCTACTCCTGACTCAACACATCGCCTAACCATCTACTCCCATCCACCTTCGCTATCAATATCCTCCCACAACCCAACTACCAAAAATCCAACTCCAAAGAAAAACACAACATTTCTCCCAACCACCTCCTCCTCTCTTTTCCATTTCATCTCCTACCTATACCCGTGGATCCATCCATCCCACCCAAAGAAAAAGTCCGTGCACGCACTACCTACGCAGCAAATCCTTAACCGAAAATCCCCCCTAAAAAATCTTCAAAAAAGTCATCTATCATCTTCCATTCCCATGAAAGAAGACAAACAACACGTAGTAATGAATGGACTAGCGGCGAATCGAACGCCGGACCTCTCCCATGCTAAGGGAACATTATACCACTAAACCACAAGCCCGTTTTAGATGCTAGGAGAGGGATTAAAGAGTATATGAAGAGATTTTGAAAGTGGAGCGGGAGGTGGACCTCCCCCATGCTAAGGGAACATTATACCACTAACCTATACGCGCAATCTTTAGCTCGCCACTTAGATCTACAATTTTCAGTTTTCCTGAATATCATTGCTTTAAAATAGATTATTGTAAATCATTTCTATAAACTGAAATATTATTTTTTTATTTGTATAATATAGACTTTGATGTTACGAGGTTTGCCGTCTAGATCACGTGGAAGTGCTCTAGGCTCTCGAGGTGGTTTATAACTAGGCGTCAAGCAGGGACTTAAGTAATGACAATGATGCAATTCGTAACTAATAGTAGAGTATACTAAATGATTGATCTTGAGCACGAAGCTCTATACAAAGAAAATCCATCATGATTATATAGACCTTCGTGTTCCAACATTGGGTTGGAGCGATGGAGCTGGGGAGCGAGATTCGAATCTCGCTCCTTCGCTCCCTCGCTCCCTCACATGACTATCCACGTGATCCTGTAACACGTGATATTAGTTTATGACGTTACAACGTAACAAAGAGATGAGTTTGAAAAGTATACGAAGAGATTTTGAAAGTGGAGCGGAGGGTGGAGACTTTGAGTCGGAAGTGGAGGGAGAGGTGGGGCTTGGACTTTGATGGATGATGGATGATGCGGGCTAGAGGGATAGGGAAAGAGGGAGAGGGAGAATATTGTGGATGGGGATGGAGGAGAGATAGTAAAATGGGTTGATGGGCAGAGGGCGACAAGGGGAGATTTTTAGCTATGAGATAGACGATGGGGTTTGAGGAATGGGAATGATGAGGAAGGAATTAAAGATATGAATATGTAAAATATGCAAAGTCATAGTCCATCGAGTAACGGTAAGATTATATAAATCCAAAGGACAGTTGGTGAGTGTATATGCTAGTAGCCATGACACCTCGATCAAGAGTATCTAATAATCTGGACTACAATCAAACAATGAGAAGTTTTCGGATTCCTAAATTTATTTGGGACATTCAAATCAATTAAAATAATGAATCATATTTCAAGTATTTATGATTTTTTGAAATATTAAATATAATTAAATATTCAAACTATTTGAAACATTAACTTATAATCACATTCAAGCTCCTCAAGCTCAAGAACTACACCAAGAAAACAAAAAGCAGAGATTCCATCAGGAAATCTCGCCAAGCACCCAGAGAATAGAATAAGGAGGGAAGAGATATAGTAGAAAATGTAAGATTATATTTAGTTCATTTTCCATAGAAGGTCATATATTGATATACCAATACATCAATTAATTATTAAAATAAACTCAAAATAATTATCAAAAATAACACCAAAGTGAGTTATGTATACAGAGGGAACAAAGACGAATGCTGGTATGGTTATGATGAGACTAAAAGAAAGAGGGATGGGAGTTTTGGTAGGATATATTTTTCTGCGATGAGGATAGACAGGTGGGTAGATAGATTTATGGTAGTAGGGATTTCTTGGTTTATAAATGATGGGTTGGTTGAGTCTGAGGATTTGGAAGATGGGCTAGAAGAAACTTTCGTGATAGATGAAAAGCTAATCGTGGTCGCTGGTAATCATTCCTAGAGAGTTTTTATTATCTTCTTTTATGCGCATAAATAAGTGATTGAAAGATTTGATATTCCCTATTCCAACCTAGCGACCAGACTCCCTGATATCCCAGGAAATGTAGCTTAGCTGAGCAAAATAAATCTATATTCTAACCTATTTTCTACCCAAAATAACTCAAGAATACTCCATTCCATAATACTGCACATTTAATTCTCCCTAACAAACCTATAAAAAACTCCACTAATAGCAACCAACAATCCACCACAAATTAAAAATACACCTCTCCTGTACTCCTCTCCTTCCCTCACCAAAGCCAAACTAATCACCACAAATACGTTCAATGGAACCCTTAGTGCTCCATAAACCCTCGCTCTAACACCATCCTCCACCCATTTTCCTTTCAAAGAACCCACACTAGGAAAATACATACCAACCATCGCTTCAAAAACACAAAATGCGTAAAAAGTATAATGTTGATTATTAGTGAGAAGAGGAAATAGTAAAGAGATAGAAGAGATAGCGAAGACAATGGTCAAAAGCCGAGTTTGAGTGAGTGATTTGAAAGTTGAGGAGAGATGGGTGAAGATTAGAGATCCGAGCATGACTGAAGACATGAAACTTGCGAAAATCATGCCTAGTGGCAGTGGAGGTGAGGATGAAGATGATTGAGTGGAGTTTAGGAAGGGTGTCCAGAAGAAGACGAAGAGGTACATGCTACCTTCAAAAAAACAGGAGGCGAGGCCAAGAGTGAAAATTCGAGGGTTGGTGAAGATTAGAGCTAGGACTGAGGAGGTAGGAAGAGGCTCTTTGGGAGTGCGCGAGGGGGAGTTGGCATTGGGTGAGGTGGATGAATTTCTTGAGACGCTGGAAGGCGACTTTTGGGTTGTGATCGCGCTGTCACCGTAATTTTCAGTCTATGGAGATATTGTTAGTTATGCGTTGAGAAATCTACATGCAGCATGGAAAACTCACCCAACATATGGTTATGATATATGCGGAAATCCCCAAAAGACAAGCAGAGGCCATAAATGGCATTCTCCTATCATCCGTGATCTGAACCAACCACTCACTAAACACACCCGATAAAATAGCCATAACACTATTCAGAGTAGACATAACTCCAAAGAGACTATTTAAACTCATCCCAGCTTTTTGTATATTCCTCTTATGATATTCCGTAACCATCCAACTTTCAAAAGCGCTAAACATCAAACTCGTACTTAAACCTCCAAATATTCGTCCAACAAACAGAACTGGAGCGCTATGAAAGAGAGTCGAAAAACAAGAAAGCGAATAGGTGAAGCAGAAGACGAGACATGCTGATTTGCGACCATATTTATCTGCGAATGAACCTACGAAGTATCCAGATATGCCACCGGATAGAAACCCAGTTGTAAAGAGTAAAGCTACGATTTTCTCGTCGAGTCCGAATTGATCTTTGTAGAGACTGTAAACGTAGGGTCCTATATGCGCATTAGTAATAGTAGGTTGTTTGAAGAGTATAACTTACCTTGCAGCCAATCCGATGCCATCACAAGACAATAAACGGTAAGGAATAGTTTGATGAAGCGGCTTGCTTCTGCCTTCGCAAGAGGGGTAGCAACATTCGCATTTCTCTTATCTTCTGCCGACTCTTCCCTCATATGATATTGTCGCCATGTAAGAAGAGCGCATGCTGATATTAATACCAGAAATGCACCATCATAGAAATTCATATTGAAGAACTGTAAAATGAGGTATATCGAAGGAGGGTAATGCCACTGGTTTCAACGTTGGATTCACGAAGAACAACGAAACAATCGGTTGATGAAATAAATCAATTGATAACTTTAGATGTTCATTTGAAATGAGAGTTCAAGACAAAAAAGAAGAAAAGGCAGATACGAACTTACATTCATTACCTTGTGTTTGAACATTGACATTTGGCGCGTCTCAGCCTTTGAGTCTAAGGTTGATGCTTTGGCGCTGTGCTCCGTATATGTTTGCGGAATTCGGTATTTGGAGCTTGGAGCTTGAAGTCATAGGATTCTGAACCAGCTCTTTTGGGCGGTAAATACCCTGTAAACGTCACTAAAACTAAACAGGATCGAGTGGCATGGGCAGAATAATCAAAGGAATCACACCCCACAGAACATCCTCAACCCATCTCGATCATTTTTGGGATTCGAATAATACATTTTATATACACAACCATGGAGTGGTAACGGTAATTTTGTCCAAAAATGGATGGTGATTGGGAGGAAGTAAGTCCTTCTTTCTTTTCTCATCACAAAACGCCTTCCATGATTATAACTTTCCATGCTGGTTTTCAGCCTTGTCATCAACCGCATTATAATTCCCCAGGAATGAACTTCCTACGATGGCCGATGTTGCTTCACATCATGCTAAAATTCTTAAGGTCAGTAGATTCCAGCTGCCACCTTCGGGTGTGCATCCGGATCTTACACAAGCTCCCGCGCGAGCATTCGATTCTTCTCAAGAATTGTTTTGGACGGGGGACGAACTGGGACGCGTCAGGAGCTGGTATGGTGCCGAGGGAATAAGATATACATCCTACAAGGCTGGCCAAGATCCAATTCGTCAATTCCTGTTCCATGATAAGGGGGTTATTACTGTAGGCGGAAGAAGCGTTCACATGGCATCGAGGAGGGGTCTATACATATGGCATATCACGTACAATCACTCCCAGGAATTTGGGCATAGCAGGGCTGATCTCGCGGATTTAGTCACGAAGACATGAAAGACTTGCGATGTATGAGCTATACTTCGAAGGGGACATCAGAAATACTTGTCGCAGGACTCCAGGATCAAATGTTTGTTATTGACGTGGACAAAGGGATTATTACGAAACAGGTACAGTACTCCGCGAGTTCGCAGAATAATTTCTAAACCTTCAGGTACCCACGAGCGAGCACTTCAAGATCATGAAGAGAAGCCGGTATATTTGTGCAGCCACAGCGCATGGATCCGTCAGCATACTAGATTCTTATAACTTCACTGTGATCAAGACTTGGCAAGCTCACACGGCCCTCATCAACGATATGGATGCGCAAAGTGAGTATCTACTTACTTGTGGCTATTCATTACCACAGCAAGGGTCATACAGACTTGATACTTTTGTCATGGTTCTTGACCTCAAGACATTGACCACCCTACCTCCAATTCCCTTTCCTCCCGGAGCAGCTTTTGTTAGAATGCACCCGCGAATGCTGACAACCACATATATCGTTTCGCAACAAGGTCAAATTCATATAGTTGACTTGATCAATCCGAATTCAAGTAATGTGAGGCAAGCAAATGTTTTGTCCACATTGAGATCTTTAGAGATCGCTTCTTCAGGGGACGCTATTGCCTTGTCGGATATGGAAAATAGCGTACACATATGGGGCTCACCAGCCAGATTTCGGTTTTCCGAGTTCAGTAATCCTATCGAGGTTGCAGATTCGGACGAGAAACCTGTTCGTACAGACTGGTCCGATGATACGTGAGTATGAAATACATTCTCTTTATGGTCTTGCTAATAAGACTTCGAATAGTCCATTAAATACAGTTGGTATGCCCTATTATCGAGAAAACCTTTTATCTGCTTGGCCGAGTCATATGATTTTCGAAGTTGGTGCACCGCCTGTAAAGCTCGACTCAAATTGGATTTCAAATCCAAAAGTTGCAGACTGGTATATATACGGTCGCAACGCAAGGAAGGATGTCAGAAGGAACCAGATAGAGAATACGAGAACGATCGAAAAAGCCCAAGCGAGCATACCAGCGCCCAAATTTTTGAGTGAAAAGGCTAGAGAAGCCGTGAATGATGCGACGCCCGAACGTGGTATGAACGATATCGCAGATAGCATAGGGAATAGAGAGCTCCCTACTTTGCAAGCCGGTACTAATGCTTTGTATATGAATGTCGAGATTAAGTATAGTAAATTTGGAGTTGATGATTTTGATTTTGGGTAGGCTCGAGACTTTCCAGCTCTTTTTTTGACGAATCCGCTAACATTAGGCAGATTTTATAATAAGACTCCATACTCGGGGCTCGAGACTCATATCTCCAATTCATATGCGAATGCGTTGTTGCAAGTGATGAGATTCACTACCCTCATCAGGAATTTGGCCTTGAAACACACGGCTACAAGTTGTGTTAATGATATGTGTTTGTTATGTGAGATGGGATTCTTGTTTGATATGCTTGAGAAAGCAGCGGGGACCGTGTGTCAAGCAACAAACTTGCTGAAGACTTTCAGCCATCATCCAGAAGGTAAGTGATTTCGTGGAGAATGATGTTTACACTGCTGACATGTGATAAGCTAAGCACTTGGGCTTATTGGAGGAAGATTCACGTGGAATTCCACTATCAAATATGCTTCAGTCAATGAATCGTTTTTTCCTCGATAGAATTCCAAATGAATTTAAAAGCGTCCCTGGTGGTTCAAATATGCTTGAGCGTGTTAGTATTCGACTTAGTGTTGCCATCAAGATTTTTGCTAACAGCTCAGGTTTTTTCTACGCCTGCCACAATGATCATAAAATGTGTTTTTTGCAAGAGTGAGCACACACGACCAGGAGCAACCTCGTCTGTTGATCTTACCTATCCGCAAACACCAGCTGCTGTGAGTAAATTGTCGCTCTATTTGACTTATGCTAAGTATATCAGAAACTCTATGGTCGAAATGGCAAAGCACCACCGATGCCGAAAAGATCATTTTGCGAAATTTTGAAAGCGAGCGTGGAACGAGAAACGACAAACCGCGGTTGGTGTATGAATTGTAAAAAATATCAATCATTACAAACGAAAAAGACCATCCATACCTCACCTCCAATTCTTATGCTCAATGCATGTATCTCTACTCCTGAATCAAAACACTTTTGGGAAACACCTGGTTGTTTACCAGAAGAGATAGGAATCATTATTAGCCAAGGACAAATATTTTGTTACCAAGGCGAGGATTTAAGACTTCATATTCAACGCGGTGCTCATAACATTACTGTTTATTCTTTAGTAGGTTTTGCTGCAGATATTGATATTGGGCAACATGAAAAACCTCATTTGGTATCTTTAATAAATGGTGATACTCATCTCGAGTTCCCTTTTTGGCATGTACTGATGTATCATAGTTGCTCATTCTGCGCCAAATTCACCATCAGAAAGCCAATGGTTTCTCTTCAATGATTTTCTAGTAACTCCGATGCCGAAAGAAGACGCTCTATCTTTTAACTCTAGTTGGAAACTTCCATCCGTTATCACTTATCAAATGAAAGATCAAAATAATCGGGTTGACAACTCTTGGAAGCAAAGTTTAGACACTTCTATATTATATTCTGATGAAAAGTTTGTTCTTCCTTTTCTCAAGAACCTTTATAATTACTAACCATGTCTATAGTACTCGTGTTATTGATAAAACCCATAGGCCTCTCTCCTCTAATCATGAAACACCAACTGAAGGAACTCTCATGGCTATTGACACTGAGTTCGTCTCTATTCGTCAACCCGAAATCGAAGTAAACTCCGAAGGTGAACGACAAACTATTCGACCCATCGCACACGCTCTGGCCCGTGTCTCTGTTGTCCGAGGCTTTGGTGAAGACGAAGGGTTTCCATTTATTGATGATTATATCAATTGCAAAGATCCCATTGTCGACTACCTGACATCTTATTCAGGTATTAGTCCGGGTGATCTTGATCCACGTCAATCAAGACATAATCTTGTTTCTCTTAAAACTGCTTACAAGAAACTCTGGATTTTACTAAACCTTGGATGTAAATTTGTGGGACATGGGCTCAAGACAGATTTTAGAGTCATCAATATACAGATACCCAAATCGCATGTCATTGATACAGCTGATCTTTTTTTCATCCCAGCTAAACAGAGAAAATTGGGACTGGCGTTTCTGGCATGGTATCTTTTCAGAGAAGATATTCAAGTTGAAACACATGATAGTATTGAAGATGCGAAAACAGCGTTGAGGCTGTGGAGGAAGTGGGAAGAATGGACTACAGCAGAGAAACTTGGAGGAGCACTGGTAGAAGATTTATTGATGGAAGTCTATAAGCAAGGGCAGGCGTGCAATTTTAGACCGCCGGGGTTTAATGCTAGGAAGGAAAGGGAGAGGGAAAGAGAAAGGGAAAGAGAGGGGAAGGATATTAGTAGGGCTAATACACCGCCTGGGAATGAAGATGGTGGTGTAAGTTTAAAGGGACCGAGTACTCCTATTCGTAAACCATTGGGAGCACTACCGTTTGGGTCAGGAGGTAGTGGAAGTGCGAATGGTAGTGGACTTTCGAGCTTTGGTGGAGGGGGAAGTGGTTGGACTCCTGGGAAGGGAAGTCCGTTACGATGAGGTGAGAGGGACCTGACCTATTGGTAGGTCAAGCGGTTTGGATTGAATACCATGGAAGTAGCGAGAGGAAAAGAAGGATGCGAGAGTGCACGTAGAGTCATTGTAGTAAATTGATAGGAAAATTGAATGAAAAAAAAATTGAATGAACCAAGAAATTGATTTGAATATTTAAGATATAATATCAGTGGTCGTGGCATGGTGTCTATGGTCTGGATTGATAGACTGGATTTAAGTTTTCATCTAGCTTTTGTAATCTTACAAGAGTACTTTATTTATATTAGATGTTTATATTTATTGTAAAATTGCTTATTATTACTATTTGTGACGGAAATCCCTGCTTTCCTCCCACCCTTATTATATAAGAAACCTCAGGTACATTAACCATGTCCACACATGATACGATTACTCGAGATTAGTATGCGATTTAGGTGACCTGAGGATCAGATCCGGACAAGTACTAGGTATCAATGGTTATCGGTAAAGTAAGATCATTGGAGGAATAAATATGACTTCTTTTTGCCTAGCTATTGCGGCTAGGCCATTCATTTGTGTATATATGTGACGCCTCACACCTCCGGGTCACGTGGCATGCCCCGTTTGTATTTAATCATAGGAAAACTCTCTACTCTTGTTTTCCTTCTTCTTTTCTCCTTAGCTTAGTATTTTCTAATACAAGATACTTTACCCAGTATTCTTGAGTGTGACAATATATAGAGTAGCTATCCCCATCTACAGGTGCTCTTCACCTGTAGATTCTAAGTTAAATACAATTGCTGGTCTATAAACACCCTTTTGGTCACACTATTATTATTATTTAATCTTACTAAAGGAAAGTTAAATATAATTTTTTCAAAATAAAGTTTTAAGTAAATAATAAAAGTTAACAATTGTATATACTTTGATATCTATTAAATATTAAAAATGATATTTTTAATATTCTTATATATGTATCTCATCTTTGTTACTGTTACGAGGTTTGCCGTCTAGATCACGTGGAAGTGCTCTAGGCTCTCGAAGTAGGTTTATAACTAGGCGTCAAGCAGGGACTTAAAGTAATGACAATAATGATATGCAATTCGTAACTAATAGTAGAGTATACTAAATGATTGATCTTGAGCACGAAGCTCTATACAAAGGAAATCCATCTTGATTATATAGTCATTCATGCCTATGGCTAGTCAGGACCGCGCAGCGGTCCTGGACAGCCAGCGTTCCTCAGCGGTCCATAACGTGACTTTAATCACGTTACCTTGCTTTAGTCATGTGACGCGGCATAGAAGATAGCCGTTGTAACAACCATACCATACCATAACATGATATATAGCAAAACATCCCAGATCTTAAGCTTACAAGTGGCTAATAGTTATTTCAACATTATGAATATCTTCAATAACATTAACAACACTACTCGGTACAACCTTAAAAAGAAAAATGTTGAAATGTTGAAAAGGAAACGATGTATCTAACCTTACCTTACCTTACCTTAACCTACCTAGTCCATCTATCTATCTATCTACCCCACTAGGTAATTCACAAAATCCATCATCATCACATTTACTATTTATGATTTATCGGGTCCAAATCTCCCGACACACGACAAAGTACTGAGAGTAGGTTATTTAGTGAATACTCCACACCCAAACCCCGCCCGCTTCTAAAAATATCTTATTCATCTAGCCCGTACATCCCATCATCCTACCATCCTGCCATCCATCCTACCATCTACAAACCTCCCATAACAACACCAGCGTCTCATCAAAGGAATGACACCAACCAATAACTAGCACCTAGTTGGTGTACGTACGTACACCGATCGATCAACACTGCACACTGCACACTGCACACTGCACACTGCACACACGGATCGACGAGCCGATCTCAGATGATATCGGAGATCAATCCTAGGACCCGAGTTTCGGCACGTAAATTCTCGGTGATCTTGGTCCGCGGTATGTAAATGAAAGTAAGTGTTAATTGTTAATTGTGATGAAATGGAGAAGAATATGTAATGATACGTAGAGCCGTGCGTGCATGATCTGAGAGCTGAACCCCAGCTTTGACGACTAATTCTGTTATTGCTATTCCTCCCAGGTTTGAGGGGATGTCATGTCATGTGGAAAGGTAGGTGGGTGATGTTGCTAACTCAAAGTATACAAAATAGATTGAATCCTCGGACCGAAACTTCAAGAACTAGCATACTTTGTACATTAGCGACTTTGCAAAAACATCTGAACATCATTAGATAAGGTCTTGCAATGCATGCAGATAAGATGTCCTAATGGATGATGCGCACGTGCTTGTACGAAAGTATCCTTGAGAAGTCGTACAAAATGGCACTAATAAGCGCCTGTTAAAGAGGCACATAAGTGGATGATGAAATAATCATGAAAAAGCACCTTTAGACTATGAAACTACTCCGAAATCATTTTAGACTCGGGAATAATCTAGACCAGTCCGGCGCGTCCATGGCCAGCATGACTCGTGCAATAAGCCACTGGACTAATAAACGCCGCTAGGAAAGAGACAAGCGGTACAAGGTTCCATATAAAAGAAAGAGAATGATATTTTGATAGTTCTCAATAGGTTCGGCCGAAGTTTATCGTGTGTTCGTTCCATGAGGGCGGCAGGAATCTTTAATTTGATGTCATATGTCATACATGACGATTCTACGCCGTTAGTGTGTGTAACTTGCATAGATATGTGAGCCATGAAGTTGAAAATATGAGAATAAAAAATAAATAAAATAAATAAACAGATAAAATTAAAATCAAAAATCAAAAACACGGGGTTAAACACGTGTATTTCGTGTGTTACATGAACCTCGGCTTTCCGTCGTCAATCTCAAACTGTTGAATTGTAATCAAGCTGGTCTAGACTCAGGTCTTTTTGCAGTAAAACACCCACAAACTCATAATTCAGCGACCTCAAACTAAAAGGAAATCAATCTCGCTGAAAAGCAAAGATAAAACTTCACTTAAGAAGTACCTATGCTTATGTGATATTCCTACTTGGTTCGTCATGCACATTACATTATGTATTATGTATGTAGAAGGGAAGGATTTCTCTCCGTATCCCCAGCCTTGTCAGACTCAGATGTCCAAGTTCATCACCAAAGCAAGTAGAAATAGGCGAAAGAACACTTCCTCTTCGCATATCTCATCCTCATACTCGTACCTTGTCTCTCCACCATGCTGTACATACGTACTCCTTACCTATGGCGAAAGTAACACGACCTGAAATCCAGCATCATCTTGATTCTTAACCCTTGAGATCCCGACGATATGGAACGTCAAATTTAAAGTTGTTTCTATAAATACTTTCTTTGCATAAAGAAAATGATCTTTTTCTTTCCGACAAGAGTGCACCTTTGACGCCGAAGATCGGAATGGCCGTCGTGATAATTTATTTCGCTATCTTAATGTCTTGGTCAGATGTTCAGCCGTGCTGACATGAGTGTGGCGTATGAAAGAGGAAGGAAGTTGGGTTGGTACTGGCTCAAGGAATATCCCTTGCAATAATTGCTTTGGATCCTTTTGAAGACATTCTAGAATATTACTGTGTTCAGTTAGATTCAACACGCAATATCAACCTCTGTCGTCTGAGATGTTTCGTAACATTCGATGCTTTCTTCTGGAAGGAAAGAAATGATTCAATTTTTGACCGAAAACTGGTACTGTACATCCTGCCATACCTTAATTAAATGGATCACGAGGCTTTGTCTCTGATGCAGGTACGAGTTGGCGAATATTGGCCATGTTTAGGAAATGGAATGTTTCTTTTTTGGATCTGCCTGTGTCACATATTGGAAGATAAGATTTGTCCACGTGGGAATACTTTCTTTTTGTGGAGTGAAAAGTCGACCTGTTATTATGTGGCTTGAGGAAGGGTTTTTGATCTGTGAAAAGTACTTTTTCGTGTCCTTCTTTCATTCTGCATATGCTGAGTTCAATGTATCTTTTGGAAAGCTCCTTGGGAATATAAGATGAAAATGAATAATGTGCCGTTATTTCAAGCTCACATGGAAGGAAAAGGCGATATGGATCCCAGTGGCTTATGTCAACGGGTTGAAGATGTAAAAAGAGGTAAGTATGGAGGACATTGAGAGTGTGCGGTCTGCGGAGGGCTTGAAGGATCATTCCAGGTTGTACAAATTAGTACAAGGACAGGATAGCACAAAGCGATAAAATCTATAAGTCGTAAGTACTCCGTACACTGGCCGGATTAATACTGAGCAGTGTCTTCTGGCGTAAGGCGATTGCATTTGTATTAAGCTTTGCATGAGTTCCTTCAGCTGGATCAATTTGGAAAGCTTCTGGAATCCGATCCTTTTGATGACGGGATGTTTCTTGTCGCTAGTATCGGATCGGAAAGGAGGTGAGTGATGACATCTGAAGAAGATCAGTATGAACCCTGTAGACTCATAAGGAGATGAAACGCAATAAGGTAAGGTATGTCTCACCTAAAACAGATCCACTGGGGCATCACTTCTGTAAGACTGTTAGGTCATGGTAATAAGGAAAAGAAGTTATGAAGCATAAAAGGGTGATGGGGTTGAGGTCATGAGAATATATTCATTGCCTGTTGAAGCATATAGGCGAAGATGATGAAGGGGTCAGATACGGCTGTTCGGTAGTGTAGTGTAGTACGAGAATGGTATCACATGTTCGTGCCGAAGAGTACGGGCTGTACTTGTGAGGGGTCCGGAATTAATGAAGGCAATCGGGATAATGTACAGACTAGGGATAGTAAGGCTGTAAGGTATTTGTAAAATATGATCGATCGTCTTGATCGACTTTCCACAACCTTGTTTTGGGGCTGAAACCCCAGGAAAAGAAAATATCTTTATGCCGAGAGACTGACAAATCTATTAAATGTATTGCGTTGCTTATCATTAGTGAGTGAGGTTATGGTTGGTTTGTTTCATAGGTGTGGTGTTGAGTTATGCCGGATTCACTGAAGTAGGCCGTTGCACTGTTAAGGTATATCTACACTGTAATATATGTAATCCTACCTATAGTATTTTCGTCGCAGAAGTATGAATATGTATCCAATATAGGCTCAGTATGTAGTGTTGTAGTGCTGTAATAATAAAAGGAAAGAAAACCCCATAACAACTTATACAAGTACCAGTACAATCATTCGATGTATTAGTTCTATCACTTCCATGGCCGCGCAATATCACTTACAATTGATAGCATATACATAATCTTAAAATATTACTATAGATATTTCATTAGGTGGTTCAGCTTTAATGATAGGCGCCTCTTTTGGGCTTCTGTTACAAGTTTCTAGTGAGTTTACAGGTAAGCGAAGCCTAGAAGGAAGGGATCAAGAATTTATTAGTGTATACCTAGTAGACATAGCAAATGCTCTAGAATCTAGATAGAGCCAATGATTGAATTATTGACAATGAACCTGATGAACCATGTTTATACATACTATTACTATATAGTAGATAAATAGATCAAGGTAAGAGCAACTGTTGGATGTACTCGGTAAGCAAAAAGGTAAGCAAAAGCACGATTCATACGATTCATATCACCTCAATATCATCAGCAAAGCCAGACTAATCAAAAGCCAAGATTTACAACGCCCCGTGTTACCCTTCTATCCAGTCAAAATTGGTTCCATTTCATTCTTCTATCTTATCCTTCCGCTCATCCCATACACCCCATACAACCCATCACATCCCGTCCAATCTGAACCACTCACCACTCTCCCGTCATTCCCTTCTCAGCGTTTTGCACTGGTTTTGCCATGCAAATGCCATGTGTGTTTTGAGCTTTTACCCCTTGTCACATTGGATTAATTCCCTACCGGTACTCGCCGCAAAGTGGTTAAGTCGACATTAAACTTGAAATCCTAAAGTCACTAAAGTTTCTGCTAAACTACATCCGTGGACTTAAACTACTTGACGGGTCCACACTTACGAACGCCTACGGAGCATTATGCTTGCCATGGTTTCGCTTGCAAAAACGCCTTCTCTCTCCACTCTGTCAATAATAATAATAATAATAATAGGGAAAGGGAAAGGGAAAGGGAAAGGGAAAGGGAAAAGAAAATTGTATCCTCTGTGCGATGCTTGGTAGGGTCGGTAGGGTAGGTAGGTAGGTAGGTAGGGTACACTGTAATATACCACTGAATTGCATTGAGGAATACCCTAACTCTTAGGGGTACTTGTGCTATCAACCAGCGAGCATCTGGCATGCAGGCGTGCGTGTGTGCGTGTGCAGCTTCATTAGGCACTGTACTTTGCATCCCCAGGTAGGTGATAATGCTAATGGATGGGAATGGTAATGGCAATAGTAATAGTAATGGTAATGGTAAGGTATCAAAGTCAATCAAATCAAATTACTAGGTAGTAGAGTAGGTACCTAGCTAGGTCATTCATTATACTCACTCAATCATTCAATCATTCATCCATCCATTCATTCACCCCCCATCAATCAATCATATCGCTTCAAATCTGACATCGCTCTTCTCATCCAATCCCAATACTACTTACCACTTCTCGAAGATGGATCCTTTCTCTCATTGACTCCATCCACACACATCCACTCCATCCACTCCCATCCACAACATCCACATCCAAATCTAAATCAACCTTCACCTCAAACTCATATACCGGTCCCTTCAACGCCATATCCATCCGTATCTTCGAAAGGCGGCATTGTGGTCCGTTCACGAATAACAGACAATTCCTTTTTTCCCTTACCTCACTCACTTAAGGAATTAAATTCCTTTGATCACTTCATTCATTGTCTCTACTTTTAGTCTCTCTGACACCAGGTTTCATCCTAAACATTCCAAAGGAAAAAAACGATATATTTCGTCTAAGAATCATCCATCCCATCTTTGTTCTTCTAATCCACACCGTCTATATTCAATTATAGATAACTCATCTCACCACATCAGAGATCAGACTCACTCTGCTTTTGTCCACCTGATATTCGCTTCCAACACAGCATCTTGCAATTTCCTTTAAGAATAAACAACTTTACTATCGATAAAGATCGACCCGAACTTCCACCTTTCTGTCTCCATACATATATCTCTTTCGCATGGTCTAATCCTTTTGCGCCGAATGTCTCCATTTACAAACCCAATCGCAATTCCGTAAAAAAATTTATTGGACAATTCGAGGATTAGGGAAATAAAGTCTTTGTCCAGCAGACTTTTGCGCCCATGGGAAACAGTTCTGGAAAGCCGGTGAACTTCGCAGATGAAGGTATGAATGGATTTTGTTGATACGGATCCAGTGGCGAGAGATTGTGCAAGGCATTCTTGAACTCCTGGGGGTGGTCTTGTTCTTTGTTACTGGTAGTATTTCACCGCATGTATCTGTTGCTGACATATCTTTTCCTTGTGTAGTGAGCCTCAATCATTTCCGACTTCTGCGAGTCGTTGGAAAAGGTGCTTTTGGAAAAGTCAGGATAGTAGAGAGAAAGGATACGGGCTTGACGTTTGCGCTGAAGTACATTCGCAAGGATGAGGGTTGGTGATACTTACTCAGATTTTGAACGACTTACTGATGATGAAAAATAATAGTTGTTCGACAAGAAAGTGTACGGAATATAATCCGAGAACGACGAATGCTGGAGCATTTAAATCACCCATTTATTTGTAACTTGCGATATAGTTTTCAAGACATCGAGTACATGTACGTTGACCTTGATATGGACCTGGACCACAAGCGCTCATTAACCATTCAACAAACAGGTACTTGGTTGTGGACTTAATGAATGGAGGAGATCTACGATTTCATATTTCCAGAAAGACCTTTACTGAAGAAGCTGTTCAGTTTTGGATTGCTGAACTTGGGATTGCCTTAAAGTACATACATAAGCAGGGTATCATACATCGGGATGTCAAACCTGATAATGTTTTGCTGGATTCCGAGGGACATATACATTTAGCAGATTTTGTTTGTACTCCCTAAAAACACTTTGCGAATTTGAACACAGCACTAACACTATGTAGAATGTTGCATCGGATTATACTTCACATAGATTATTAACCAGCAAATCTGGTACTTTAGCTTATCTTGCACCAGAAGTCTATAAAGGATGCGGATATGGACCTGGAGCGGATTGGTGGTCTTTAGGAGTACTGTTCTACGAATGTATCTACAATAAGGTATTATTTGACATAATTTCATCCTCTTGTCAACCCCACTCTTGAATTTTCAGTACTAACCAATGTCTTTTAGAGGCCATTTGAAGGTAGTACACAAACTACGTTGGCAGCACAGATAACCAAAGCTGCACCAAATTTTCCCGTCACAGCACCTGCAGTTTCTATGCCATGTTTACATGCCATCAGCTCAGCTCTTGAGGAAGATCCAGCGAAGCGAATGGGTTCAGCCGGATTTGAAACTTTTACCGATAACCCTTTCTTTCGACCCATAGACTTCGAGGCACTTGAGAGAAAAGAGATAGAGCCAGTCTTCGTCCCATCTAGTGAAAAGACGAATTTCGATGCTACCTATGATCTTGAGGAATTACTATTGGAGGAGGCACCTTTAGAAGCTCGGGCGCGTCGACAAAAGCCAAGGGAGGCTTTAAAGGATGATGCGACAGAGAAAGAAATCAAGGAAGAGGAACTCCATAAGATGATTGAAGCTCAATATACCACATTCGATTACACCAAAGCAGCGTATGACAGGTTAGCACTCTTCTACAAATCGTTTCCTTTATGCTAACTAAATCTTCTAGATATAATGAAGGTGGTGACCCAAATTCTCCACCTCCCGTTACACAAACCAATAGCCCATCTACCCCAGCATCGCAAACTTCTGATGAATTCCCAAAAGCCACGCTCACGCGCACTTTATCTAAAAATCGGAAGAGAGCTGCTTCGCGTTCCCAGCCATCTTCACGTTCTGAATCACCATCGAATAGTGCAAATGCTCCACCAGTTCCTAGCCCACAGGCTCCTGGCTCTCAACAAACACCCCAAAATATTAGCCCTGTTTTAGGGCCTCCTCGTTCCGTGCCCCATGCCCAGTCCCCAAGTACGAGCAAGACACCCTTATCACCCTATCAACAGTCATACAACCGTCCTCATCGTCCCGGTGGAATACGCAAAGAATCGCAAGGTGGGGGCATGCAGGTTGTATTGGCTGAAACTGGAAGCTGGTCAGAATTGGCCAAGCAAGATGCGACCCTACCCGCAGATGCCAAGTTGGTAGAAGCACATGCTAAGCCAACTGGTATGTTAGGATTCTTATCAAGAAAGAAGGGCAGAGGCCATAGTCCAAAGCCACAGGAGAGGGGTATCCTAGGAAAGGAAGGTGCAAGAATCATTATAAGTCAGGGGTGAGAGTATGTTGAATCAGAAATGATTCTTCGGATATTCCAATATTACTTACTGGCAGCCGTTTTATGAATTTCCAGCACACATTTTCCTCTGGTGCGATCAATGTACATTCATTGCATTTTCAAAGGGCAAGCGGGAGTTTTTTGTTTTATTTTACCGATTACACACAGCTTCTCACTACTCGAGGACGCTTGATTTTAATTTCTTTTTCGCCTATTTCTTTTGTTCATGACAGAGATGCTGGAGGCATCACGAACTCCACGTTAACTGTTTTTTTCCACGGAGAAGAGATGCGGATATCCAATCCAAAGTGTCATCTTGGGAGGAATATGCCTCGCCATGAACATACGAATCAATCAATCAATTGGTACTTGGAGCGGACGGAAAACTCAAACTCGAGAACGATTCACAGTGGCGACGTTACATGCGCTCCCGGAAGGGAAAGGATCGTCTGGATAGGGTTCCATTCGCGGTATTGATTTGAGATGAGAGGTGGGATGGTATAGGATAGATTTGATGCATGGAAGGAAGGGTGGATGGGTTGGTGGGATGATGAACTTAGATGTGATGTGATGAGATCAGATGAGTGAGATGAGATGAGATGAGATGAGATACCAATTGGTGGGCAGGAGAAGCCGCAGCATGGCATGCGGTGGATGGATGGAATATGCGAATGGAATGGAATGGAATGGAATTGGGGGGTGCATGCACATGTAGATGTTTCTACAAAGGGGAACAAAATATGCATTTTGGATGGTGGGTGTAGAAGGATAACATAGGATTGGATTGGATAGCATGAGTTGCGTTGCGTTGCCATGAGACGCATTTGTACATAGATATGATACCAAGATGCAAATAAAAGACATCTTTTTCTCTTTTGAAGTTCTTGATATAAAGATTACAATCGTATGGATATGGATAAAAACGCTGAATTTTCATTTCATTTCATTTTATATCATATCATATCATATCATATAATATAATATAATATAATATCAATGCGGCCATCCAGTCATCCAGCCGACATTTGAATCCATGCATGCATATAAGATATATCTTTAAGATCTGCTTCAGCTCATTGCATCACCATTCCCATTCCCATCCCCATTTTCATTCCTATCTCCCTCCCCTTCCCAATCATGATCTATTTACACGTTTCTAGTTATAGATTTAGGCAGCGACTTCTTCTTCGGTGATCAACTTTGTGATTTTACCAATGGCGATGGTTTGTCCCTGGTATCAATATATTAGTCTATTTCCTTATTTCTTCCATCCTCGACGAGAGAAGAAAAAGATGAATCAAAAGAAAACAAAAGGTATTCAAGACATACCTGATCTCTAAGAGTAAATCTACCCAATTGTGGGTAATCTTCGAATTTCTCCACACAGACACTTCCAGCACCACCAATAACTTCCATTCTTGCAATAATGCTATCACCCTTCTTGGCATGAGTGGGTGGAACTTTACTCTTTCTATTAGTGCCCTTTTGCAACTTATGCAATAACGCCGCGAAAGTAACTTCTTCGATAGCAGAATGCACATGCATAACACAATTGAAACCAGCAGATAAGATACTCTTTAGATCCAAAACTCTGATTTGAGCTTCGAATGTAGTAACGCAGTGAACGAGACGTTTTGGTGAGCAAAGAACGAAACCGGGAAGAATATCTTCTTCTTCGATACCACGTAGGCGGAGACGAATTTGATCTCCACATTGTCCGGCGGGAATTTCTTCTTCCGTCTCACCATATGCTACCATGACTTCAACCTTTTCTTTGTTGGGCATCATGACGAGGTTCATTCCTTTCTTTACGACACCAGATTCTATCTTACCCTCGACGAGAGTACCCATATCTCTGTATTTGCCGTTGATGGGCATCATGAATGGTGCATTGACTTTACGTTCAAGTTGTGTCATGTTGTCGAGGAATTCCAATAGAGATGGTCCATCATACCATGGAGCCACACCCTCTGGGATACGATCCTTGATACCCATTGTTTGTTGTGCTGCGATTGGCATGAAGAATACGTCGGTCTTAAGATTGTAACCAGTAGCTTTCAAGAATTGAGATAATTTGGTTGTGCACTCCTTGTATCTCTCGTGGGACCATTCGACGGTTGGGTCATCCATCTTGTTGATAACCACAATAAGTTTGTTGACACCTTGGGTTTTCGCCAACATAGCGTGCTCACGGGTTTGACCCCCCTTTTCGAAACCAGTTTCGTATTCTCCCTTACGAGCAGAAATGACCAAAATTCCGACATCTGCTTGTGAAGCACCACCAATCATACTTGGCACATAGGTTTTATGGCCAGGGGCATCCAAGATACTGTATCTTCGCTTCTCGGTCTCGAAGAATCCGCGTCCAACCTCGACAGTCTTTCCCTTGGATCTCTCCTCCTTTGTCAAATCGAGAGCCCACGACAAATACCATGTCTCACGACCCATTTCCTTAGCCTCTTTCTTGTTCTTCTCCATAGTTCTCTCATCAACCATTCCAGTAGCGTAAAGAATAGAACCACCAAGTGTCGACTTTCCGGCATCAACGTGTCCAATGAAAATAATGTTAACATGTTCCTTGCCGTAAATTTCCTTGAGAGTCTCGTCATCAACATCGGCTGCTTGTTCTTGCTCAACCGCATCTGCGGCACGAGCGGCTGCCTTTACAGCACCAGCTCGAGCAGGTGAGGAGCGTCCAGATGATGGTGTAGGTGAAGTCTTCCCACTGGCGGCTGCGGGCGTCTTTTCGACTTTCTCGATGGCCTTTGCCGCGGTAACCTTAGCACCTGCTTCTGCGGATGCTGCTGCGGGCTCTTTCTTTGCCTCTTCCTTCTTCGCGGGAGTTGGAGTACCGATTGAGAGAACCTTTGCCTTAGGCTTTGGCGCATCACCTCCAATACTCAAAACCTTTGGTGCGTCTCCTCCAATGCTAAGAACTTTTGGTGCTCCATCCTTTACTGCTACAGGCTTATTTAGGTCCGCTGAAGCAGATCCATCCGCTGGTCTTTTAGCAATAACTGGTGTTTGCCGTGGAGGTTGTGATGATTGAGCTGCTGCTTGTGGTTGTTGAGCGTATCCAGGATATTGTTGTGCTGTAAATGATTATGGTTAGTATTTTGATCACCTAGAAATACCGGCGTACGATAAAAGCATGAACTCCGAAAAGCATGCCGAGTTTTACACTTCTCCATGTTGAAAGAATCCATTTGATTCAGAATTTATGGGGGAACTCACCATATCCTGCATTATATCCACCCTGCTGGTATCCTCCAGCATTGTAGCCTCCCTGTTGATATTGATTGTAACCTTGCTGCCCATATTGAGGATATCCTCCATATCCTTGGTTTTGATATTGAGCGTAACCTTGTTGTTGCCCATATTGGTCGTATCCCCCTCCATATTGTTGATATTGTTGACCAGGTTGAAATGATTGTGCACCAGGTTGAAAGGAATTTGCGCCCGGTTGGAATGATCTAGCTTGGGGGTTTGCATTCAAATTCATACGTTGAGTTTGTTGCGAAAGATTGTTGTCCTCTTGAGCAGCTGGATCATCTTCCCATGAGTTAAGGTCGGACATATTTAGTAGAATATAGAAGAATATGTTCTTAAGAGTGGTTGCGGATGAGAGAGATTTTGAAAGGGCCAAAAATCAAAGGATTATTGAGGAAGAGAAGTGGCAGTTGTTAGTGGGGCTTAATAGGTTAAGATGGGCGGGATCGTTTATCGAGGGGCTTTTAAATTTTTGTGATATTATATATGAATTTTCATGAGTCACAAATTTATGCCTAATTGCTCAAAGTGACTCGAATTATTATTGGAGTTGGCTTGATTTATTTCCTTGACAAGTTTTACAGTATTTATTATTTTATATATATATATTTAATATTTATTACATGAGAGCAGTATTCATTCATTGCATCGAGGTTTTTTCTGTACTTTATGTGCATCCATCAGATCCCGCTGCTAGCCTATTTCTATTCCCGGCTAATGACGTTTTGGCCAATCAATCTGACGGCAAGTGGGAAGTGGGATGGCTGTTTGAGAGAGCTGTAACCTTACCCATAGAACTTTCTTTGTTTGCTGCGAACACCAGATTCATGAATTTAATATGAACCCAATTTCGACACCAACAACAAAAATTGCTACACAACTCTACAACTTCTGATAAATAATCATATCTCTACTACACCAACTTAGATATGTCTGTGGTCTTGAATATCTCCTACTCATACAATACCTGCCTTGCTTGATTCTAAATCATCCCGGATACCCTCAAGATGGACATCTTCCTGGGCAAGGTAAAAAGACTGACTTCCATGTTTCGGAAGCACGTGCTGACTATGCTCCTTCAGGTCACTCAACAGGCCATGACCTATGCCATCAGGTATGTTCGATTCTAGAAAAGCTCTGAGAGGTATTATCTAACACTACCGCAGGTCTGGAATTGGGATCACTGCTTCTTTTGCCATCAGACAAACATCAAGGCTGTTGAAGGTGGGATTGCTTTCTCAGCCTCGAACTTGTTAATAGCATATGACTTACGAGATTCTAGACTGTGGATAACAGTGGTGATTATCGTGAGCTTCACGAATTACAACAAAGGCTTGATAGCAAAATTAGAGTATGTCTACTTTCCATGAGAATTGAGTTGATGATATGAAGAATTTCAAATGCTAATCTAGCATCTATCAGATCGTATCACCCGCTATTGATATGATAGAACTGATGTGAGTTTTATCTTACTACAACACTGCTATTCAAATTTCATTACTCATAATATTCAGTTCCGCAAGAGGTAATACAACCCTAGAGTCGGCTGTAACACTAACCAAAGCACTTCGATGGGAAATCCAATCTCTTGGTATGAGATTAGCAAAAGCTGCAACTGCCGAAGAATTGTCACGCCGAAATCAAAGTCGAGCAAAAACACGAGCTTCTCATGAAGCCGAGATTCGAGCTATCGTTAGAGATATCAAGAAGCTTTTGACCAGGATAGAAGATGCAGTACCACTTATCAATCTAGCCATCACTACTTCCGGAGCGAACCTCTCGACAACACTTCCAGATACTGTATCACCATCGAGGTTACTTCAAGCAAGCAACCTTCTTGCCCAGGGGGATACCAAGTACGGGAAGAAACCTAATATATCTGTACAAATTGGACCAACACTTACTCTCTCTTTGTATATGTTATTCGCGGGACATGCTTATCGAGCTCAGGATGAAGAAGGTATGAGAGAGACTACTTGGAAAGAGGTCATACATAAAGCTAAAGTTAAGCTTTTACGTGTACCTCTCCGATCTACATACGGCTCATCTGGACAGTTGCATCATTCTAATGAAGCCAAGGATTACTTAACTGGGAAAGACTCGTCTATAATTGCCGGCGAAGGTAAAGCATCAGAATACGCATATCAGCTTGAAATAATTGAAGATTTTGATGATGATCGGGTACACTCTTACGAGGATGGAGAACCACAGCCGGGACCGTATGGAGGTGTTAAATTGGCAGGTATTCGAGAACAGTTGCCAATCCATCAAATATCCAAGATTTTCTACGCAGACACTGGAAAAATATTGAATATTGGTAACCAGGATGAGGCGAACAGTCCTGTTTTGCTCTTAAAGCGAGATATCAATGCAATGCCACCGAGGCGAATGATGGAGGGGCATGAGATACAAAATGAGTGGTATGACGAGGGTGAAGGTATGCCATCGAAGGAAGTATCAGAACCGGAAGAAGAAGAGCCAAAGCAAGAAGAAGAGGATGAAGAAGATGACGAACTTGATATTGATGAACAACTTCGACGAGAAAGCATGGCACCAGAGTCTCCATCGGAGGAGGTTTTAAAAATACCACAAGAAAATACGACATGGCGACTTCCCCAGGATCTCGATCCAGAATGGCTTGCCCTAGAAGTATATACCGAAGCCGTCGACTCAGAATCCGAAGATGAGTTCGAGCCTGAACGAAATGGACATTCTGCATCCATAGCCAGCAGACGAAACACCTCAGGCGAGCACCTCTCTACCAATGATCTAACCACTGATCTGTCGAACCTCAAAATATCGTCACCGGCCCCAGCTAGCCCATCTTCTCAGGCCCATCTGCCATCACATCCCACATCTCCCATGCCCGTCTCCTTCAACCCCTCCAAACCTCGCCCCAAACCGCAAAACAAAGGCCTCCAAATCCCCATTCAAACCCGATCATCCCTTTCCCTCCTCGAAATGCTCATCCGCCTTACCTCGCTCCAACAATTCCAACAATCCACTCACTTAGCCGTCCCCGATGAGTTCCTGACATTCTTCCTTCATGAATCATCTACGACCGGCGCAGGCGGTGATGCATCAGAACGTAAACGAACGAGAATGATGGCGAGAAAGAAGGTGGGCTTTGATCCTTATGATGAGAGTCCAGTGAAGAGACATGGAGAGAATTATCAATATGGTGAAGATGAAGGACATGACAGATACGAAAGGGAAGTAACGCCCTGGGATGAGGACGTACCACCAAATCCGCGTGGGATACGAGAACGAAGCTCAACACCGCAGAGATCATTGGCATCACCGGCTAGATTTGGGAGTGATGTAAGACAAAGCAGAGAAATATCTTCTCCGTCACCATCATCGCCCATCTCACCGTACAAACCAAAATCCCAACTATATTTCCAACAAAGACGGGGATCTGGTTATCGGGGAAGAGATGCTGGAGTAGATGGGAAATTTAATGGTGGTCCTTTAGATAAGGTACAAAGGGAAAGAGGTGAGGGAAGAGCAAGTCCATTAAGGAGAGGAGGAAGTTTAGAGACTGAGAAGAGTTTAGGGATGGGTGCAGGGGGTCCGGAATTAGTTGTTAGTAAAGATGAAAGGGAGGAATGAGTTTATGAATAAGGGCTAGGAAATTAACGATATGAGAAATTGAGTTGGGGGCGTTGTATTGCATATTGAATATTTCACATCACATATCATATTATAGCATAGCATAGCATAGCGAAGGACAAAACGAAAATAACGAGTAAATGAGCAATGAAAATTTAACGATATCCTTCTTTTCTATACATTAGTACATATACACACATTAGTCATTTATACATGCAGGTATCACAATCTCTCTCTATAATACTCCCGAAACATATATATATATACCCCCATCAATCAATCCCTATCCCTATCCTCATCCCCATCACTGTATCCCTCACCACCTCTCCCCTTATGTGACCAAAAGGGTGTTTATAGACCAGCAATTATATTTAACTTAGAATCTACAGGTGAAGAGCACCTGTAGATGGGGATAACTACTCTATATACACACAAATGAATGGCCTAGCCGCAATGGCTAGGCAAAAAGAAGTCATATTTATCCCCCCAATGATCTTACTTTACCGATAACCATTGATACCTAGTACTTGTCCGGATCTGATCCTCAGACCACCTAAATCGTATACTAATCCCGAGTAATCGTATCATGTGTGGACATGGTTAATGTACCTGAGGTTTCTTATATAACAAGGGTTTCCGTCACAATTATTATTATTATTATTATTATTATTATTATTATTATTATTATTATTATTATTATTATTATTATTATTATTATTATTATTATTATTATTATTATTATTATTATTATTATTATTATTATTATTATTATTATTATTATTATTATTATTATTATTATTATTATTATTATTATTATTATTATTATTATTATTATTAGATATTTATCTACCTTTATTTCAAGATCCAAATCAAGACCAAAAGTAATAAAGTTGAGAGGTTGAGAGTAAAATTCAAACACAAAAATATTATATAATAAAACAAATACATTATCTCCTACCTATATACATCTAACCACCTGTCACGATTCATTAATTCATGTGACCTCGAGGACCTTGAGGACCTTTTGGACCTTAGGGTCCCAGAGGTCCTCAAAGATGATATAGGGTATATAAACATTCATTTAGTCTCGTAGTTAAGGAGCTTCGTGCTCAACTTAGTTATCAATTAGTTTACCTACATTCTACTTGATCTAGTAACGACTTCACTTCCAAGTGAATACCAGTGATAAAGCCTTAACCCACAACTACCAACCAGGCGAAACCTTAGGCAGCCGCTGCCTTTACTACAGTATCGTTACACCACCTACCTAACCACCTTCCTACTTCTAAATACAAAACCACCAACTCATTCATATCATACTAAGCGATATTATATATTACATAATACCTAAATATTTTTTTTTAAAACCCAAGATTTACTCAATTTGATATTCACTTTTTATATCTAGACCTAGGTACTGAACTTAAGGGATAACTTTCAGCTAAGCGAGGAAGTTCCCCTTTCATATTGATATGTGATACATGACGATGATGATGATCACGAGGTAGGTATGCTTTATACCAAACAGCTCATGCTTCTTGTTATTTTTATTCTTATTCTCATTCCTATACACTTACTTCCTTCCATTCAATGATGCGATCATTACTCCACACACACACACATACATATTTATATATGTATATGTACATCAAAATGAGCACCGGCTACTTCCCACTTACTCCCAAGTAAGGAATTTCCGAGCGCTTCATCTTATTTCATTTCATACCATCTTCTTACAATCCTTTTATCCCCCTCCGTATCTTCTTTCCTTTCCCTTTCTCTTAAACCCTAGTCTCACTCCAGCAATACTATATACAGCACAGTCAAACAAGACGCTATGAATTGCACGCAAGATGCTATGCTATGCCATGCCTTACCCATCAGATAAGCATAGCAAAAGTAAAGCAAAAGCACAGGAGACACCAGCCAACGCCCCTTCCCCAAGAACAAAATCAACACATTGTAAATGAAAGAGAATAAACGCCTTTGTAAATGCCGAAGTCTTGATACGGGCCAAGCCGAATCAAGTAATACGTCCCCAAAAAAGACAACATTGTCCACCCTATCATTCAGCTGTCCCATCAGGAAAAATACAATTGTGATGTATGGGTATTGTGGTACAAAGCAAGATGCAAATTTGGAAGCAAATCTGTGATTGTGATGTGTCGTTATAACGACTCCGTTTTTGTTTTTTTATGCCCCGATGGTTGAACCCCTTATATTAGTTTGCAAGGGACAGGCTGTTGTATGGTTCAAATCTGCATTCACATGAATGTTTGAGAGTAAATGGAGAAGCGAATCCATCTCCATTACAAGAGAGGTCGAACAAGTTGACTTAATAGGGCATCAAGCTCCTTCCAATTTTCGGCCTTCTCAGCAAATTTGCGATGTTTGCGTGAGGATACATGCTTTTCGATTATTAGTACCGTTGTCATCACAATATAAAAGGAAACTTACCTCATCAAAGTCCTCGAATTTATCACCGCAGTTCTCACAGTATCCTGGTTTGGCATCACGCTTTTCAAGCTTTCTTTGCTGAACAGCTTTTGCTTTGCGAGCAGCTTCAACTTTTCTACCCGTTTCTTCTCTTTCTGTGTTAATATCATCTTCATCTATGACGCCAAGTTTCCTTTGTGCCTCACGCTTTGCAGGGCGAGTGCTTGTATCTTCTCTTACAGCCGAACTGATCTCAGTCAAACGGTGAGATCCATGTGATCCAGATCCACCATTTGTCTTCTCCAGCACCTTCCTCTGCAGACCATGGAGCTCTTTGCTTGTTCCGACCTTGAGTCCAGGTTGAGCTGCTGTGGAAGAGATCATCTGAGAGCGAATAGCCGATGTGATATTCGATGGTTGGACTCCCGATGCAACAGGTTCACCGCCAAACAATCTACCAACTCCAGCACGACTGACAAACGCATTTTGACCTCGAGAAGAAGACTCAAGTTCTGCACGATGAGTTCTAGTTCTGTTGGTATCGAATGGATTGGCTTGTTTCGTCAAGACGGTAGCACTTCGGTTTGATCCATCATCAAGTTGAGATAGTGCTCGTTTGCTCATCGCCTTCGGTGGCTGCATTTTGGCCGCTTCTACCGCAGCAGCAGCTCTCGTCCTTGGAACCACAGCCCTTTCCCTTTCCTTCTGCCTCTGGATACGTATCAATTCCTTTTCTTTCTCTAACTCACGACGACTGAACTCTAGTTCATCCACAAATGGGCATTTGCCATTCGGAACACTGCGGAACTGCGGCCAATCTCCGTGTTCTTTTTGAGTAACCTTGTTGTACTCTCGAACCATTATCGGCTTTCTCCTTTCATCAATATCATGAATGTAGATATACGGCCCTTTGAATATAGTCATCTCCTTTGTAGCGACGGTGAGATCCCGATCTGATGGTCCATAAATTCGTTCATTCCTCAGTAATTGGGATAGATCAGCTTCTTGGACTGCTCTGGTAATTGTACCCCCCTGGATGGCATGGCTCCTTGTGTTGTGGCTGTGTGATATTTGGTAGCCAGTGTCCGTGTCAAACATTGTCGTCATCATTCTTTGCAACTTTTCCAAAGCCCATATTTTCATCCCTAGCTCTCGTGCCTTGTATAGTACATCCGAGCTACGAGCTTGCTGTCGCCTTGCATCGCCATCATGACCCTGTGTAACAAGCCTTCTGGAAACTGGAGCTTCAAATGTAAACTTTGATCGCGGATCTCTCAAATCTGCGGTCTCGGAAGACCGGTCCAGCAAAGAAGGATTTATAGTTCCGTGTTGCGAATGCATCTCAGCTGTAGTAGAAGATGTGGAGGGGATCTCGGGTGGAATCGATCGCGTGGTGACGACATGAGTGACTTCATTAGAAAAGAATTTTTCGTCGCGCTGAAAAGAGGTCAATATGATCCGAGGCACCCAACCCTTACACAGAATCAACACTTACTGCGCCTAAAGCGAGAACTTGTTTTGTATACTTAAGCCGGACATCCTCTGATATACTTTCAAAGTAGAAGACGAATTTTGGAAAATTCTTCCTGTAATGCTTTTGCCATTGACGTATAGATTCCAAACTTTCCTCTGGTATCTTCTCTGCTTTTGTAATTTGCTGCTGAGAACCTCGATCTGCCTTAACTGTTACGCACTTTCGTTCAATATTGGATGGCTGGACGGCGGACTTCCGACTAAAGACCCTTCCTTCAGCCGACACTTGACTAACACTTTGACGCGGAGGTGTTCTTAAAGCTTGTTGATGTGCATCTAGCATCTGCTTCTTCGCCGGGGGTGGTTGTCCATATGCATCTTCGCGTTGTATATTGGCATATGATCGTTTTTGCTTTGTGGTAGTCGAAACAACCGCTCGGTACGGGGAATTAGCGACATTCGAGATGGTTGAGAGAGGCTGCCTCCTGCTCGACATGTTTGTTGTTAACGTGACAGTGAGAGGTGATAATGATACTGTTGCCATATGAAAATATATTAATTCTCTGTGTATGACAGAGAATTCTCTCTGAAGGAGCGGAGTGGGGTTCTAGCACGCGACTTTTGACACGGTTTGTGACCTCTTCCCTAAGCTCTTTTTTTATGAAGACATTAAGTAGATACAGCTCGAGAGACTTGGGAAGTGGATGATATCGAAATGTTTTGACACAAAAATTGCTAGAACCAGACAATTAATGAATGTGGGTTGGGATGATGCTTGTGTAGGCGATTTTGGGTGATGAAAGGTCGGATTCTTTTCTGTGGTGGTTCCTTTTTTATGTGATGTTGACCTGGTTCGGATCGGGTTTGGATGTTATGGTGGACAACAGAACGCTAAAAACGCGAAGCGGATTATTTCCACTCAGCAACCATTTTATCTACTTTCCCCAGTTCGTAAATCACGATAAATAACCCAATTAAACTTTCACGATTTATGCTTGATAATACAATTTTATGATATATGGAGTACACTACTTACAGTACTTGATACTACTTTGACATGACATAATATAGCGGGACCTCTGGGGAATTAAATTAATATTTGATCTTATATAACAAGTACAGTATGCCAAAGACCCGAGGGACTCGATACCATCAATTGCTAATCATCAGGTACTACTTGCTATCATGAAGTGTAGTAGAAGAACACGAACACTGTTCCAACAATTGGAAGGAAAGAGCAGAAAAGTCTGGTCTTCATCATTATCCTCGAGGACTCAATGTCGAGCTCAAGCATTATCTGCAGCAACAAGCTGTCGTACAACATATCAGCCAAAAAGATTGTATAGTTCGATACATGCATCAGAACTTCAATTTGGTCAGCCTGTTCATGAAACCCATCCGCATTTATTGAATGCCGGAGAAGGTATGAAATGAATTCAATCGTATCATTACGATTACACTAAAACAATATCAGTTACTCCAGGTATCACCGCGCAAGAATATGCAGATCGCCGAGCAGATTTTGCTGCAAAACTTCCTCCAAATTCAATTGCTATCTTGAGGGGAGCGGATATCAAATATCGATCTGGAGCTGTATTCCATGAATTTCATCAACAATCAAACTTCTTCTATCTTACTGGATTTAATGAACCAGAGGCCTTTTGTGTAATCCAGAGGCTAGAGTCTGCAGACTTTACATTTCACCTGTTCGTTAGGCCGAAAGATGCACAAGCAGAACTTTGGGATGGTGCTAGATCTGGGGAACAAGCAGCCTTGGATGTTTTCAATGCAGATGAAGTGAGGCTACTTTCTACAATATTTCACAAACAAGAATGCTAATACTGACATAGTCTGGAGATGTCAATCACGCACATCTGTTTCTGAAGCCACTCATTGAAGGTGCCAGTGAAGTATTTATGGATATCAAAGAATTCCAGGGGACGACCGTAGAATCGCAAGGTGTATCAAAGCAAAAGGAACTTGCTCAACTCTTACGCGACGCTAAAGTAAAGAAAATGAGGCCAGTTGAGTTATTGATAAACGAACTGAGGGCTATCAAAAGTAAAGCCGAAATTGCAAATATGCGAAAGGCAGGCAAATTCTCCGGGAGGTCTTTTACAAATGCTATGCGACAGCAATGGACCGAAGAAAAACATCTTGGCGCCTTTCTAGAGTATGATTTCAAGATTGGAGGTTGTGAGAAGAGTGCTTATGTGCCAGTCATTGGAGGTGGAAGAAATGCTCAGAGCATACATTACGTTTCCAACAATGATGTTCTACGAGATGGCGAGCTTGTTCTGGTAGATGCCGGTGGACAATATGGTGGATACATTGCGGATATCACTCGAACATGGCCCATTAATGGCAAATTTACAGATGCTCAGAAAGATCTCTACGAAGCAGTTTTAAGAGTTCAACGAAGTAGTATCGCACTATGCAGAGAGAGCTCAAATATGACACTGGACAAAATACACACAGTCACGAGGCATGGTCTTAGCGATCAATTGAAGCAATTAGGATTCGATATGTCTGGAAATGCTATCGATATTCTCTTCCCTCACCACGTCGGCCATTATATTGGACTTGATGTTCATGATGTTCCAGGCTATTCTCGAAGTAAACTTCTGAAGGAAGGACATTGCGTTACAATCGAGCCGGGAATTTATGTACCAAATGATGACCGCTGGCCATCTCATTTTTGGGGTATGGGCATCAGGATTGAGGATAGTGTTTGTGTGCAGGATGATTCGCCCCTGGTCTTGACCACCGAGGCAGTGAAGGAGGTTGTAGATATCGAAGCTTTACGCGATTAGATGAAGGGGGATGAATAGATGTATGTATGATAACGATGTATACCACTCCAACCAAAAAGTATGAATATAATATAAATATCCCCAAAATTAATAAGAAAAATGCTGGGTAGATGCTGTAAAGTTTTGTGATAGAGCTCTAGTGTCCTATTATAGTTCTGATGACCGACAACAAATTGAACAAATCCCGGTAAGCCCCTGGTGAGCTTAAGTAGCCGGCCGAAGTTTAATATTTAAGGGTTCAATCATTTACCCCACTAATCAATCGGCCGCAATACCGCAACACGGCCTCTCGGCCTCGTTCGTCCATTTAATCCAATTCAACCTCGCATTGCACAACATCAACTCGTTACATGACAAACAAAACCTGTATTTCCAACCCACGAAAAAATACAAAATACAATCAAAATTCCAGCAAACCCATCACACCAGATCAACACTAACTCTACAACCAAAATGACCAACTCAAACACTCTCTCCCCAATCTCCTCCCGAACCCCTCACTTCCACATCCAGCGCTCCTCAAACAGCCTCATCGCGCATCCCCGATCTCCCCCCCTCCTCCCCAACCCTCCCTTTAACCATGACTTCCTCACTCCTCCTAACCAATCTTCCACACGACTCATCTTCCGCGCTCGAACACGCATTTTCCTTTCCCACCGCGAAGATAACCGTGCGTTTTCAGCCTATTGGATCAGCGCCTATTTTACAAAGACCCGTGTCGAAGATTAGTTCGAGTCAGAGGTTTGAGACTGTGGTTGCTTATTTGAGGAGGGTGTTGAAGTTGGATAGGAAGGGTGGGGAGGGCGATAGTGTGTTTTTGTATGTTAATAGTTGTTTTGCACCGGCGTTGGATGAGGTGGTGGGGAATTTACATAGGGTGAGTGGGCATATTTTTTTTTTTGGCATTTTTGGAGATGGATATGAGGAGCGAGAGTGAATAGATGGGGAAGATTTGATACTAATTTGGGGGATAGTGTTTTAAGGATTCCAAGGACCAGCTTATTGTTACATACTCGATGACACCCGCATTTGGATGATCGGATGATAAATGCACGATACGCTGTACAAGATATGTTTTACTTCGTGACAAAATCATATTGCTATTCGGCGTCTAAAATCTGAGAAAATAAGGGGAATCTAAACCTGAATAAGTACGCCCGCAATCTATAATATCAGTAATTTCGTCCACAACTCTCATCCCACCCTCTCAATCGCATTTCGAAACTCCTCGAGCTCCTTTTCCGGGATGGGATATGTATGCTCTGGAGCTGGGTAGGCTCGCGATTTTGTCTCGTCGCGGTATTCCGAAATAGCTTTGAAGCTCTCGCTCCAAACATCACCATACTTTTTCACGAATTTTGGGAGAAATCGACCAGGAGGGAAATTGCCTGTCATATCGACCTGCACCAAAACCTGTCCCGAGCAACCATTCCCTGCTCCAATACCGATTGTAGGAATGGATAACTTCTCCGTTATGAGTTGTGCGACTTCCTGAGGAACGGCTTCAATGACCATTGCGAAAGCACCAGCTTCTTGGACGGCAAGCGCATCTTCCAGAACTTTCAGCGCGCCGGCACATGTCTTACCCTGAACACGGAAACCACCGAGAGAATTTTGGCGTTGTGGTGTGAGGCCTATGTGGCCCAGGACTGGAATGCCTGCGGTGGTGATTTTCTTGATGGTCGGAGCCATTTCTAGGCCCCCTTCCAATTTTATGCCTTGCATTCGACCCTCCTTCACAAATCGGAAAGCGGATTCGAGTGCTTGCTCGGGGGCTATTTCATATGAGCCCATGGGAAGGTCTCCAACCTGAAGAATATTTTCGTTAGTAAAGGAGGGTAGATGGGCTGAAAAGATATGGGGTAAGTACATACAGTGAAGGCAGCTTTGGCAGCACGAGATACAGAACGACAGTGCATTAACATCTCCTCCATGATAACCTCACTGGTATCCTCCATGCCCAAGGCTACCATGGCCAAACTATCGCCAACCAAAACTATATCTATGCCGGCGGCATCCGCAACATGTCCGCTTGGAAAATCGTGAGCCGTCATTACAGCGATAGGTTCCCCTTTCTTGTACATAGACCTTAATGTAGTCATCGTGACCTTCTTCCTCGTACTTGGTGCGCCCATAGGGCTATGCGAACTTTTTCTAGTCTGACATTGTGCAAGAAATGGTCTGGCAGCAAAAGTTGCCGGTCGTGAATATTGCTTCAATAGTGCCCGCGTGCTCATCTTCATGAGGGGAAATGATGAAGACATGGTTGGAATTGATGAAAAGATTCTTTCTCTGATAGAAATTGATGATTGAAAAACTTTGAAGATGAATTGAGAGCCATTGTTGAAGTTGCGGAGGTTCAGAGCAGCTTTTGTTGAGGTCGTGATCACTATTGCGCTGTGGTTTCCATACTGGAGCGCGGAGTGAGATTATTCATTATTCATTATTCATTATTGCACTTTATTTTATCGCTTGCGTGGTTTGGACCGAGGGATGCGGTCCACCCGTATATCCAGGTTAGGCATTAAGGCATCTGCAAAATTTAAAGTTTTTATAGAATTATCATACGGAGTATGATAGATCAACACCCGACGTCTTTTACCGTCAATTTTTATACAGGATTAGACAAAATAGTATTATAATCTTTTATAAATGATAATCCCTATGTCACCTGCAATGGTATATAAAAGCGATGTGATTGAACAGTTTGATCTGTATAAAGTTATCCCTTATAATGTGGTCCCTTATAATCAGCTCCCTCTATATTATATATGAAGGAACCGAGGCAGTAGTGGGAGTCGGCAGGGGACGGTAAGAACTTATTATTAAGATGGAGATCTCGAATTTGAGATGCTATGCTGCTAATTGCTTGGGACCTGAGTTGGATTTCGTATCTTTTTGGATATCAATATATCATGAGAATGCATCGATTTGCTTCCAAGTAGTTTTGTACTTGTCATCAAAAGAAGTTTTCTTTCTCAACGCATTAGTGTGATACTGCAATATGCAATACCAATCAATATGGTCATACTATATACCTAGTATCTAAAGTAGCATTCAGATCATGCAATACGCTGTCGTGTACCTGAGAATTATCTTCCATCGTTCAATCAGAGGTGAAGGCGTTCTTGTGATTCACGCGATGTCATTACCATAAATTGAAAAGTGTTGACAATGTCCTTACCCCTCATATCTCATATTTAAGCAAGGCCCATATCCGGACAAAGACAAATTAACTTCCTTTACCAACCTTGGAAGTAATAACAAGTCACCCAGGTATTGAACAATCTCACGAGACCAAGGCAGTGCATGAAAGTGGCACATCCGACAACTTACCGATACCTTACATACCACTTTATCGCTCAGATAAGGGATTGACTGACCTTGTTGTCTGGCAGCTGGCAGAACAACCCAAAATCAACTCTTCCACGCAAACTCTATAACTTCACCATTATCTATTCTTCTAATCTGCAAAACACAAACACTTACATTGAATACCTGATCAGTCAATAATAATACTCTAGGAAACAGAAAGTCAAGATGTCTAGCCCTAGACGTAGGATTGAGACTGATGTGAGTAATGTCTCAATGGCAATCTACTTAGTTGAGTTAGAAGACTAACGTCTGCTTTTTGATCTATAGGTCATGAAGTATGTATTTTTCTTCAACTACTTGTTATAGAAGCCCTTAGCTAACAGTATGACTATAGGATGTATGCGATACTTTTTCATAGCCCATCCGATCGATCTTATGCTTCAATACTTACCAGGAGTATAGGTTGATGTCGGATTATGAGGTAACTCTTGTAAATGACAACAGTGAGTTGGAAACTCATCTGCACAGCCTGAAACTTTTCTAACCTCTTTCTAGTGTATGTACTACCAAGGAGAGTTATTGAATCAACCACTCATATATCGGTAACAGGCAAGAATTCTACGTCCGCTTCAAGGGACCAGAAGAGAGTGGGTTCACCTTCCCTTCTTTTCATTACTTTGCGACATAAACTAATCACTATCAACCACAGCGCCATTTGAAGGCGGCCTTTGGAAAATCCACGTCGAACTACCGGACCAATATCCATACAAATCCCCTAGTATTGGCTTCGTGAACCGCATCTTTCACCCCAATATCGATGAGTTGTATGCCCTTCCTCACACCACCTTGATAGTGGAGCAGATAGCTTATTAAGCCTATTAGGTCCGGATCTGTCTGTCTCGATGTCATAAATCAAACTTGGTCGCCTATGTTCGATATGATAAATATTTTTGAAGTATTCCTTCCGCAGTTACTCAGATATCCAAATCCCACGGATCCTTTAAATGGAGAGGCGGCGGCACTGCTTATGAGAGATTCGAAGGCTTATGATTCGAAGGTTAAAGGTTTGTGTTTCTGGGAATCGTATGGATAGGATATGGAAGTGTATAGGAGCTGATGGAAAACAGAATATGTCACGAAATATGCGAGTAAAGATGCAGCGGACGAAGCGGGCGCCGATGAATCAGACGACGATACAATGTCCTCAGTAGCTAGTTTCGATGATGATGAAAATGATGAGGCAGCGGGTACGATGGAGGAAATTTAAATACCTCATGTCGAGCGCTTTCGCTACAGAGGCTCTCGCTTGCAAATCGAAATGGATGACGAATGATGGACATTTATAAAGGCGTACGCATTCTACGCATATTTTCACAGGTGTTCACATGGCATGGTTATGGATAATATTTGAATGGATATTGACTTTGAGGTAGCTTTAGGGCTTAGGAGTTTGATTGCAAGCATGTTGGAAGGGATTTTACTCACCCTTTTGTTCTTCTTTTCCGCTTCCTTTTTCTATGAATTGCAAAAGCGGTTCGACGAGATGCGTGTGAATCTTTTTTCGGCTTCTATCTCCATGATTGGGGAATTGGTTACCGCAAGCGAAGGAGGTTGTGTCTGTTTTGAGATTCACCGACTGATAGAGAGCAGAGACTATACGCTTGTATAGATCGTGGAGTGGATGTGATGTAGATGTGGATGTGAAACGGAAACGGAGATGTGGAAGTTTCAGCGGTTTTACAATTACAGACTAGCTAATTAGTTGGTCAGCAGCGGATAGTCTGAAAATGGGATACAGCAATTGCTTAAAGTTTTTGCGCGGAGGAGTTTATTTGTTGTGTGATTGTGAATGTGAATGTGAATGTGAATGAAGTCGTAGACGTAGACGTAAATGTGGGATGTGGGATGCAGATCGTTATTTGCATATATAAATCTAATAGGGTATATATTATCCATCTATATTTGTATATATAATTATAATTAAAGTGTGTAGAAGGAAAGTCGAAGATGAAGGTGGTATGGTATATATGAAGTATGAAGTAATAATATTAAATCTATAATCCGACAAATGTTATAAGTAAATAAGAGTTAAGGGTGAGCTGTATTGGGCGGTAGATGGTAGATATCGTTATCCTAGAAGGAAAAGAGATGAAGAATAGATGTTGATATTGTTATTGTGATAGTGGCGGTAATTATGATAGTTATATCTATATTCATATTCATACTGCGGCATTGATTAATTGGTAGAAAGGTGTAGCTACCTATCTAAGTAATGATGATGGTGATGGTGAAAATGAAAGTGGTGGAGTGGTGGGGGTAGAGGGGAAGGGGGGGGAAGGGAAAGAGAACGTATTTATAATTTGGATACTTTGGATAATTTGGATGATTTGGGTCATGTGGATGAGTGCTTAATGAAGGATAATGGGGAGAGGTGGTGGGAGAAGGGAGGGAGGGAGGCAGGGAAGAGGGGAGGGAGAAAAATAGTTTAATATATAGTATATATCTAATGTTTTAAGCGAGTAGTAGAAATAAGAAAGGTTTTAAGCGTAGTAAGTAGATATATGGTGTTGTTGATGTCTTGCTGGATTATGAGGAGAAGGAGGAGGAGAAGAAGGAAAAGAGGAAGGAACATAAATTTGTAATATTCTCATTTATCTTATGACTGGGTTTTCCCCCTAGAGTTCACCGGGTTGATGGTGAGTCGTAATTATATGAACGAGTGAACAAATTATATAGTGAGCGAGTAATTTATACTTATAAATAACTTTATAATTAATACAAAATATAAGGAGATCTCATCATAAACTTCCAGTTTACCGATACCGTTACTATTATTATTCTCTTTTCCTTCTAGCTTTACCTTTACTAATTTGTCTCTGCTGCGATACTATTACTCCGTTTGTAGAAAAGGATATATACATACTCCGTACATACCTAGGTATCGTTAGGTAAAATGACGAAATCGCAGAAAAAGATCGATGCATACATATACATACATAAAGGTACACCTTCACAGGCGCATAAAAGACTCGGGAAGCAGTATTGTAAGATTATATACACTTATATAACTAAGGATTACAAGGAAAACCACAGAGGATATCTATTTGATATTAATATTTATATACCTGTACAAACCAAGACATTCATTCTAATTACCGTTATTCAAACTTCTTACCTACCTATTTAACAGTGTTTCCTCCCTGTGATATACTTGGGAGGAAATATATCTCATAATTGACTCAACTAAAGCTTATTAATATCTAATTATAGAGTTGTTATACACTTAAATTACACAAGTAATCTTATATAAGGCAAATATTAAGCTACCAGGGAAGAAACATTGAAAAATTGAAATTTTGAAATTTTAATGTATGTATGTAAACACATGAGATAAAAAACCTATCTTTTACCCCTATAAATTTGGAGATATTTGTTTTTCTTTTATAATAAATGTGATTCATTAGCTAATAGGTAGGAACAGTGGTGCTCACTGCATGTCAATGGACCATTTGGGGCCTCCGTGTAATTTGTTGGTCTTTCAATTTTGTTTTGTCTTGTGGAAATTTATGTTAATGCTGAATGCTGAATGCTGAGACTTTGCTCTAAGGGAAACTTAAGATAAGTGCAAGGCATCAATGCCGAAGCAGTGCCATCCTATTGATCTTCCACCACCTCCCAAGACAGCGAGGTTGCAAACTCACTTCAAGAAAAGTACGCGGCCGTACATAATCTTTTATCACCGTATCCCGTCAGTAAGTTCACTTTGCATCCACAATTCCTCAAAATCGTAAGCGAAGGGCGAGAGATTGAACAATCACCATCGAAAAGAATTGACTGAGCCCCTCTACTTCTGGATATGAAGATTAGAAAGTGCAATCGTAAGGATAAAGCCTAAACCGTTAGAGAATTTAAACTGAGGAACCAATTCTTCCAACATGAGGGTCTTATTTCCGTAGCTCAGTGCTTTACCACCGAAGCAAGTGGATGCAACACATGCCGGGGTGAAAAACACCACCTTATTTTTGTATATATAGGGAGGGCGGTGGCAAGGTAGTGACCATCATTATTGAATCGTCGTTCTCAATCTTCAGCTAACTTCATCATGCTGCCGCAAAATGTAGTTTATTTAATGCCCTGAAGGCAAAAGCTTGGACATGATGAGCGGGTGCTGCCATATGGATATCCCTTTATTGAAGACATGGTTGATGGTAGAATGATAATAAATAGGTCCCAGAAAGAAAGTCAAGCTGGAGGTGTATTTAAAGAAAGTGAACAAGGAATCAATGCGTTATGAGCTCGTAATGCCAAGGAGTAATTTCTCATCGGCGTCGTGATTTAGTCATTTTGAGCATCTGACCGTCAATTTGACAATAAGCTCGCGAGAATTCGATGGGTCTGGGCTCTGAACAGTCCATATAGTTGAGGTCCGGTGATTGAAGCTCGAATTACAATTTGAGAAGTATGCTTGGACCCATCATACTTCGTGTTGATGCCGTCGCTTGAAAGGTTTTTGGTTTGAAAGTAGGTCATGAGAGTAGAATTGAAGACAGAAAGACTGCCTCGACCTGTAACGACAAACCAAATTGGTGAAGAGGAGAATCGAGAAGGACGGCTTGACTAATCTGAGTCATAACATTATATGCTTGATATCTGGGGAAGTGAATAGTGGAGTAGCGAGACTAGCCACGCTGCGAAGTTGTCTTGGCTTCCTTGTCAGGGGTAGACCCACACCCAGTGATCACACGTCTTATGCGCGGGCCGCCAAGGTGTCAGCCCTAAGTTCAGACCATGGAAGTATTTCTCTAACAGTCGTTACCAATCTTCGAGCTCTTCTAGAGCGCTCTTTTCTCCCAAATATTGAAAGAATATTGAATTGAAATGCTTCCGACTTATTTTCGTCTAAATTATGCAACTAGCCTGGCTTGTCGAGTTAAATCGGTACCGATATAGAATTCCTCGGGATTTTGGTATCTTCTGGGATCGCAAAAAACGTTCAACTTGATTGTTCCCTTTATAGAATAGCGGCAATGATTATTGGTGATAAATCATCAAGCTGAGACTTGGCACCGGAGAACATGATTTATCCAAAGCCTCAAGCTTCAAGAGGGTACCAAAACAAGAAGGCGACAGCACAATCCCTCATTCATCAGCATGTGACGCCGGCTTATCCCGTTTCTGATACGAACTATTTACTGTAAAAGAAGGTAGAGAAGATTGATTAATGGACTGATTCTCAGCAACTATAACATCAATCGTTGATAAGAGGCTGTGCAACCAGAACACTCGTTTTGGACATCAGCCAAGGTCCGAACCGCACTTGCACGGCATATGAAAAACCATAGAGCACCTTACTCCTCGATTTCACGATAATCCTTCTCATGATGGCTTTGATCCCTTATAGGCTTTCCACCATTGGGCGACGAGTATAGATATCCGACTAATTCCCTCATATTACAAAGTTTGTTCGTGGTAATAAGTGTGTTGCAACATGAGCCATTTTCACAGACGGCTACTTGCTTGAGTGATTTTGGACATTGCAGCAGTTGATGTGAAGATAGGGATTATAAAGGATTTGTGATGAAATAGACTTACGCCTTGTGATGATATTATTATAATAAACGGCAGTCTGTTCCACCGCTTTTCGTGTTGATGACATAGTCTTTGTGTGTAGATGAAGGGGTGAAGATGGAACGCTATCGGAAAAGCCACGTGAAATCTCGGATAAGACTTTTTCCACCAAACGGATTAGGAGCACACCCGAACGACAAGACCCATATAAAAGATTGTCTTAGAACAGCAACTGTTTTCGTCCTCAACTGCCTCCTCAACTGCCTTCTTTAGATTTTTGTTTTCGTTTGACCTAACTAGGCAATTGAGCGTCAATTCCAAATCCACGCTAAATGGGCATAGACTTTACTAGAACCCTTACTGGTCTCAAATTGTTAGTCAACGCACCAATATGGTCCCCTCAAAACAGATACTATTAGGTACCAATTTGCTGCCGATTTGCTACCCAAAGTAAAAGATTGGTTATTGACTACGGTATGATCCGAGGTTTAGGGGGAAACTGACGGCTTAGAGGGCTGCGAAGCTCGAAGACGTAAAAGTTATCATGTAGGTTGACTTATCCGAATCAGTTTGCGGGGAACTTCGGAGCATGTGAACGCCAAGCTGTGGGGATTACCCCTATGATGGGAAAATTGGCGACCAGGAGTATACAGGATGGATATCCTACGCATTCCCACACAGCAAGGAGATTAGCCAGTGGTACGGTACCGCGCTCTTGTATCTCCACACCAGGAGGTGCGAAAGGAGGGGGCAGTGGGGTAACAGATGAGACATACAAACATCTTGTTTTTTTAATTTTGGTTGGTGGCCATTTTATGAAGATATACTACAGTTCATGATCTACAATTGATGAGAATATACGTATTATGTATTGACACGAATGACATCACATCAATTGTTGAATCATAGCAAGTCTCAATACAGATTGATAGTCGTGTGAGCAATCATTACTCGAGAATTCCTAAACATCCCATATTTAATTGATATGGAGAATGCTTGACTATAACAGAGGGTACGTACGTCTCCCCAGAAAGCTTGTTTGATAGATAGATAGATAGATAGATGCAATGCAACCATAGTTCCACCTAGGGGTCTGAATTGAAGGGCGACGACGGCTGAATTCGAGCAAATCGTAAACCACGTAGAATCCCAACGTTTTATTGTACAATGTTACGATTTCGGATGAGTGATGAGTGTTATTATGATTGTCTCTTAGGTTTGTAACTGTAGATCTTTTTTCTTTTGAACAGAAATCACGAATTCACCACAATCTAATCATTCTTTCAAAAAGGTTGTGTTCTGTTTGTCCCTGCACCTTGCTTTGTTCTTGCAGACGCAGCTACTGGAGATCATCGCAATTTTTGACCAACGCTTGGATCTGATATCATCCTGCCTCGGACATGCTGGTCCATCCTCACATATTCATTCCAACTAGTTTCACGCATCGTACTTTATCGTGTTCAACACTGAAACCTTTACATTCCGTAGTTTCCCGGTGCGCCCGAAACAATAATATCCCCTTTCCGGCATCACCCATTCCGGCCAATAAAATTAGCGCAATTACTTCTGCGCCGTCTTCACTACTCCACTCCTACGACAGCTTCAACCAAACTCGGCATAATCAAAGATACACTACCCGAACAATGTCGACCTCCAATTTGAATAAGAAGGCTTTCGATCCCATTCAAAGGACGACCTCTCCATATCCTGACAAGAACAGCGTTGCTCCTTCTCATCTCGTTGCACAACACCAACCTACAAACAATTATCATTCTTCATCACTCTCCACTCTCAAAATGGTCTCTATACATCCAAGCGTCAATCGCACATGTTAGTATACTCTTCTTCAACACTTCTACTGCTTTATACTTGCCGCATTCCATGTGGCCTCTCATGTTCGATTCGACATGAACATCAGCATCTACGTCGCCATGCTTTTCACTTCAACAACTCCATACACATTCCTTACCTCCCAACACTGCGATAAAACTTCACTATTGCTTCGATGAATCTACATTTTGCTAACAGTCTTCTTTCTAGCACTGCATCCTAGCGGTGTACAACCACAAGCTGAGCACACTGAGCTTGAGGAGGAACTTCATGAGAAGGCACATATCGATTATGATCGTGTAGCTATTGTATGCATTCAGCATCTTATTAAAATCTACCAATTTCTAACCTCAATTCTTTTTCTAGGTTCCTAACCCAAGTGTCGCTGCCCTCTACGAAGATGCTCTTGTTTACGAAACTGGTTCTGCCATCACATCTACCGGTGCCCTTACTGCATACTCTGGAGCTAAGACGGGTCGTTCACCCTTAGACAAGAGAATTGTCAAAGAACCATCATCTGAAAATGATGTTTGGTGGGGACCAGTCAACAAACCTATGACTCCTGAAGTAAGAAGATGATCTCCTGTTTCCTTTTCTCTCTTATGTCCTTTTCTTTTGCAATGCATACATTCCGTTTTCAGCAGAGGAAAACTACACTTTGGTTTCAAAGATTTTCTACAAATTTCGAAAGCAGCACCCCAATTCCTCAATACTTTTGAGCATATTTTTACACACCCACAACTTTTCAATTCGCAATTCATGTCTCGATCTCTTCAACAAACTCTGCAAGCTTTCCCCGCACATTTCTACGTCATAAGTTATTGAATCCTCGGGTTTATTTTATTCCTTTTCCTTCGTCAAGCGAATTGCGGGGTGCATATAGAACTAAACCGATATTATCCGGGTCTCGCTGCTATTAGCCAATCCTCCCACTTTTCAGTCGTGTGCGAGCATTGTCTAAATATTTTAATGTTTGAAGTTCAATCAACTAACATCAGTGCTAGGTATGGAGAATCAACCGTGAACGTGCAATTGATTATTTAAATACGAGAAATCGTATTTATGTTGTAGATGGTTTCGCAGGATGGGATGAAAAATACAGAATCAAGGTTCGAGTCGTTTGCGCTCGTGCCTACCACGCTCTCTTCATGCGCAATATGCTCATTAGACCTGATCGTAAAGATCTCGAGCATTTCCACCCAGATTATACTATTTACAATGCAGGATCTTTCCCTGCTAATAGATATACCGAGGGTATGACCTCAGGTACTTCAGTTGCTATCAACTTTGCCGAACAAGAGATGGTCATCTTAGGTACCGAATATGCTGGAGAGATGAAGAAGGGTGTTTTCACAGTCCTTTTCTATGAGATGCCTGTTAAGCACAATGTCCTTACTCTCCACTCGTCGGCCAATGAAGGTAAAGACGGGGACGTTACTGTCTTCTTTGGTCTCTCGGGTACCGGTAAAACAACACTTTCAGCAGATCCTAATCGTGCCTTGATTGGCGACGATGAGCACTGCTGGAGTGAACGTGGTGTTTTCAACATCGAGGGTGGTGTAAGTAGTTCAATCCCTGTATTGATTTATGGCACACTAACAATCTGCAGTGCTATGCTAAGTGCATCGGTCTATCAGCGGAGAAGGAGCCTGATATTTTCGGTGCTATCCAATTTGGCTCTGTTCTTGAGAATGTTGTCTTTGACCCAACTACTCGTCTTGTTGATTATGACGACTCAACCTTGACTGAGAACACCCGCTGCGCGTATCCCATTGAGTACATTTCCAACGCTAAGATTCCTTGTCTCTCGACAAACCACCCAAGCAATATCATTCTTCTTACATGTGATGCTCGTGGTGTCCTTCCACCAATTTCCAAGCTCAACTCCGCCCAAACCATGTTCCACTTCATCTCTGGTTATACCTCAAAAATGGCTGGTACGGAAGATGGTGTCACAGAGCCACAAGCTACCTTTTCATCGTGCTTCGCTCAACCTTTCTTGGCTCTACACCCAATGCGCTATGCTAAGATGTTGGCTGAGAAGATTGAACACCACAAGGCTAATGCTTGGTTGTTGAACACTGGATGGGTTGGAGCTGGTGCTACCACTGGTGGCAAGCGTTGCCCGTAAGTATAGATTAGATTCTCACCGAAATAACAAATGCTAACATGAGACAGATTGAAATATACCCGTGCTATTCTTGATGCAATTCACTCCGGGGAACTTGCAAAGGTCGAGTATGAAAACTACGAGACATTCAACCTTCAAGTACCAAAATCTTGCAGCAATGTTCCATCGGAATTGTTGAACCCCAAAAATGCATGGAGCCAAGGAGATGAAAGTTTCAGAGCTGAGGTCACCAAACTTGGTGGTCTCTTTGTTGAAAATTTTAAGAAATATCAGTCGGAAGCTACTGATGATGTTATTGCGGCAGGACCAGCGGTTAAGGTCTAGGGTGTTTAATAAAGAAGGGGTTCTAATTATGGGTTATGCAAACAGCGGCCGGCGTTCTTATTTAATGTGATGTAACCTTAAGGTTATCGCACGTATCATCAAGCATGGGGAATTAGTCAATGAATAAACAAAATTTACAACTATACGGAGTATTGGATGAAGCAATGAATTCGAATGCATGTAAATGGTCCCTGAAATGTTTTGGGGCCCATTAAAGTTAAAGTTATTTCTTTTACGTATTTGAAAGTTTCCAATTATCATAATTTCAAATGCCCAAATGCTCATTGGAAGACAATAATGATATATAGTATCAGAATTATTACTGTATGGCTTTGCATTCTAGCTGAACACTCATGATAATGAAGAATTGTATATAACCTTAGCAGCAATACTGCACCTATTTATTAGACCAGATCGGTAGGTATACAATTCATCCTTTATCAGCCTTTTGAATAAGGCTAATAATCTTATCAATATCAATTTAGTTTAGATACTTCATGAAAGATTTCAATACTGCCCATCAAACAATTGATATAATTAATCAATCATGGTGAATTTATAATGTCCATCCGCATGATCTAGAACTATGCAGGTATAGTTTTCGATGAGGTAGTCTAACAATCGGCTCGCACCAACACATCAAACCTTCGGAGATCCTGCACCTCAATCCATAAAAAGCAAACAATCATCTCCAACGATTTTCAGCCCTGCATCAATCACATCTACACTAATAAAAACAAACGATAATTAAAATGCCCCCTCAAGTTTCTTCGGATAATGCCCCCCAATCGCAATCACAATCACAACAATCCCAATCGCAAACGCAATTACGGCCCAATCTGGCGGCCCGTCACCGATCTACATCTTCGATCACTAGCCACCAAACTGATAGTCCAGCGGGTACGCCTCCAACTTCAGGTACGACTGCTACACAACATAAAGAACACAAAGTGAAGGGCGAACGAAAACACCTAGTTGGCAAATACGGGCGTGTGAGCAGTAATAAGGCGCTGCATAAATTGTCACGCCAAACGAGTACTCACAATAACAATCATCATAATCATACTACAAGTAACGACAATCTCAAGCAATTTGAAGCTCCTTGGGATAGACCACATAATTCCAGCACGAATCTCAATCGTCAAAAGAACCATTCGCAGACGGCTTTGAAACGTAATCGCAGCTCGGCAGATGTACAGCACACTCCGGGATCGACGAGAAGACCCAAGAGTTCCGATGGTAAAAAGAGACCAAATAGTGTACATTTCGAGTTGGGTATAGGCACGCCGGGAAAGGTAGAGGTCGAAGAGGATAACGAAGAGGGCTGGGAAGAAGCAAGCTCGAATGCAAGTCCAGCTTTAAGTCGCAGTGCAAACACATCTGGCAAACCATCCGCTGTAAATTCTGCCGTCAGTTCGCGACATCATTCACCTCTTTCATCACCAAAATCGAAAAAAACATTTGCAAGGGAATCCGTAAGAGATTTTGCAAAGGAAAGTTCGGCTGATAATTTTGATGGGAATGGTAATGTGAAGAAAAGTACCACGAAGGATAGGGATAGTGATTCTAGCGCAGACGCAAAAGTTATCACGGAGAAATTACTACAACGAACACCGTCACATATGGCCTCCGAAACAAGAATGAGTATGGCGACTGCTAAACCGACACCGAAGGTGGCTCATACACCGTCTAGTAGCATGGACCGAGCTTCGACCATGGTGAAGAGTATGGGTGCGAGTACTGCTTCCGGAAATCAGGAATTAATATCGAGATTTGTAGGGGATGCTGGGACGCCTGGTGAAAATAGCCCCAAGTTTCCTCCGCCGGATCATGGTAGAGAGTCTAGGACGAGTGCTGCGAATAGGGGTGGGGCGGAAAAGAATGCAAATGGCGGTAATGGAGAAATGGCAAGAGCGAAATCGATGGGAAGTTTAACGAGGCATGATGTTGATGATGAAGAGGAATCAGCTCTATTACCTAGAAGTCGGAAGGGTTCTACGAGTGGAAATAGCGGGCCGCCTAATGCGTATAATTCGCGTACTCAGCAGAAACTATGGCTACAACGAGCATCGTCAAATATTGAACCGCAGAGAGAGGGATTGGGTGCATTGTCGTTATTGAATGGAGGTATAGGAATGGGTAATCATGGCGGAGGAAGCAGTGTGGGATATGGTCCTGGGATGGGGATGGGGATCGGTGGCGGTATGGGTGGTTATCCAATGGGGGGAGATGGGAAAGGAGACCCAAGAATTAAATTACAGCTTGAGAGGACGGGTTTAGAATACTTGGTTGTAAGACGTCATCAGGATCCCGTTGGACGCGGTGTTAAGAGATTGGAAAAAATGGGAGTGCTTGGGCATGGGGGTAAGAATATTCATGGAAATGGATATGCACATAGTAAGGGTTCGAGTGCGAATGTGAGTCGGGCTGGTAGTCTGAGGGAAAGAAATGGAAATGCAAGAAAAGGAGCAGGACAAAGTTTTGAAGGGGAGGATAGAGAGAGAGGTAGTGACACTGATAGGGATGGAGGTGGTAGTGGATTAGACGAGGAAAATGTCGCGACTCTTTTGAGGAGTTTGTGGGAAAAAAGTTTTGAAGGAAGTGGAAGTGCTGATTAGAATGTTCCGGTAACTCGATTATGCTTTATTGCGTTGCATTGTGGTCATGGTGGTTGGTAATGCATTGGATGGGGATGGGGATATTGAATTATTAATAAAGGAATGGAGTTTTTACTGCTTGTAGGGCTTTGATGGGATACGTCCCTTGAGATTGCTTGCTTGCTTGCTGGTGGGCTGGTGGGCTGTAGGACTTAGATTGAATGGTTACCGAGGTAGTTGATGTAATGATTTTTTTATTTATTTGCTTGCTTGATTGATTGATTGATTGATTGATTGATTGATTGTGTATATGTGAGATATATGGGTATATTTCTATGTTGATGTGTTGATGTGTTTTGATGCATTGGGAGTCGGAAGCCGGGAGGTATTAATATATAATATCATAGTATGATGACGGGATAAGATTAAGATGAATAATTTAGCATTGTGATTCTAATTTTGTTGGAGGGAGTAACTTGTGATTATTGTTGTTGGAGTTGATTGGGGAGTGTGGGGAGGAGGAGAGGATGGGAGGATGTGGGAGGGAGAAGGGGATGGGAGTGGTAGAGAGGAAGAGGAAGATAGGGGAAGCGAAAGGGAAGGGGAAGGTAAGAGTAAGGACAGGACTGTTTGATATTTGGAGAATAAAGAGGAAAGAAGAAGAAAGAAAGATTATAGTGGGATGGGGATGTGTATTGTGAGGTTATGGATGGGGATGGAGATGGATGGGGAGATATATGTGTTTGTACTGGAGTAGGGAATAAGAGAAAGGAATCAAGGAAGAAGGAAAAAGGCCATCAGGAAAATTATGTAATGTGATGTGGAATTTGAGGAGGGAGCAAAGGAAAAGAGAGAAAGGAAAGGAAAGAAGTCAAAATGATAATTTAAGATGGTTGATCTTTTTAGTAGTTAGTTATTCGGGGTTAATTGTATACTGAGATAGTTTGTGATAATAAAGTGTTGTTGATAAAAAGCCATCTATACACGCAAAATAATCCATTCTATTTGGATAATCTCCAAGCTCCTATGCTATGCAATCATACATTATGACCCGAACTTTTATACAGCACATGCCCATACCTTTATCCTCAGTGCAAATTCAACCTCAAGATCTAAATAACATCAAACCCTCCTCTTCCTTCAACGCTTCATCTTCACTAATATCCTCATCATCTGCATTCTCTCCCAAATCCAACTTCCTACCCAGTAGAGAGGCAAAAAATCTATCTCTCGCGGTTTCTTCCCACGTATTTCTATCCTCTGGTGCCATGAAATTTTGTAATTTTTCATGAACTGTGAATTTCATTTTTCTGCCCTTGCTAGCCTTAGTATCGACATTCTTCCTTGTCTTCGCCTCCTTTACAGCAGTCCATTGCAATGGTTTACCGGCTTCTCCAGCAGCTGCGCGACCGCTGAGCAACCATTCGTTGATCGACCAATTCTTTGAGAACCTTTAACCGTTAAATCAGCATCGTCATAAA